GCGTCTGAATCAATTAGGAACGCCTGTTTCGATTTGGAACGGCTCAGCCGTTCTTTTACCCTAGCCCGGCCGGGAATTTGGCCTTTGGACAAGAATTTTCCGGGAAATCCAGTTCGAAAGTAAATGGAACACAACTTTTTGGGTCTTCCCAACGGAAAATTTCCTGGAGCAACGGAACATCTGAAAAGGTAGTCCTGTTTTTCCGGACGAAATATTCCAAACGGAAATTCGTGTTCCATTTCCTCAAAGCCATCTTTGATACCAGTTTGAGGCCTTCGCGGCCGTTTTCCGTTAAATGGAACTGATCTGTACAAATGGTAAACGCGATTCCGGCACTAAATTTACCAGTCCTGAACTTTGCGTACCATTTACCCAAACCGTAAACCGACCGGTTTGCCCATGTAAATGGTAAACAACCTTTGACTCAGACGCCGAACTTTTCATTTACCTAACCTAATGCATAAATTACTGAGCAGTTTGACCGAAATGAGCATTTTTCTCCCTCTGAATTTAGTTCTGCTGGAATTAAGTTCGGCGTCTGAATCAATTCAGCCGGTCCAAATAATTTGGGTCGGTCTTAATTCGAATTAGGTTCGGCTCATGAAAAGCACGCCGTCTGAACCGAAACTTAGTCAGGAAGGGTCTTGCTTTCAAACTCATTATCATTTATTTCCTGATACGCTAAAAGCAAATAGCAACGGTTTACGTCATTTTACCTTCACTTTCATGTAGACTAAGGAGGTTTTATTTTGGTTTAATTTTCGAAAACTGTTGGATACCCGTACCAAAAATTATTCTCTCCTGTCCGTACTCATAAACCTAACCTTTCTAAACGTCAACTAGCCTGTGTACAGACGCAGACGTCCCCTCCTCCAGGCTAAATCATGCATCGAGTTATAACGTCACGATGACACATGCATTTGCAAGGCATTCCATTTGGCTGATGGCGTTACCCATTCGATAGGGGTGGAGCCGGGAGGAGTCTGTTAGTTCTAAGTGAATCCTGGGAAGGTTCGTGAAACGTGCTATGTTTTTGTGGAGGAACGTAGACAAGTTCCGGTTGTTCTTTTTGAGAATATTAGCAGTTTAGACGTCATTGACTTGAAAAGGTCATTCTTATTTTGTGCTTTCGTAAGGGAAGGGCTGGAACAACCTAACAACGGAAAATTGCGCACACTGTAACCAGGCGAAAGAGAGACTTCGACCTGTTAAGGAAAGAACTTTGTAGAAGACAAGTCTGGTCAGATCACAGCAGTTAATAGTTTTATTACAGAGGACTGCCGCCGAAATAATTTGGCTAGTTATCGTGGTTACATCGGGAAACACTTGATTTGGTTTACAAATACTTCAAGCAAAACCAACAACATGGAGTTTGACCTTTTATTTCGCATAGTGGCTTGTTGTTTCCTTCAATCTCTGGTTATCTATGGCTTTAATATCGATATTAAGAAACCTACTATCTTCTCTGGACCTCGCGGTAGTGAGTATTTTGGATATTCTGTTGCTCTTCACTCAGGTAGAAGCTCTAACTGGTAAGTGAAAGTTGTATGTACTAACATTTTATGACTTATTATAAAGCATAACGTGCGTGATTGTAGAGTATGATCCGGTCCAGTTGAGCCAACCCTCTGTACTAAAGCGGCTTCAAAGAATATTTATTTTTCTCTGTTATTTAATTGCATAACTTTACTTTACTGTGGAGTATAACAAATCATTTTGATAAGCCGTATATACTAAATATTCATTCCTTGATATCCGTAATACGATAACTTTACATATTAATGGTTAACAAAACACATGAGCCTAATATTTGGGCGGCACACTTATTAAAACTGTCAGACACATTTATACGAAATGAACAGGGAAATGAAATGGTTTAAGAATCCCAAAAATGTCTGCTGAAATGCATTAAATGCTGAAAAATATTTCATATTCGCATCGGTTTCAAAATCTCCGTGTCAAAAGAGTAGTTGGCATACAGTGTAATTACATCTCTCTGCTAATGTCCATAAATAAAAGGTCGTTTCTTATTGTTGATAGAAGCGAAGGCCATTTAGGGCAACTACTTTAACACTTGGATAAACAACTGGAGGCTTAACTGCAGAATACCCTGCCACTTATTTGCATGTCATTGAATAAGAATAGCATCTATTGTGTTATGCTTCGTTGTTCAAAGAAGGCCGACCAACGAAAACAATGGTGGTACAGAGTGGCGGTGTATTCAGCAGTTGCTCCATACAGTGCAATACGTCTGGGCTGGGTTGTTCGAAGCTGGGTTAAGATAATCCAGGGTTTAGTGCGAAATTTGAACTCAGATATGAGAGCTTAAAAAGCAAATTCAGTTTCATCCTCTTTACCTACAATTTGATGATTGGATACTCTAAAAAGAATAGAGAAAATTATCTGAGAGAGTGCTTTTGATAAAAAGAAAAAGAATCCCAGGTTAAAATTTAACCCCGGGTTAGTGCTAACTGGCATTTGAACAACTTGGCCCCGTCTGCTAACGTCCATAAAGGTCGTTTCTTAATGCTGATAGAAGCGAGTAGTGCCATTCAAGGCAACTACTTTAACACTTGGATAAACTACTGGATAAACATGAAGAGACCCCAGAAATGGTGGTATTGACATCATTATTAGTCTCGTTTGCTTTAGCTGCAAGACTCAGAAAATGCAAGCGTTTCTTGTTTTTTGGGTGTGTCTGTGCCAAAAGGGGTTCGTGGTCCCAGGCGTTCCTAGTGTAGACTGAGAAAACTGGGGATAAAAATTGTGACATGTCACAGCGCCATGCTTTATTTTGTGAAGAAATCTTACATAGGAAGATGTAGAGCTTTTCCTGAACAGTTCGGTCCACAAATTCTATCGTTTGAAAGCATTGATGACTTTGGAACCAGTGAATACTTCAGTGAAAACTTCGATGTTGAGGCTATAAAAATGAGTCTTGTGATGAGCATCTGGTTTATTTTTTGGCAATGATTGAAATGAGGCGCCATGTTCATCATGTTTTTAGTCCCTGGCGATGATGTAATTTCTCTCAAAGTGATTTTTGTGTATTACATGCATTCTCAATCATCATCAAATACGATGCAAAAAGTAAATATCGTGAAGAATACTTGACCATCAATAAAGAAGGAAGTGAAAAACTTTTAGCGCGTAAATCCGGTTTCGTGTAGAAGTAATTGCCTCAGCATTTCGTATCTGATCTCCAAGCAAGCGAGACTTGACTCTTTTTTAACAACACTCCTGTTATTGAGGCACTGCGCTATGTAAACCTTCCTGAAAGTGAATTTATGTCATGTAACATGACAGGGGAATCAGTTGGGTGGGGGGAGGAGGCGGGGGGAGGTTATATGCGTGTCCCTAACCATTCATTTCACTGATTAGGGAGAAGGGAGGAGGGGCTTTTCAGGCCAGAACTTAACCTGGTTATGAAATGACTAGGAATATTTCTTTTTCACCCCTGGATTGGATGCCAGTCAGTCACAGGGTTACTGCCAGTATTTAAGACGGAATCCATCAGGAAACTGAGTAATTTTAGTTTTCAACAACAACAACAACAATACCTTTATTCGCCTTGTACTTAGTTAATTACATACACACATGAAAGAGAAAAAAATATATATATATATATTTATTTGTACTTAATAAGTCCTGGAGCTGAAATAATCCTAAGATTTTCTAGCCAGTTCTCCAGAATTTAAAGTTTTAGAGAATTGAGATAGAATTTATTTCCAAAGAAGCAGTTTTAAAATACAATGTATTAACTATGTTGTTCTGACAGCAAATAAGGTTTCAATTGTTTTTGGAATTGGTATGTGTTTAGTTCTTTAAGAGTTATGGGAATTTTGTCCCAGATGGTACATGCAGCATATCCGATTGTTTGTTTCCCCGTATTAGTTCGCACTTTTATTACGTAAAGATTCTGTTTCGATGATTTCAGTGGACAAAAATCTTGTGCCAGAATAATTTAAAGAATATTGCATTCTTTTTTACATTTTTCAAGGGCTAAAGATGTAATAATCATCTGTAGTAACACCAAAGAAAATTTCTCATGGAAGTCCGAGAAAATAAATGTCAAATTTCACAAGAATTGTGATCATGCAGGTAAAATTCTAAAAGTTTTATGTGTGAGATGTAATTTTGTGAAATTTGACTTTCATTTTCTCAGGCTTGGGCTATGAGAAATTTTTTTGGTTGTTACTACAGATGATTTATTACATCTTTAGCCCTTGAAAAATGTAAGAAAGAATGAATATGCTTTAAATTATTCTGGTACAAGATTTTTGTCCACTGAAAATAAAAATTACTCAATGTGCTGGTGGATTCCATCTTAATTTTTTGGTACCTAGTTATACACTTGGGTGGAGTAAGGCTTTGTGAGAGTGAAGTGTGTCACCCCAAAAGGCAACACAATGTCCTTTGCAATGCCTTCACACATCTAGAGGCAGTGTGGCTGAGTGGTTAGAGCACTAGACTTGCAATTCGGAGGCCCAAAGTTCAAGTCCCGCTCTGACCACTAGCTAGATTTGTTCTTGGCAGTCCTGTGTTCAAATTCTCGACTACAGTTGTAAATAGCCATTTTGCCCCTGGTCGGTTGGGATTCTTAACCTTGTTAAGTTTGATTGAGATTTTGTTTCAGGTATTTTCTTGGCACCACTAGCATTAGTGCTATAAAATAAGTGCGGTGGGTAAATAATGGCAATTATTATTATTGTCATCTTGATACAGAGTCCAGAGCACTGGTTTCTTGGTGTTTCCGAAACCATTGTTGGTTCGCTTGGATGGGTGGCTATTTTGACGCTCTTCTCTCAGTCACATGTTTGAAGAAAAAATATAGAAAAATAAATCGTAAAGAAATATATAATTAAATAAATGGAAAGTGTTAGGCTTGCAACTTCCCTTTGTCACTGATTTATCTTTATTCATGAATGCTGATTGAAGTGTATAATTTTCTCCTACAGGGTAATAGTTGGAGCTCCAAAAAGTAATGTAACTGATAGAGCTGGTATTGCAAATCTTGGAAGGTATGGAGCAGCATTCAGATGTCAATACCCTGCAGCTGGAAACCAACCATGTGACGAAATTGAAATTGATAACAGACGTAAGTGTAGAACTTTATTAGTTTTTATACAGCACTTAATCTGTGTGTATCTCTGACAACTTCTGGTAAGCACGGTAGGTGTGGATCCTCTCTTGAACTGCTTGTGAAATTATCAGTTTTAATGGTCAGATCCTGAGAGATCTTTGGCATAAAAGAAGAAGCCAGTTTTCATGTCTAAATTCTATAGGGGAAATGTCAGAGATCTTTGACTCGTACATTAATGAGTATGATTTAATCAATTTAGTCAAACGGGTCAGAGAAAGTGGGCTGCAGTGTTCTAATATTTTCTATACTGGGCATATGACTAGTCCTAGCTACTCCTATCCCAAGAAATAGAGAGACAGAGATAGAGATGGCGCATTCGCTCAGCTGTATTCGGGAATAAGACTAATATACTAGCTCTAAAGTGGCTTCCTTGGCTTTCACTGCATGGCACTAAATCCAGAAATCCGGCCTGAAATAACCACATGCGAGAATGTAGTTTTCATTTCAAGTCTGTTATTTTTTTTTTATCTGGAAATGACCCCTCATCAAAATTCAAATGAGCTTTCACATAGGCGGGATACACATGTACGAATGCAATGCCTTCAAGGTGATCCATCCACCATTTTGTTGTTTTTAGATGGAGAGAGCTCATTATATAAGCCACAGGTAACCCAATTAAAAAGGATGTAAATTTGACTAAAGCATCCCAGTGAAAATTTTATTCCACAGTGTACCCACCTATGCTTTCTTTAACTGTCTGTACCCCGTGCTCTTGTTTTGGAACACCCTTTCTAGGTGGTTACTGTCTTTCGCAAGGAAAAACCAGAGCATTTATCTTAATTCCCATTTCTGGTATGTCTTTCTCCTGGTTTTCACCTCCTCTTTGCAGTGATTTTGTTACCTCTGTGTCCTGCGTCCCTGACGCATAGAAATCCCCAAAGAAGCAAAAAACAATTCAAAGATTGATCGATTGAATAACATGTGTATTTGTAGAAATATCCCATTCATGTAATTTCTGTGGCAGTTATTATGGCAGTTGTTTAATGATGCATAATTATTTCTTTTAGCCTTTGTTGTGCTTTTAAAAAGAAGGACTATATTTTAATTTCAGTATACTGCAATACAGAGTTTTGGAGCTGTCTGTCTTCAGATTAGCTGTCTGGTTACATAAAGACCTAAGCATTTTCAATTTCAGACTCTTTTTTATTTTTACTGGGTTTCATTGGTTCTGGACTGGGACTCATGATTTTTCACAAGACGAGTCTCAGGACTCACCAAAACTATTTGTAACAAAATCACTGTCTTTGGTGGTTTCTGTCTCTCCTTAGAAAATATAGTGTTTCAGCTAGATACCACCTTGTCCTCTTGGTCCCAGCCTTTGTTTTTTTTACCTGAAGATTCCCTTGATCACACAACATCTGGTCTATGAAATTTAGTGTTATACCTTTTGATACTTGTTTTTACAGATTTCACTTTGTCAGGGATAATAATATTCCTTTTTTATTAATTAAGAATTTTAAATATGCCTTTAAGTTCTTTCCTACATAGCCCATGTTCAATGAATTCTATCATGACTCTGGTAACTCAAACTTCGATGACTCGAATTCCCTCCTAACTCGAACTAAATTTTGTTTCCCTTGATCAAAATAATATTTATTTACTTTCACCATGGTTGTATCATCATTATTCACGAGGTTGTCACGTGCAATATTACTTAATGAAACAGTCTTTAACTCTGATGACTTGATTCTAAAAGTGTTGTAAGTTACTGATTCTTAAAAGAAAAGAGCCTTCACTGAAGGCATTAGTTACAAAACTACTGTGAAAAGCAAGTCTGCATGAGATATACAGTCACACGTTTGCACATGAAAGTGTTGGAACTTGCCCCTAGCGTGGTCCGTACATGAGGGAATTCGAGGTATGACACAGTAATCCAGTAAAAAGGATTATAAAAATAACTCATGCACACAATTTGCACCTGAAGGTGTTGGACTTTGTCCGTTTTACAGTTAATACATAAAATAATGCAAATTGTTTGCTAGAAAATTTACTCAAACGATTGTTCGAAATTACCTCAGCTTCACAATGTCTACAATAATTAAATTATGCTTAATGCAATGTTAAGGTTGATAGCCTAACATTTGATTTCCTTCCAAGAAAATCATCAAACTGCCAAAATATATTTCTAGTCACATCATGTTATGCCACTCAATAAAGCAATATGTAATTGTTTTGTCAACTAGCTTCTTCTCATTTAATTCCCTGACATTACTGTTTCTACTTGAGTGACGCATCTTTACTAAATAAAATATGTTTCAAGAACTATAATGACTTTTAAGCAGCCAGCGTGTTTCATGTTGTTCTCCTAATTCTTTTTTTTTTTGGCTAGCACGAAAAAGGTCAGTTGAACTTTGTAAGCGAGAGAAGAGGCGCTGCCAGGGGGGTCCCATGTCGCAAGTCTGAATTTTAAAAGGTCTCGTGTCGGTGTTTATAAATGCTTGTCGCTTATTGTCGGCTTTGCCATCACTGTCACAATTTGGGCGAGGAAGGTTGTCTCTTGTTGCGATTTCATTTTACGCATGGTCGCCACTTTTTGGGCCATGTCGCTTGTCGGAATTTACCCTGGCAGGGCCTCAGAGAATAATGCTTGTTTACAGGTTTACCAATGCTTGCTTTGCCTTTCAGACTTCTAAAACCACAATTTAAACTATATAGGTCGCATACTCCAGAATTAAAGTCCATATCTAGATTTCAATTATTGTTTCATTGGAGCAACTTTGAAAAATATATGATCTTTTACACTCTACCTTGAAGCTGATGAAACAGAACTCATAAATTATGAAATATATGTGTTATACCATTCAGAATAGCCGAATTAGGTCGGAAATGTCTTGAAGCAGCACCCACATTCACTGTACTCAGCATTTGAATCATAAAGATATTTCAATGTTATGCTTCTAAACACCTTTAGCAGTTCGGGAGTATGCCAGTTTTGGAAGAAGCGATGACGTCACGATTCCATTGTTCTGCTAAAAACACGCAAAAATAGGAAAAAATAATCGCAAGAAACAAGGGAGCTTTTTTCAAAGCCTGTTGCAGGTCTCCTCGTTCAATATCTGGGACTTCCGAGCTAGCAGTACCGATGAAGAAGCCTTCTCCTTGTTTTTTAAAGTCAAGGGACGTTTCCTGTCATATTTCGGTAGTTAAAAGCGACAGTTTTCAAATGGCCTTCGCCGCCGCCGCCGCCATTTTGACGGGTATCGAATGTAAGTACATGAATTTATGTTTAGTTTTCAGTATCTTGCCGAATTTTTACGAAATCAAGACTAATTTTCCTCAGAACTACAACATGTAAAGTGTGTTCAGGCAAAGTTTCATCGATGGCAACAACCTAGTAAAAATGGCAACCACACATTGAAAATTGCCAACGGACAGGAAGGGTTACTAATATTGATGGTTATGCCTTAGTCTGTCTATGTAGTTTTAGTTATAATCGATCAGGTCTGTTTTTGGTTGTGTTCACGGCAATGTATCGACTGTCATCTAGAAATCACTTTATTGATCCAGATCATGTGTGTGGAATGAGTTTTAAATCGGTGTGAGTAGGTTCTTATATTGATTTCTTTTATTTTGATCAGGATGTCCGTCCAAAATGTACACAAACATCTGGAGATATTACAAACATGTTGTCGCGTTTGTGCCAAAAGGCTGGGAACAGGAACCTGGAAGACAAAATGCTAAATATCTTCAGAACGACATATTTGTGCTCTGAGGGCAAAATATTGCTTTAGGTTCATTTATGTTCCACTGTAATGAAAAATTTAATGTCCAAATTCAACCCTACCTCAATAAAATTAATCATGTTTTTTTTTTTGTTTCTTTGTAGTGTGGTCACAGGCTTACCCACCACAAAAGCCCCTCCTTTGACCCTTTCAAAAATGGGTAAGAGGGAAACAGGTTGGAGGGGGGCTTACATACCTTGTGAGTGGAAGCTCACACTCAATGACCATTCAACCATAGAAGAGACTGTGGCCTTTATTCAAGGGGCTTTAAAGGAGGTACATGAGGAAGGAGTCATGGAAGTGCAGGCTTGTTAAGATTTTCTCTACATAATGTTCAATCCCTCGCGTCAAATATTGTTTATACTTTACAGATGCCAAATACATAATATGTTCAGTCCCTGTGCTGTACAAAAGGTCAATCTGCAACATGAAAAATGCCACACTCTCCCCCATCAATCGCTGTTCATGAGCAATAAGCCCACATTTGATTTCATAATGTCGAATATGTGTGTATTTGAAGAAATCCTAAATTATTGAGATTCTCTTGATGAAAAAGCATCTATGTTAATGCATCGTCTTCAACAAATCATCCTCCCTAATAAATAATACATGAGAGACATCTCACAAGATAACTATTGAAAATCGATGTCAGCTGCTACTGTCTTCATTATATCAAATAAGTTTTGGTTTTTGGTTTTCATGTCCAAGAAGGTGTTAAAAAACAAGATTTTGAGATAAAAGAGTGTGTATAATATGCGAGCCAGAGAGCCATGGCAGCGAGTCATGCAGGTCAGAATCAAAAACAGTAATACAGAAAGAATTAACTGTCAGGACCTAAAATCAAATGTTTATTTACAAAAAACAAAATGTAACAATAAATAACTTTTATTGTATCTTTACTCTGATGTGTGAGCTTTGTTTTCTTGAAAGTGCTGTTCAATAGAAACATGAAGAACCGGCTATGAAAAAGAACTTTGGAAAACTTATGTTGTGTCCATGCCAAGTGCAGTAATCATTATTATTTTGGGCCAAAACTTGTCTAATAGAATTGTTTGAGGGTCCCCACAGAGAAGACTTGGAGAAAAGTGCTCCTCAAAGTTACAATGCCTTTGGTTTAAAGGCAACCCCAGAGTTAAAAACAATAATTTAGTATTATTCGGATGTAACATCAAATCCCATACAAGAGGATATTTTATAACAAACCATAACCTTGTTGATCTCTCACCTCTGGTCAAATCCGGTGGACTACAAGACTATAGTGTCCCATTTTAATCAATAGATCCAAAAGCATGTAACAAGCATAATTCTTAGTTTTCCAATATGTTTATTAAATTCTAAAGAGCCTCTTGCATTTGTTAAGCTTGTCCAAATAATCAGAGAACTTCAGAAAGTGGAATAATTGAAAGCAATAGGTTTTTTTGAAGCGGGACAAAAACAAAAATGATCAGGGATGATAAGTAAGATTTTCACTTTGTGGGTTTTCAAGAAGAAAACGAGGGCACAAATACCCTCAGAAATCCCTTGTAAACCTGTTGTATACCTGGACGGAACCGCTTCAAGACATAAACCAACAGAACATCATATTCGAAAAAACTGATTTTTTTACTCACAAATGACTCGCTTGCACCAAAACAATAACCTGAATTATAGCCGTCTTCTCCGGCAAGTCGCTCACTCGCGGGAGAGAAACAGAAGCAACGGGAAAAATTACATTAACACTTACTGTGAAAGCAAACATAAGGAAACGAATTATAGAACAACTCACTTTTTAGTTGTTTCCAAAGCGTTCTTTTTTCCTTATGATAGAAAAAAAAAATGAAATAAATAGGCACAAACTTGTTGGCGTGCTTACCTATTTTCGATGTACTGATTACAGACGCAGTGAGTACGCAGTGCCTACTAAGCGCGCGATAAGCGAAGAACTATAGCGCAAGAATGGTTACTCCCTGTCCTCAAGGTACTTCCCAATTCATAGTAACGAAAAGACAAATAAAAGGCTCGATAAAGCCAGAATAAACGAGAATTTTGGCCAATACTCTCTCCTCTCCTCTCCCTTGTCCGCCATTTTGTATGTTTTGAAAATGACCATCGCCATGGTGATCATGTTATGGTTGGTGACGTAGACCATTGTTTTCGCTTCTTCCAAAACTGGCATACTCCCGAACTGTTTAGCCGTAATAAAAGACAAAAAAATGTGAAGAATCAAGATGGCGGTCTTAAAGTGCCCTTGTTTGACCTTAAGCCAAGTGAATGTCATGTTAGATGCCAAAATCTAATAATTGGTACCTATGCATCAACGCATAGTACCTTCAACCTTATTGGCCCCTGCAACAAACATCCGAACATACAAAGCCACAAGGGCAGAAATATACATATGCTCAAACCACTGACACATGAGCTATTTTTTCAAAATAGCTCAAAAAGCAATAGGCTTATGAAGCAAAACAACAGTTTTGCACAAGCATCATGCTTTTTTGTACATTTCTTTGCCATCACTGCATGACTGTGACTTGAAAATATCTAGTTTCATGTTTTATGGAGGACAATAAACTAGCGACAACAAATTTTTCTTTCTCTTTCTTAACTTGAGTGTGGTCCCCAAGAAATCAACTCCAGGGAATTTCCCCTACGTGTGACATTTTCACTAAATTGGAATGAACATGATGTAGTTTGAAAAAACGTGAATTCATTTTAAAAGTGATGTTTTCGTCATTGGTGCTAATTAAAAAGTTCAATAATTTCAGGGGAAAGTGTGAGTTTGTTCTTGTTGTTGTTTTTTTTTACATTTCTTCTTTGTGATCATTTTTTAGCGGATAGTACGATAGATATTGGCAACTCTAGATATAAATCAGAAGAGAAGGAGGGTATGTGGCTAGGAGCAGTGGTAACTAGCACTGGCAAGGGTGGCAAAGCAATGGTATGGACAATGTTACATAAATGGTAAAAGATGTTGTAATGAGCACACTTCAAACTCACCTTTATTCAAAGTTGCCTTTTGGTGACCGAAAATCATTTGTCAGGAGGTACAAAAAGGACTCTTTGGTCATGTTCTTTTTGGGCCAACCTAGAGGAGGTTTGACAGCAGTTCGCAAAGGATCATGGGGTAAATTATCAAGGAGCTCAGTTACAGAAAAAACTGTTAAGCTAGACGGATCTCTGTGAACCACGTCTTTTTGCAGATTTAAGCCACAACATTGTGCTAGAATTCATAATATTTTCGCACAAAAGGTTTATTTTATCAATCATTTTATAAATTTCGCATGGCTAAGTGGTTGAGATGCCTTTAAAACATCTTTTTTAGCGTCATCGAAAGTTAGCGGGCTTTTAGACACCTTGCAAACAAAGCCAGCTGTATCAGCTATGTTCATTCACCTTTCCAGACAGCGACGGTTATTGCGAATACACATTCAACTGGCCAATTAAGAATTCAAATGATGATGAACTTAGACAACTGAGACAACTTTCAAAGAACTGCACCTGTTGACCACTATAAAATCAGTTCAGCTGAAGCACAGACATACACTTAACACCTTACTAGTTTCTTCAATAATCATTGATAGTGGAACATTTTTCTAAGTGGAGGGGCTGACTGACTGGGGAAGCTTAGGAGAGGGAGGCTAAGGCTTAAGCTCTCCCAGCCCCTCGGCCTTACTGTGTATGATATCTTTGAGATCATCTATACAAAGTAACAATGGATACTTAGGTTAGCCAGGACTTGAAAATCTGTGGTATTCCTACTCGTTGCTCTCAGTACTAAATACAAGTTACATGCAAACCAAACTGCCTGTAAATGTTCACTGAAAGAGTCAAGTCCCACTCGGAATACAGATGATTTACTGATAGCTTCTTTTATTCGGTCAGGAAAAGTACAGGAAAATAACTTTTAAAGATTGCAATTCTATGTTAACACAATGTAAGAGATAAAAATTTCATTTGCCAACAGAGAAGCCTACCCAGAAGTTAAGGGGACATTTACAAAAGCCTGTAAAAATATATAAGTACCCAGGAGAGTAATAGATCTGATTAAATTTCACTGTCTTTGAGTAAGTAATCTGGAAGTTAGAATAAAAAAACTCAAAGTCAATTAATTTGATATCTGCTACAAAAATGTCAGTCAAGCATGCAGTCAAAGATTTAGGTTCGTACGTTATAGGGTAGGACAACAACTGCTTTGATTCTTTTCTTTTACTTCATTTATAAGCTGACATTTTTAATTCTCCTTCGTAACAGTTTTACTTCATAAAATGTAAAAATAGGCACAACTCACCAAATCTCAGGAGCAATATTATTGTATCAAACAATAATTCAGTTATCTTTTGTTCAGGATTTTTCTCTGGCCCTGTGCTTGTTAATCTAGAAAGAAAAGAAATCACAAAAAACAATTGATTAGCACTTTCCTCCAATGTCCCAAACAGAAAAAGCTTCATATGATCAAGAAACAAAGAGGGCGTACTTTCACACTAACTTAATGTTATTATTGTAGCCTTATGAGAAATGAAACATGGTAAGATATGCTCCCAAAACATAGCTCACAACGTAATCCTGCTTTGAGCGGTGACACAGGGCTTAATCTACGTGAAAAAAACAATAAACTGTACTCAATATTACAAAAACCAAAGTTAAAAACATTAGAGCACAAATAAGAATCAAAGTGTCGATTTACAGTGAGAATGTTTTCCCACATGAGGCCGACTGAAGCGTGGTTACAGTCAAACCAGGTCAAGCGTTCCCATCGCTAACGAACTAATGAATTCATTAACGAAAAAATGATTTCGTTTGTTGACTCAATAATCCATTCATAAAATGAACAATCCAATATTCATATTTAGCCTCGATTCAATAATCGAATGTTGATTCGATTACTGTTTTTTTGAAAAACTACACTTTCCACAAGTTGACCTCAGAATTTTGTTTTTCTTCTTTTTTTCTGAGAGTCGAGTGTGGGCAAGTTCTGAAGTTCAAACCCAAACAAACTGTTACATGTACGCCATTTTGCTGCCAGTAATCAATGCAACAGACCTGGCCTCTTAGAAAACACTACGGTCAAACTGAGGTCAGTGTATGAGCGGTGATTGGTGGATTTCGATCCTCGGCCTTTGTCAGTTTCTTTGCGTTTGCGGTCTGTCTATTCTAGCTGTTATTTTGATTAAAGGCAATGAAAAACGCAATCGTTAACGGCAGGAAAGGGGAAGCAAATACGATTGAACACAACAGACGAGAATAAAGAACAGGTAGTTTTTGTTCATAAACCAAATCAATATTTCATTATTGAATCGAGGTTCAATTTGACTGTTGGATTATTCATATTATGAATGGATTAGTGAATCAACCAACGAAATCATTTTTGCATTAATGAATTCATTAGTTTGTTAGCGACGGGAACGCTTAACCTGGTTTGACTGTAAGTGTCACACGTCGCATCATTTACCTCTGCACTTAACATGCTTTAAATGGAAAATAACTCAGAAACTGTAGCAGGGGCGATGGGGGGGGGACCGTACAAAGTTGAAGATCAATATTTTTTCTTCAAAGTTTTGTGAAAAGTAGACCAGTCGAGACAAAGAAACGCGAAAGAGTCCCATTTCAAATGTATCACTCAAAAAAACCAACAGGAGCAGCCATTTTGGATTTTTCGAGCAAAGCACGATGAAAATAAACCTTAAAAATCAACTCACCTTGAAGATTCTTGCATCAATACAATCACGAGGGTCCAGGTAAACCAGCAAAGGAAATTCTTGACGAATCGATGATGGAAAATGAGGAAAAACGTGAAATAATTGAGTTAAACTATGTTTTGAATTTTCATCTCACGGTCTACTGCAAGATGGTTTTCCTTGATCATGATTGGTCCAAATTGCTCCTGTGAATCTTTGCAAACTGCTATCCAACCTCCTCTGCGGCCAACCCTTTCATCCAAAGCCAGTTTTGGTTGATGTGGTTGAAGTTCCCAATAGGAGACTTTTCCAACCATTTCTGATTGAAATGAGGTTGTGACCAGGTATAGTCATTTCCAATTTTCCTTGACTTCAGGGATACAGGATAAGTACAGGATAAGTAAGGTTTCTTAACGTTTAAGGGAAGGTTTCACGGTTCAGTGCATGCTCATTAATCAAAAAACTATTTTTCTGGCGGGACATGCTGTATTGTCTATGCAAGCAAAATGATCATGTCATAATGTTATCAAAGAACCAATTTGCGCACTCCCCTGGGAGTCACTTGATCAACTTATGTGCAAATAACTGTAAATTCATCAACCATGGAATGAAAATTTAACATTGGTAGTGTTGGCATAATCCACTAATTTTTTCTGCGATTTTAGTACTCCTCCATCCTACTTCAGGTTACTCTGAAATATAGTTCTACTTTGAAATACACTCTGAGATTGCTAAGATACATGTAAGTGGGATTATTAACCTATAGAATTAATAATAAATTGAAAAAAGTAATTTAATTAATGAGCATGCACAGAACCGTAAACCTGTCCCTTTAACTGCGAGTTTATTGGCCATCAACCAATTAGAAACTTTCTCAAGTTCACAGTTAAAGATATCTTGTGATGAGATCAGCATTTGAGAAAAGGACATTGGAGTTGTCAGCAAATAGTATTAACTTAAGGAAACTTGATGAAAGCTGAATGTCATCTATATATAAAAAGAAAAGTAAAGGGCCTAGGATAGAACCCTGTGGGACACCACATTTAACTCTCTAATACTCGGAGGCCACGCTGTTACATTCAACGTACTGTTTTAAGATCAAGACCCCTTATACCATAGTTACATGGTTAACTGTGTCAAAAGCTTTAGACAAATGTAAGAAAATGCCAGCACAGTAAGTTCTTTTTTTCTCGTTAGACAAGATCTCATTAATAAGCTGAATGAGAGCTAAACTGTGCCAGTTAGCGGCTGCTGGCAGGGGTGCTTCCCGCTTCCAGGGTTGCCTGGTTACCTCCTTACCTTATTTTTCGCATCTGGCCTCCCCCGCTAACCTTTTAGGCCCCAGTTCCCAAGCTCATCAATTGGCGATGACTTTAATACCTGTTTAAGCCCCAAGAGTAATCAATATTGTTGCAAACTGTAGTAGAAAGTATCAAAAATTATCACAACTTCTAACCTGTACCTTTTTTACCTAGGCTTGTGCTCCCAGGTACGCTTTACGAACAACTTCACGTGAAACAATAAATGACTACTGGCCTCTTGGAAAATGTTTTGAGCTTGACAATCGCCTTGATGTAGCGTTACGAGATGAGATTTCTCCCTGTGAAAATGGTAACTGCAAAATAAGTACTAGATTAGTAATAAGCATTAAGGAGTGCAGGCGAGCTTAAAAGGTTAAAACACTCTTGCTCCAAATGCTGTGCTGTACATAATTTTTACATGATAGAAGGTCCAAATGGAGTTAGGACACAGTGCAAGCCACGCAAAAACAACAACAACAACAAAAATTGAAAAGCAGTAAGACTCACAGAAAAATAAACTCTAACCATTGTAAATGAGTGTTTAACTCTAAAAGTGCTTAACGCTAATCCTTAAATTAACGGTTGCCTAACCCCAGTCAGTTAAGCCATTCATCACTTCATAGGATTTCATCTACAGACTCAAAAGTTAGAAAGACATACTAAATAAAATAATAGTACCATGTGAAAGTACTGCTGAAGAGGTTTTATTTGAATGGTAACATCATAGGATTTCATCCACAGACTCGAAAGTTCGAAAAATGTACTATATAAATAGCACCATGTGAAAGTACTGCTGAAGAGATTTCATTTGAATGGTAACACCATAGGATCTCATCCACAGACTCAAAAGTTAGAAAACATACTATATAAATGTTACCTAGTGAAAGTACTGCTGAAGAGGTTTCATTTGAATGGTAACATCATAGGATCTCATCTACAGACTCAAAAGTTAGAACTGCATACTATATAAATGGTACCATGTGAAAGTACTGCTGAAGAGATTTCATTTGAATGGTCACACCATAGGATCTCATCCACAGACTCAAAAGTTAGAACTACATACTAAATAAATAGTACCTAGTAAAAGTACTGCTGAAGAGGTTTTATTTGAACGGTAACATCACAGGATTTCATCCACAGACTCAAAAGTTCGAAAAACGTACTATATAAATAGCACCATGTGAAAGTACTGCTGAAGAGGTTTTATTTGAATGGTAACATCATAGGATTTCATCCACAGACTCAAAAGTTAGAAAAACGTACTATTTATATTACCAGTAGATGTGGAAGTGTTACTGAAGAGGTTTCATTTGAATGGAGGTTTCATTTGAATGAGGTTTTATTTGAATGGTAACACATTTCATAGGAGTTCTCATCCACAGACTCAAACGTTTTATTTGAATGGTAACATCAAAAACTCAAAAGTTACTATAAAATAAATAGATTTCATCCATAGATGTTCGAAAAACGTACTATATAAATAGCACCATGTGAAAGTACTGCTGAAGAGGTTTTATTTGAATGGTAACATCATAGGATTTCATCCACGGACTCAAAAGTTAGAAAAACGTACTATTTATATTACCAGTAGATGTAGAAGTGCTACTGAAGAGGTTTTATTTGAATGGTAACACCATAGGATCTCATCCACAGACTCAAACGTTAGAAAAACATACTATATAAATAGTACCATGTGAAAGTACTGTTGAAGAGGTTTCACTTGAATGGTAACACCATAGGATCTCATCCACAGAATCAAAAGTTAGAAAAACGTACTATATAAATAGTACCATGTGAAAGTACTGCTGAAGAGGTTTCATTTGAATGGTCACACCATAGGATCTCATCCACAGACTCAAAAGGAAAAACATACCAAATAAATAGTACCGTGTGAAAGTACTGTTGAAGAGGTTTCACTTGAATGGTCACACCATAGGATTTCATCCACAGACTCAAAAGTTAGAACTACCTTCCACGGCTCCATCATTTACTCTGGGTGTGAACGAACTTAATGTTTCTATTGACCATCGATATCTGGTCATCTCGCCACCAAACTATCTCTCCACCAAGAATAGAAATTAGCATAACATTGTTTTGAACCTTCATGAACCTGCCTCGTACCCAGACGTCTCTCTTTCAAGCGTGCGCGCAAAGGAAGGCGGGAAGGAGACAACGGGCGAGCCGTCTGTACCCTTCCCATGGTCCCTTGCGGTTCATCACCAGTCACTCGTTTGCCATGCGAAAAACGAAGCGCCTGAGGAGGAGGCTGTTCATGAACGGAAATTTCTTAACCGTTACTTTATTTTTATATTTCAAAGAAATGACTAGTAGTTGTGAAACGTTTCTGCCAGTTTTGTAATCTCTCAAATGTCAAAGTTTACATTTACAGAACCTATAGATGTATTTATTAATTATTGTTATTTGCATTAACAAGAGCGTACGACGTAAGGAACATCTATTAGGATCGGCACATTTGTATTTGGATCGACTTTAAATTCGAATAAGCTTGACGAAAATCTTAGGTTAAGTAATCCTAGGTATTAAACTGTGTCAATTATTTCAGGGCTATTCAGTGGTGGCGAGTCGACTTCTTGGTAGCGAGATAACCGTAAACCTAACCGTCTAAAATTCCATTTTTAGAGCAAAAAGGCAACACAAGATTTGGTTACTGTCAAGCCGGATTCAGTGCAGAGTACAATGGACAACAGTTTCTCATCGGCGCCGTTGGAGCCAAAGATTTTAAAGGCAAGCCTTTGGTTCATTCCCTGTGATAAATACAAATGTAGATACCGTAAAATTCCAAAAATAAGCCCCGGGGCTTATATTATCCAAAGGCCCTTTTTGAGGGGCTTATTTTTGGAGGGGCTTATATTCGGAGGGGCTTATCTACGGAGGGAAATTTGCGTTTCAAAATCGATTGAGCTAGCCTTATAGCTGGAAGTAAATTTACTCTTTTTGCTTTGTTTTACTTTGTATTTGAGGGCAATTTTCCAAGTACAAGCCCCCGGGGGGCTTATATTTGGAGGGGCGATTTAACGGAAGGTTTTTCGCGTTACCGGTTTGGGGGGCTTATATTTGGAGGGGCTTATACATGGAGGGGCTTATTTTCGGAATTTTACGGTAGCTAATTAAAATATATTTTTGGAGACACAATTCAGCATTTTGAAGATATGTTTCGGCGTGACTCGAGCCGTCATCCTAGTAAAAATTAGGGACCTTAAGATCCGAAAACGGCGACGGCAACGAGAACCTCGAAAAAGTAAAAGAGGTTTAATAACCAAGACAACAATTTTGCACGTGCATCAAGCTTTCTTGTACATTTCTTTGCCGTCCCTGCACGACTGCGACGGAAAAATGGCTAATTTCACGTTTTACAGAGGAAGTACGCAAGCGAGGACGAAATTTCCTCTCTCTTTCTGAACTTGGATATGGTTCTTAGGAGTTCAACTTTAGGAGGGTTCACCTATATGTGACAAAGTTAGTGACTTGGAGTAATCGCGATGAAGATTGAAAGAGCGTGAATTCACTTTTTCAGCGACGTTTTCGCTGCAGTCGCCGTCCTGGGATCTTAAGCTCCCTATTTATTCCTTGCTTCGATTTCTTCCTCTTATATACCCGTAGCCTGCGAAAACATCAGTTTCTCCTCGCTCTTCGTAGCTGTGGACGTTTCGCGCGGAGGAACGTCTGCGACTCAGCGGCAGAAATTCCATACTGATGACGCAAATCAATGTTTACATAATAAATCCGGTAGTCATGGGGTTTCACATATAAATTGGTCCAATTTTATGTATCCTCTGGTCGATTTTGGTAAATTGTTATGTTCATCTGCCAAAGAGCTCCAGCAAAACTCAAATACTTCTTCTAGAGAAGACTATAATCCACATATATTGACTGTTTCATCAGAGATTCTTCACATTTACATTTGACCTCTGTGGCCTTTTGTCTTTTGTCTGTCAAGACTGTCAGTCGTAAACAATAGCTAAAACAATGTAACTTCTCTGTCGACCAACCAGCGCTTCTGACCGGATTCCGGACAGATTTTACGTCATCAGGATGAAATTTCTGTCGCTGAGTCGCAGACGTTCCTCCGCGCGAAACGTCCGCAGCGGCGAAGAGTGAGGAGAAACGGATGTTTTCGCGGGCTAATATACCCGAAGACCAAAGATGATACAAAAAATTTCTGATTGGATTGCAATGACAGATGCAATTTATTTGAAAATCATGACAAAGTTAAGCATCATCACAGGGCTTGTAAAAAGTCCCGTCCGGCCGTTAGTCTGGGACATGTACTTGTAATTTTTAAGGTAGCTCGGTGGTGTTTTCCAGGGTCAATACCTCCCATGTTTGAGCATAAGCTAGGTCGTCATTAACAAAGATTTGGAAACATTACCAACACCCTGACCACCACAGCTTTATCAGGTTAAGAAGAACATTTTTTTATTGTCAGGGTTACAGTGACATCAGAGTTGTCATAGCAACGAATTGACACCATTATCTATTTTACTTGCAGCCGTATTTCTCGGCACTGGGAACTGTCCTTCCAAAATCGTTTACGGGAGCTTTTTCCTCCAATAGCTGCCTCGATGTTCGTGAAGTTTAAGCAAAATCTATGAGAGCGGTATCGAGATATTTTGGGATGAAGTTTTTATGATCAGAAATACGGTAAAAACTAGACAATCTTGATGGCCTTTTCGGGGATGTGTCGCTGGAAAGCGTATGGTTTTTGTCGCCTCCGTTCTAAACAGAGTATTTATTTTGTGCGAGTCTGTCTTAAACAGGGTATACAATTTTGTGTGAGTGAGTCAGTGAGTCTGTCCTAATTACAGTCAAATCTCGCCTTGAGGACAACTCGCTATAACGGACACCCCGATAAAACGGACAGCAGCTAAATCCCCGGCAAAAACAAATTACAGACGTTTGACTGAAATAAATTTCCGCTATTACGGACTCTCGCTGAAGAGGACACTAACTCGAGGTCCAAAAAGGAATGATTATAACGTAAATTTGCTCTATTGCAATTGCCAAAAAAAGGGGGGGGGGGGGAATTTTGTCTCTGGTCCTGTCCTGAACAGGGTAATTAAGTCGAAGGTGGTACAAGTTTCAAACCCTCAGTGGCTCATTGGTCGAATACCCCCCCACCCCCGGTCTTCAGTATGTCTGGGTTGAGCTCGCTGAAATAAGTTTAAATGTTATACTATTGTGAGATAATCACTCTGAATTTCTCCTCAGGTGGACTGTTTATCACAACTGATAAACAAGATTATTTTAAATCTGTGGTGGATCAACTTGATAATTCAGACCTCATGGGTGAGTCTTAATTCAATGGATTTACAGTCGTTCAGCCAACGTTCTTTTCGCTTACCTGTTAAGTTGTTTGGCCAACTTATTAGGTCAGTTCCCTTACTTTTTTCGCCTGATCAATGGCTTAAAGAACGATGTGTACTACACATGTATTGTGCGTTTCGTTTCTTTAGCGGTCGAGTTAAAGGGGCTGTGTCACGGCAGTCCCGTTCATTTTGTTTAATTTTGCCAATTACTCGCCCTCAATCGCTGTGGAACTTAAAGTAAGCAAAGAAATTACATGTAAATGACAAATTCAGAGAACCGAGACAAACAAATATGTCTCCTGAGCATTATTTTTGAAGTTGCGAGCAGCAGGGATCAGCTTTGAAAAACTGTTAGGCTGAACAGTTTTAAAAAATCCTAATTTCAATCCGTTTCAATCTTCTTCAGTTTTGCCCATCCATGACATTTGTTGTTTCTGTTATGTTATTTTAACCTTCCTTTAAAGTTTTAAGTGGCAATTTTTATGTTTCTCTTAATTTAACGGGCATTTTGTAATTTCCTAATTTGGCTGAATTTCGTGACACATTTCCTTTAAGACGTAAGCGAAAGGGACGTTAGCGAAGCGACTCGTAGGCGAACCTACCCGTCACGTCATACATGATGGTAATGAGAACGCCAAGAAGGCAGGAGCTTTCATAGGCAAAACGTTGTGCATCACACGGGATCAGAGACAGGTTTTTGGGTAAATCTCGCGAATGCGGAAAACTGCAAAGGGTAATTTACAACAATTTTATTGTTGTAGATCATGGATCAAATAGTTTGCTATTTGCTCTCATAGTAGTTTCTGTTACGAAGATGTACGAATCAATGACCGAACGAACGAACACAAGAATTGTGAAAACACAGGTAAATTCTAAAAATTTCATGTGTAAAATTTCATTTTGTGAAATTTTACATTTATTTTCTAGGGCTCCCACGAGAAATTTATTTTGGTGTTATTGCAGATGACTAATTACATCTTTAGCCCTTGAAAAATTTGAAAAAGAATGCAGTGTACTTTAAATTATTCTGGTACATTTTTTTTGTCCACTGAAAATTAATATTACTCATTTTCCTGATGGATTTCGAAAAAACCCTCTTGGCTTACAGTCAGACTTCTTTTTCACTTATCGTGAAGGTTTAGCGCGCCTGCGAACAGCAGACGCATTTCCGGTCGTCGCTTCTCTCCCTCCGAAAATAGCTAGCTATTTTTCGGAGTTTCGGAGAGAGAGAAGCGAGGACCGGAAATAAGTCTGCTGTTCGCAGGCTAAGGGTTAGCTAGCCTGCGTGGCAGGCGTTTGAAAGGAAAGGGAAAGGGAGTTTAAGGTGCGAGGGAAACGCGAGGGGCGGGCGAGGAGGGAGCCCTCCTCGAGCGCAAAACCCCCTTTCCAACGCTTGCCACGCAGGCTAAGGTTTAGCCTTCGCTGCTGGTGTAGTTCACTCACTCTCTCTCTAAAAAACCCATTCCTTAGCAGCTCTCTGTTCATTTGCTTGCGTGGATAATATGTTTACCCAGAAAGAAGTAATAAGCTCCTTGTTTGCCTTAATGATTTAGAACAAATTAGAACGAAGCTTCTTACTCTTTAAAGCTCGTGTCAACTTATAATGAATGAGTTTCTCAAGTTTAATAACTAGAAAGGGCGAAATGTCCATTTAACCCTTAAGAGCCTTAAGAGCCTTAAGAGCCTTAAGAGTGATCAGCTTCAAATTTCTCCTTGTGATATTACTGCTCTGTAAAACCGAGTGGTCATGAGAATTACGGACATGATTACACAAGATGAATTTGCTTGATATTTTATCAACTTCTCCCCACTACTTCAGTAGGAAATGAATGGGGGCAACAAATGAGAATTCAAATTTTGATCTTAGGGTTGAAAGGGTTGAAAGATAATTGTTTTCTGAGGGACATCAAGTTTGGAGACAAGATGTCACACTCTCAAAAAGCACACTGTTAACTGAATATTACACATCTTCGAGCATTTTCGATATTATGCTTTTATTTCCTTGTCTTTTTAGGCTATTCTGTGGCTAGTGGATCTTTCACTGACCCTAACGGGAGGCGAATAGGTTTGCTGTAATTGTGATTTGTGTACTTTGTGGATTTTTTTCGGCGCTTTTTACACTTGTTAAGCCTAGCTTAAATTAACGTCAACGATTTTTCCTTCACAGACATGCTTTTCCTGTTGTTCTCGGAGAATAGGTTTTAATGAAGCTTTTCCAGTTATAACCATGTTTTGCAGCTCCCTGACAGATATGCCTTAGCCAATTTTCGCCTCAAAGGCATGAAAAAAAAATTAGTAATGTTAGTTCACTTTGTGTACCCAAGAGTAAAAGTAAAATTTTGAAGTCTTACTTTTCTTCTCTTATTCTTTTCAGAATATGTTGGCGGCGCCCCCAGGGCTGATAAAGTGAAGGGGAAGGTAAAAATCTAAAGAATTTAATTATACTCGCTTATTGCTGGTTTTCAGTGTCACGCCATTCAAAATAGATCAAAATAAAAATCAAAACCGTTCAATAGATTAAGTCCAGAATCTGGGAAATGAAAGGAGGTGAAAGACCCTGGCCAAGATTCAGGTCAGAGGAATATTTCGTATACGAGATATCCGAAGAAATATTTTACCCAAATTTTTAGAGATTTGTATAGAGACGCCGTGCTGGTGCCCATCCGGATGAGCACCAACTTGGCGGACGGAAACCAGCAGAAACGTCTGTTACCGAGTTTTGCTACAAAAGCGTGAATTTATTCTTCGAAGAACTCATAAACATTAAAGTAATACTTTTTCTAATACATAAACTGTTTAGATAGCAAAATTCCTTGAAATAAGTCATTTTTTTAATCTACATGACAACTCTCTCGGCCGTCATGTAAATGCCGCGTCACGCAAAAGCTAAGCAATTCAAGTGTCCTCTATCACAAAACAAAGAACCCTTTTGAAGGGAAAATTTGTATGAAAATTAGTTTTCAGCTGCTCTAATACATCGTGAATGTAAAATCTCGGTAGCATCGATAGTTCTGTAGTTTGAATTTTATTGACGTCAAGTGAAAAGCAACAATTCCCTGTTCTGAAATCGTGCCGTGGCGAAGCCACCACGTGCCGCTTGTCTGCACCTCACTGAATCCTTTTTCTTCTAGTCCACGTTGGGCAACAACAACGTTAGAAGATCAGAGCTCACAACTCTCCCACACCAATTCTCCAGTGCAATTGTGTTACACTAAGTTATCATTTCTATTTTGATCTTCAGGTCATCATTTATGCCTATGATAGAAACGTGAGAGCCTTGTCAGTGAAAATGGTATTGCCTCAGCCTGCGGGATTACCGGTACGTGATCTAAATGTGGTTTTATTGTGTGATAGTACAGTAAAAATTCACGTATATGAGCATCAGTAGACAAAACAGTGAGAGACTCGGGGGGGGGTCCAAGTGGGAAATTGTCTTCTCTACGGGGGGGGTCAGGAGTGTTTGTGCACAGGAAGTGTTGTTCTGCATCGTCTCTCCCCCACATAAATTATGACCGGGGGGTGGCGCCGAAAAAATATCTGTGAGCCCTACGGGAATCCGTGGAGGCTCCATTCCACCGCTAGGCTCGCTTCGCTCGTCGATGTTTGTTTGCTGTTCATCCCGTTTTGCGCCTTCCCCCTTCTCCCCCCCCCCCCCTGGTCCTAACCTATGCAAGTCGTTGACCATGAGTAATATCTCTGTTTCTTTCTTTCTTTCTTTATTTTTTTTACAGATAGGAACCTACTATGGCAGTGCCGTTCTTGCTGTGGATCTTAACAAAGATGGGTAAGTCATTTTCGGCTCGTCCAGCAATCGCCTTAGTTTATATTAAGCTGCCCCTAAGTGTCTTGATCTCTTTTGTCACAGTTGCTCCAACGATGGGTAAACAAAAGCTATCGACCAGTCAATTCTGCAATGAGGCTAACTAATGTTAACTGAATTTACGATTGAAGAGTTCACGTGTGAAAATTTTTCTAATTTTCCGATTGCTGTTCCATTCGCTCTTTTTTCAATATTTCTGGAAATTGTTAGTCGAATGGAATGTAAACTAGAGTAGTTGCACCGTTGCACGGAATAACCTGCTAACTGAAGTGTACTACGATATGAAGGTAAATTTCAAAAATGCCTCGTTCTGATAGTTCTGCCCAAGAGGTTTTTAAGTCAAATCTTTATTAAGAAGCCACCCCTCCATTTTGCGGTCGCGGACACCTCTTCCAAGACCCCAACGAGTTTAAGACGGAATCTTCATGAAATTGAGTAATTTTAGTTTTCAGTGGACTAAAATCTTGTACCAGAATAATTTAAAACATATTGCATTCTTTTTTACATTTTTCAAGACCTGAAGATGTAATAAATCATCTGTAATAACACCAAAGAAAATTTCCCATGGGAGCCTGAGAAAATGAATTTCAATTTTCACAAAATTACATCTCTCATATGAAATTTACAGAGATTTACCCGTGTTTTCACAATGTTTGGGAAATTTGACTTTCATTTCTCGGACTCCCAGGAGAAATTTTCTTTGGTGTCATTACAGATGACTGATTACATCTTTAGGCCCTAAAAAATGTAAAAAAGAATGCAATATTCTTTAAATTATTCTGGTACAAGGTTTTTGTCCACTGAGAATTAAAATTACTCAATTTTCTAGTGGATTGCGTCTTAATTTTTATTGTCTTCACCTCTTTTAAACGTTTACTTTGTCAAGATGTACCAGTAGATCAGTACACTTTTGATGGCGTTTAGCAGTGGTCTTTGACTTCCTTTCTTTTGGCACCAGAAGAAGTGGAAACATCATTTAATCCATCAATCTGGATACCGTATTTATTCGAATAAGCGCCCAACCTCGAATTAGCGCCCACCTCGAATAAGCGCCCATGCTAAAGGCAGAAAACGTTAATAAGCGCCCAGCCTCGAATGAGCGCCCACCCCACCCCACTCCCTCCCACAAAATCTCCAATAAGAGATAATAAGAGACTTGCCCGAAGACGGAGTTTTCTTCAGAGTATTTTACAGAAACCTTGCTTTGTTACATCTTCGCTTTTTCTTAGTACCATTTACTGTTTTGTTGCAAAATATGCTACTACACTTGCTGAGAATGGTGAAAATCTAATAAGCGCCAAGCCTCGAATAAGCGCCCACCTCGAATAAGCGCCCACTCTCAAGGTCCAAACATTTAATAAGCGCCCAGGGCGGTTAATCGAATAAATACGATATTTCACTTTCTCATCATCCTGATTTTTTTTAATGTGTTAAAGGAGCTGTGTCACGAAATTCAGACAAATTAAGTAATTACAAAATGCCCGTTAAATTAAGACAAACATAAAAATAACCGCTAAAAACATTAAAGGAAGTTTAAAATAGCACAACAGAAACAGCAGATTCCACGGATGGGCGAAACTTAAGAAGATTGAAATGGATTGAAATTAGGGTTTTTGAAAACTGTTCAGCCTAACAGTTTTTCAAAGTTGATCCCTGCTGCTTGCAACTTAATGCTCAGGAGACATATTTGTTTGTCTTGGATCTCTGATTCTGTCATTTACATGTGATTTCTTCGCTTACTTCAAATTCCATAGCGATTGAGGGCGAGTAATTGGAAAAATTAAACAAAATGAACTGGACTGCCGCGACACAGCCTCTTTAATCAAACCAGTGTTCAACGGTCAATGTGTATTAATCGCTCGGTTGGCCACTCCCAAAAGTTCCCAAACACCGGTTTGACTGATTTGAATGCCCACGTTACTTTATTTCTTCCTGGCCGTAAACAATCAAAACAAAAATTTCTGCAAACGTTGGTTTGTCTTCAGGCATATGGACATTCTAGTGGGCGCTCCGTACTACACTACTGTAAAAGACGAGGGACGAGTCTTCATCTACTTGAACAACGGACAGGTTTGTTATTTTTTTTCAAGGGACTGACGGTATGAAAATCCTTAAGCCTTCAACCCCCAATAAGCAGATATAAATTCCCCAAACTGATCTCCCCCATATATTTCCTTAACCCTTTCACTGCCAGAGTGTGTGTGAGAGTTTTGTAAGGTGACTCGAACTTTTGAGTCTGTGGACGAAATCCTGTGATGTGACCATTCAAGTGAAAGCTCTCTGCCTGAACTCACACATGGTGCTATTCGTTGTCCAACATTTTACAAAATGAAATTTGGAAATCTGGTCGAAATTTTCCTTTGGCTAGATTTGGCAGTGAAAGGGTTAAAGAACTAGTTGAGAAAATTTGGTAAATGATCCATGCTTTTGCCTGAGGAGATCATTTTATTGATTCTCATCATCTTTGCTCTTTTTTAGGCTACATCCATTGGAGGTCGTTTAACCCTTTAAGTAGTATTTGTTTAGTCAAATTTTTCAAGTGACTGAAGCCTTGCGAACAGATGTTTAGCGAAGGATATAAAGGGAATCATTTGCTTTGATTGGTTACCTGAGTGGGTATTATCCATTAACCAGGCGTGACTCGTTTTTATGCAAATGCGGAATAAGAATTCGGTCATCATGCAGCCATTTTGACCTCGTTCTTCGTCAACAACGTTTATTTCTTCCATGGAGTCTTAGTGCCTGTTTACCTGGAGGTGGGGGACCCCAGATAGGTGAGGTAACATGTGTTGGGTTACCCTACCTAACGTGTAAACGTGATCAAATTAAAATGAGAGATTATATGGACAGGCGGGTTACCCCACCTTAGCGGGTTACCTTACCTACTTGTGGTCCCTTACCTCTATGTAAAGAGGCCCCTAATCTATCAGTACATGAAATTTTAGTTGTTCTTTTTTTTCCTGGCCGCAGGGTGTACTCGATTTACAAGACAGCTTTCTAGAGGGGGACAGAAAAGTCAGTGCGCTTTTCGGCCACTTTATTGCTGCTGTTGGAGACCTGAACATCGATGGATACCAAGGTAATTGTGGAAACATTCAAACGCACCGCTCATAGGGGAATCCAGGATTTTTCTAGGGAGGTGTTGCACCACTAACGAATGGCGAAACTGACTGGTCACATAAACAAATTTTAATACAGAATACCAGTTGTATCAGAAAGCCGCAGCTCATCTCATGGGGGGAGGGGGTGCGCACCCCGCTGCACCCTCGCCCTAAATCCGCCCCTTGCTCTTCACCCTGCACCCAGCTTGCAAAAGCTTTCTTGTTTTCGCACTCGGAAGAACGAAGCAGCGCGAGACTTGCGCGACGAGGGAAGGCGCCTTCCCTGGTTACTGATCTGATTTGTCCGTTAAGGGGTGATTACAGTTAAACGCCTTGTTTGTATTTTACGTGAGCGCTTTTTCTTGAAAATCTCGTCAAAATAAATCACATCCTGAAATTCTTAGTCTCCCACGCAGGCGTTTTTAGGGGAGCTCGTCTTTCATACCTCCCCACAAACGCCTGCTCAACCGAAGACAACATTCCTTTGCCAAGCTTAGCCAATCACACTGTAGTTTCCAAATTCTGGAAAGTTGACCTTGACCGCAGGGTAATCTGATAATTACTCGATCTGCATGAAACACTGGGAAAGCTTTCTGGCCTCTAACAATAATTATGTTAGATTCAGAGTGGCAAAAGTAAGATTTAGTCAAATTTGAGAATACTCTATGCATTGCAGAAGCTTGGCGAAAGAAGGAAAAGGCCCGGGGGGGTACTTTAGGAATTTCTGGGTGAGGATGTGCCGCTGGGACCCTGGAACCCTTGACCTATACCAGAGCTAGTTCAGCTAAATTTTGCTACCTTATACTAGCGTAAACTCCCCAAATCCCCCCTATCCTAGAGTAGCTGTTTCCCTAGTCGAGGTAAAATCTTCAACCAACTGATCAGTTCCCTGAAAAATGATACCCTATTCTAGACCCAAACGCTCTGATTTATATACCCTATCCTAGAGTAAACTGCTTGAAAACCATACCCTTCACAGCGGCACATACCTATATAGCCCATATATGGCAGTACCCCCCCCCCCCCGGGGGGAAAGGTAACCCTAGGGTCACGTTTTAGTCGTGTTTTGCCTATCAACAGTTCATTTCACAACTGTTGATTGGTCGCTTACCACGCAAATAAAACAATGGGAAAGAAATTTTGTTTGTGGGGAGGGATGAAAAATGAGCTCCCATAAAAACGCCTGCGTGGGAAGCTACGAAACTCTTGGAACGACGAGTTTTTGAGAATTTTTTTGGTGATTATTAGAATGTTTGTAATCAATAAAATTTTGAAGGGCGAATGTTAAAAGTTATGGAAAATTAAGAAAACATTGGATTGAAAATTAAAATTGGAAGTGAATAATTAATAGACAAAAGACCAGACAGTCCGCCACCACAACGAGGTGGTCGTGACCCGGGGGGGACTCCGTATATGAAAGGGGTGGGGATGCTAGTCGTCTCGCTTAGGGGTGTAAATTTCGGATTTTGGTCTCGCTTAGGGTGTTTTGGGCAAAACACTCTTATATTTAGCCGTAAAGGTCTCTTTTAGGATTGCACTCGAAGAAATATTAAAAAATTATATTTTTTCAATTCGTTTTAGTTACTCGATTCATGTAATCAAAGTGTAAAGTGATCGCTTTTAGGGGTCAAAAAGGTTGAGCCACGCCCAAATTGGTCTCCTTTAGGGGTTCAATTCAAAATTTCCGACGAGCATCCCCACCCCTTTCATATGCAGAGCCCCCCCCTCCCCCCCCGGGGGCCGTGACTGGTTTACGTGTATACCCTCTTCTATCCTTCTTTCTTACATTCTCAATTCAACCCCAGTTCCCCTTAAATTCAACTGTAATCCCCCTTAACTCGCGCTGTTATTAATCGTGCAATAACCAGGGACACCCAACGTCAATTTTTGGAAAATATCTGTTCGGAAGACGATATTAGATCTAGAATTTTCGGAACATTTTTTGTAAAATTTCTTGCTTGCCTGCCTCTCCTAAAAAATGGTATAATTGCCCCTTTTTAACTGATTTTTATCCTAAAAAGGTCACCTAGAATTTTCGGGAGCCCTTTTTCTGGCTGAAATTTTCGAAAAGGTAAGTTTTGATCCCTATAATTTTCGGATCACAAGACTTGCAGCTAGGAAATCCGAACAGATGAAAAACTTTTAGGGAACAAAAATATGCCTATATCTACCGTTTGAATACTAAAATACGTTTAACAATGCTATATTTAAGTGGTTTTGAACTATATTCTCGTTGGGTGCCACTGAATAACAACAGGAGTTAATTGACCAACCATGGCATGACTCTTTCGTTGAAACCATCCACTGTGCATCGCTCCTCAGTCATTTTCCTTGGCTCAATCAAGATCAATCAATAACCGGGTGGACACTCTGAATCTTTACCAACAGATGTTGCTATCGGGGCTCCACAAGAAGAAGGCTGTGGTGCTGTTTACATTTACCATGGCAGCGCTAAGGGGATAGAGTTGAAGTACAGACAGGTATATGGGCTTTTTACACCTCTTTACCGATGCGGCGGCCATATTGAATTAATTGGATTTAAGGAGTATTATAGGATGCCCAGGGGGCAGGAGCGCATTTCGTTTGTATTTACGATTGTTTTTCGGGGCATTTTTTCTCAAAGTTTTGTTAGAATAAGATTGTAATGGGAAAAAAGATCGTTGTGCCGTTTTTGGATGTAATCATGATCGCCTTTTTCCCGAGAAATGTACAGTGAAAGACCATATTTCTAATACTAAGCTAGAAAAAGGCGATGATTATTACATCCAAACACGGCACAATTATCTTTTTTCCCATTAGAATCTTATTCTAAGAAAATTTAAGAAAAAATGTCCTGAAAGGCGCTCGTACAAACAAACAAAATGTGCTCATGCCCCCTGGGCATCCTATAATACTCCTTCAATCAAATTAATTCAATATGGCCGCCGTATCGGTAAAGAGGTTTATTGACCACTCCAGAAAATACCATAGCATACCACAATGCTCTTCGTTTGTCACCCCAAAAGTTTGCATAAGCATTGTTTTCAGTTTCTCTTGGTGCCATTTTAACTCCCAAGAGAAACTGAAGACAACGCTTATGCAAACGTTTGGGGTGACAAACAAAGAGTATTATGGTATGTTATGGTATTTTGTGGAGCTTTCAATGTTAGTTCATTATTCATTTTTAGTCTATTTTACTTGCTGTGAAGCGCATTTGATCATGCACCATGGAAAGTTGCGCTGTATAAGTTTTAAGTGTAATAGATCTCTTTTGCTTGTATGTTTTGTTTACGCAATAAAGGTCACAGGGGGACTTGACCCTTTGTCTTTTCATAAATTATGTGTACATATGCATGTGAGTAAAACGAAATTTGAAAGAAGCAGTTCTCTAGAGTTTTATCACATGACCCGTATTGGGAAAACAAAACATACAAGCTAAAGAGGTCTATTGTAGTGTCTCTTTGTAGTAATCCACTTTTTCAATTAATCAACATCTTTAACCGATTACCATCGATTCTCGAACACAAAAACCTTTTTTGGGGTGCCAAAAACACTGGTTTTTGCGTCCAAAAGAAATGAGTGTTCGTAATCAACTCTAAAGGACGCTCACTGATCTGGCTGGATTAGTCGTGATTAAAAGAGGAATTCTTTTTACAATTTGACCGGTCTGGCAAATGGAAAACACCCTAAAGATCTACAATTACTTAAAATAGTGCGAGATCAGTTTAACTTTGTGAAAGACAAGGAGTAACAGTCTTATCAGTAGCATTCTCAAGCTTTTTTTTTTGGCTTGTTGGCGAACGTTTAGCGTTTTGTAGCATTTTGTAGCAAATAACATCGATTTTTCAAGGTAAAATACATTTTTTCCATCCTTTTCCCAGAAAGGGCCCCTCCACATTACTTGTTCAAGCTATCTCCGATCCCTTGGCACAAAAACGGGCGAAGCAGTTTGAGTGTTCATTGGCCTTTCGACTGAAGACTTCTAACATTGTATTTGGCGTCTCTTTTAGAAAATTTTAGGGTCAGACGTAGATCCAGGACTGAAGATGTTTGGCATTTCAATATCGGGAGGGCTAGATGTGGACGGAAATTATTACAATGGTAAGTCAACCTTTTTAATCGATTAAAAGTTCAGCGTGTCCGATTCGGTGTTTATTTGGAAATCACATTTCTTAACCCTTTAAGTCCCAATAGTGACTGACAGCAATTTTCTCCTAACGGCATCCATACAATGTCAAGAGATTAGGTTATGAGAATTAATTAAATAATCACCTAAGAGAAAATACTTTGATCTTTTATCAAATCTAGCTACCGGTTTGCCCTTTAAGTAATTTTCAAAGGGTCCACACACATGAAGGATAGGACAGGATTATATTGTACTGTATATTCAACATCTTCATTGTCACCCTTGTCAGATATTGCTGTTGGAGCTTATGCCTCGGAAAAAGCTGTTATTCTAAGGTGCGTATTTTTTTTATTCCTTTCGAAAAAATAGACTTCCGTCCCTTTACAAAGTGAGGTTGTGGAACTGATTAATGAGTGAAAGATTGAAAGTAATGGGATGAATGAGGTAAATGGAATAGACTGAGAAAATGAATGGAATGGAACAAGTGAGGAAATGGGAAGGAATATTCTGATGGTGAATGGACAAACGTAAAAAGAAGCAATCTCCATTTTTTAATTTTTATTTTCATTCAGGTCCCGAAACATTGTAAAGGTTGAAGCTTCTATTACACTAAGTGAGAAACAAATCTCTTTGGAAAGCAATGACAGTATGTGCGACTTAGGAGGTGCAAAATACAAGTGGTAAGGTTTTGAGCATTGGATGAAATTGGTCACATGATATTATTTGTAGGCTGTTTAAGGGTCTGTGTCACTACCGTCTAGTTCATTTTGTTGCCCTTTTTCGCTATGGAACTTAACGTAACGAAACGTAACGTAACTTAACGTAACGAAATCACTTCATGTCAAAAGAAATTTGTCATCCAATCTTTACGTCTAACGTTAGATGAAAAAGTAGATGCAATTCTTAAGTGTGAACATTCAAGTGAAAGCTACTGAGCAGTATTTTCTTATGGTACTGTTTATAATGCTGTACAAGGTAATTATAACTTTTGAGTTTAAGTGTGACCGTCCGCATGAAACATTTTCAGCAGTATTTTCATGTAGTTCTGTTTAGTATGCTGTACTAGGTGGATCTAAACTTTTCAGTCCGTAGAAGAAATTCGGTGATGCAACCATTTAACTGGAAAAACAATTATTTTACAGAAAAAGCAGGTGGAATCATTTTTAATAAATTTTCACTTTGTCCACTAATAGCGGAGCTCTGGCGCGCGAAGCGCGGCTGCGGAGCACCATGGGTAAGTAAATCTACCCATCCCAGAAAATTTGGTAATCACGTGACCGTACACCGCCCTCAGCCCGCCCGTCCGTCCGCACCACAGGGAAACCAGTGTTTAATCCTCACACTTTCTAGCCAGTTTGGGAGCACAGGAAGACTCATATTGCACACATATATTGCACATCAGTGCTGTGATCAATTGACAGCTGTCAAAACAGAGTATCCGCTGACCAGTATCACCTGACCGTATCGTGGGCTCAGGTGTCGACCCATGGAGGTCGAATATCTTTTTGAAGTTATCCGCTGACAAGTTACTAGTTTTCAAATGATCGCAGGCTCAAGTTTATTTTTTTTTAATTCATATGAAATATGTTGTGTTTTGTACGTGCCGCACAATTAAAATGTTGATTTCAAACTGACCTCGGAAGCTAAAATTCAGCCAGTTTTTACAGGCAGGGAAGACATGCCAGTTGCTTTTGACTTTTCTCACCAAGGTCACGCGTTGGTCACGCTCTACGTCCAATTGTTATGCTCTGATTGGTCCAAATTTGACAGGTGAGTTCATGCGGAAAATTTATGCAGCATCTTGAAACTTGTTTACTTTGCTGAAGTTGACAGAGTTTTCTGTCAACTTGTGATGTTTTTAACTGTCTTTTTCCACTGAATGTACAAAATGAAATTCAGCTGCTATCAAGAGTCTTCTGTTAATCATGGCTAGTTTGTTTACTGGGGTTTTGGTTGAAAAATACGTCGCTTGTCAAAGTCGGAAATCCGATTTCGGATGGCATCGTTTTCGTTTCACCTTGCTTGATGCGTAAGAGGGTTGAAAAGTCTGAAGCGATTCTGGCTTTACTTGATAGTTTTCAGTGCATCTCGAATGGTAAGCCTGAGAAATTATTGTATTTGACGTTTGTTTTTTAAATCTAATTTAATGAAGTCGAGCGTAGTTTATGCGGCTATTTAGTTTATGCACGTTTTTAATTGTAAGATTTGAGACAATGATCTGACCGAGTATTAGGTTTGATTATAAGCTTATAGAACTTTAAAAAGCCTTTAGACATTTCCTCACCGCAAATAGAAAGAAAACGTTCCAAAGAATATTTAGTTATAATTGTGGCTGTAAAAGAAAGCTTTGAGCGATTTTCTTGCCTCGAGTTCATCTTTGAAAAAGCAAACACCGGGCAGCCGGCTTACCGAATGAAAAACATAAACAAGGATTTTCAGAGACACTTTAATACTTGTCTTCGTGAATGAAAATTGTTGTCTCTGTATATGTTTCACCGAATTATTTTCCTTTTATTGATCGTTAGTAGTCTCTTTTGCAATTTTTATCGCTGTGCCGTTTGTTTTCCGTCGCTCATGAACATCGCTTGCATGCTGGAGTACTCAAAATGCCGCACGTATCAAACGCTTTTGACGATTACACATCGTTATAAAACCATTAAATAAAAAATAAACATAATAAATTCTTTATTATGTTGAAGCGTATAACTCTTAAACAGTCGACTTTGGCACTTGTCAAAAGTGAGAACCGGCTAGCCGTATAGGTGATTTTGGTAATTTTTTTAACGGTTTCGCTAAAACCCACACGTGCTTCGATCGTCCTGAATATTGAGTGAGTGCAATTTGTATTGCAAACTTGTGAAATAATGCATTCTGTTCGAGGTCTGTATGATAAAAACAGCGCCTCTTGTTACTGTTTCACCTCAGATGTGATGTATAAAAAGTATAAAAGGTTGGGTTACACGTCCCCAGACTTGTTGGCAAGATTTTGTAAAGTAAACTGGTCGAACGAATTCGGCCTGATTTGTTTTCCAAGAATTTGTTTTCCAGGCCTAATCTACTGTGATCAAGAGCCCGCGCTCTTAAATGTGATCGAAGATGATTGCTATTTTTTGGGTGTACATATAAGGCTATCAACTCGATGTAAGATTAAGTTCACTCTTAGCTTGGACTGTTTGCAAATTACTTTTCTCTAAAATCACTTAACCTTTCCCTCAAAAGTCACATGAATGTGCTCTAAAGTTAACTGAATTGTGGAAAATAAGTTTATTGTTTGATTTAAATTATAAATTCCAGTTAATATATAGGAGCTTCGCTTTTAGCCCTGGCTAAATCTATATATTATATAGATTAAGCCAAGGCCAAAAGCGAAGCTCTCGAGGGATCTTTTAAGAAATGTCTTTCTAAACTTTGCCGTAAGCAGAAAGTTAAGTGAATTCCGCTTTAGAAAATGGACCTGAGCCCGCAATCGATTGAAAACCATGTGACTTTGGTCAGCGGATACCTTTTTGACAGCTGTCATTTGACATTATCATGGATGTCCAATACCAAGTTAAACACAGAGGATATATGCCTTGGACTCCTAGCTAGTAAGTGTGCCATTTCACATCCGCCAACATGAAGGTGTGAACGTACGGAAGATTTTGTCCGAACCAAAATTTCATGGATGCATGGTTACCCATGGTGCCCCGCTGTGCGGGCTTCGCGCGCGAAAGAGCTTCGCTATTAGGTTTTTTTTTTAAATATTTCTTTTTGTCTGCAGCGTCAACATTACCATTGGATTCGAGTTCGATGATGTGGTGGATTTAACCAATACTGCAAGTGAGTTCGATTTTGTTTACTTGCAAATTAACTTGAGTAGGCTGATCTGAAACAAGTTAGGTCAGAGTCTTGGAAACAATTTGCAGGAACAATCTTTTCCTGGCTTCACTTACAAAATCTGCTCGATGTCGAAAATGATCCTCGTAAGTGGTATAAGGAATAGTTGGCCTGTGCCGCCACTTCTGAACCGCTTTCATTAAAACGACCGTTATTACTAAACTATAATAAAAGACGGATCGAAACGCACCATCCAGATTTAAGTGTTCATAGCCAGTCACAACGCAGGCAACACAGGCGACCAAACTCGTCCACACTAACGCGTTTTCATTTGAAAACGCGTACATTTTGATCCGTTTAGCCCTTCCGTCCACACTAATACACTCAGCGCTTTCATCGAAAACGCGTCGACTTGAAAACGCTCTTGAAAGTGGATCAAAACGAAAACGCACACCCTTATCGTATTGGTGTAGACAGTCGAAAACGCATCAAAACGGTAGTGTGGACGCGAATCGATCGATGCGTTTTCGATGACAGCGAAAACGCGTTGTTTTGAAAACGCACTAGCGTGGACAGGGCCTTAATTGACTAATGATGTCAATAACCACGATTCAATTCCATCAGCTGACAAGATACAACACACTTTGACCCAGAAGATGACTGGCACATAGGTTGTCAAAAATTCATTCACACAGGGTCCTATTCAGGAATACACTCGCTTGGACGATCATATAAAGAGGAGAAGTGTGACGTCATGTTACCATGGTAGCAACATTTCTTGATCACAACAGAGGGGAGCCTAAGCAACAACGACGGAGACGGCAACGAGAACGGCAAAAAAGCAATCGGTTTATATCAGCAAAACAACAACTTTGCACGTGCATCACGCTTTTTTGTACATTTCTTAACCGTCGTTGCAAGTCTGCGACTTGAAACTTCCTAATTTCACGCGCCTGCATATTGGGTTGGTGAACACAGCACGAGAATTTTCTTTGCCTTTTTCTAAACTCGGATACGGTCCTTTCGGATTCAAGCCCAGACAATTTCGCCAAGATTTTACAAACTAAATGAAATTGAATAAGATCGATGAAGTTTGAAACGGTGGGAATTCACCTTTTAAGTGACGTTTTCGCTTTGTTGTTATCCAGAAATTTGGCTACCATGGCAACGTGATGTAACAACTTCTCTCTATTCCACCAACTTTTGACATGACTCGTGGCGTCAAACCATTAACTTAAGTAGAAGAACGTTCGTTACAAGACTGACTGTAGCCAATCATGCTAATAATTAAGATACTGTAAACTGCCGCCCATTAACTGTGGGCTTATACAACTTCGTAAGGGTTTTTAGGGGGGTTTATAAACGGAGAGGCTTATATCCAGGGGGTTATAACCGGAATAGAAGTAGCGCGTCAAACGAAATTAAGAGGTTTTGCATTAAAATAAACCTTCAATAAACCTTCAAAACGACAGTTAATCGAATTCAGTTCAATATGAACAAAAGTCTTGGGACATTGGGCATTTTCCAATTCACACAGGCCCAACCCCTCCCCTCTCCCCACAAACAATGTTGGACGCGTGTATCCAGAATTTTTTCCGAGTTTCAGTATTGTATACGGTGGGGGGAGGGAGAACTGTAAGAAAATTTTGAAAAGGGTGCACTGTTTTATGAGGGAACCAAGAATGACAAAATATGAATATTACCAAGAGCCATAATGGCTCTTGATGTTACATCACTGTCCCAAGGACTTTTGTCCACGATTGTAGATGGGGGCTTCTATCCAATGGAGTGTTAAAGGCGGCAGTTTACGGTACAGTCACACCCCGCTCTATGGATACGCGCATAATACGGCAGGGTTGTCGTTAAGATTTCGAGTTGCCGGGTAAATACAACAAGTAGGCGGGGAATCAAACACCGAGGGGTGTCTTTTGGTTCTAATTCTCTTCTATTTTCCAGTAAAAGTAGCCGGGGGTCACACTCATAGTGGCCAGGGGAAATCCCCGGCCCCCGGCTCTTATTGACAGCCCAGATTACTACGGACACCACATTATTACGGACAGTTTGCTTTATCCCTGGGGAAAGAAAGCCCTTACATTTTCTCTAAATTTAACCAACTTAGTGTCCTTATTAGCGGGGTTTGAATTATGGATGGTTCTCTGTTAATGTTGCCCTCTGAAGTATCCATGACGTAGAGATAGTAATACGCATTTCCTAAAAACTCTTTATTCTTTGTCCTTTCTACTCCTTACTTGTCCTTTTCGTTCCATGTTTGTGCTTACTTGTACTTGTTTGTGATTTGAGTGGAGTTCCTCTGAACTGCCCAATCGAGCTAAGTGCTTTGATTTTCACGGAAAGCAAAGCATTAACATTTATATTTTGTCGCATTTTAGATCTTCCTATTCAGTACAAGGTAGATCTGGACAAAGAAAAAGGGGAAAGTGTACTACGGCGACTGTTTTTCTGGGATGAGGCGAAGCAGGAGAGAATGACCGTTTTGGAAAATAACTACACAATTCCTGCACGACGGACTTCGTTTACCTTGCAACCTCAAACAGTCTATATATTGGTATTGTATTTTTGTCTGTGTGGTAATTTAAACCTAGCTTGCGATGTAGGCGAATAGAGATGGATTGTGTTTTGAATCCTTTCACTCCCCGAGCTAAAGCAACGACGACGGCGACGAGAAAGGCAGAAAAAGCAATAGGTTTAGATTGGCAAAAAAAAACAACAACAACTTTGCACGTGCATCACGCTTTTTTGTACATTTCTTTGCCGTCGCTGCACGACTACGACGTGAAAGTGCCTAATTTCACGTTTTGTCGAGAACGTGAACAAAAGACGACTTTCTTTTTATTTTCCTGAAATTTGATCCAGTCTTTTAGAATTCAACTCCAGAAAAATTGGACGAGTTGGAATAAGCACGATAACGTTCGAGGCAGCGCGAATTCACTTTTTTAGTGACGCTTTCATAGCCGTCGCCGTTGTTAATTAGCGAGCTTAAGCAACAACGACGGCGACGGCTACAAAAACGTCACTTGAAAAGTGAAGTCGCGCTGCTTCAAACTTTATCGCGCTTATTCTATCTCATTCAATTCGTCAAATGTTGGCAATTTTTTCTGGAGATGAATTGTAAAAGACTGTATCGATGTTCAGAAAGTTCATAGCTATCTTAGACTGGTTGTTGATCAATCCTTTCATGCAGGGAAGTCTGAAAGTTTAGGGTTAGGGTTGTTTTGCCAATCTAAACCTCCTATTGCTTTCAGTTTATGCCGTTGTCGTTGAAGTCGCCGTCCTCGTTGCTCCCTAATCCCACGACAGCGACGGCAACGAGAACGTCACAAGAGCAGTACCGTAAATCCTCTATTAAGCCCCCCGGGTGCATATTTATTTCAAACCAATTCGGGCGGGGGGGGCTTAATAGAGACGGGGAACTTATTTGAGCGGGGGGCTTATTTAATTTAGAACAGATGATGGTTTCGGTTCCCTCCATAAAGAACTAGAATTCAAAGTGGAAAAGTTCAAGTACCAGAAGTTAGCGGTCTTGCAGCCGAGGATCAAAAACAAATCTGTACTTCCAGTTAGTGAATAAACCATCCGGATCAGTCCACACGAAGTTTTACAGTCGTAGCTGATTGATACAGTCTATCATTTATTAGTAAAGAATAATTAGAGAAGGGGAGGGGAGGGGGCTTGGGGTGCTTATTAACTTTCCTTCCCTGAAAAGTGGGGAGGGGGGCTTATTCGCCTCTGGGCTGGCGAATAGAGGATTTACGGTAGGTTTACTATGCCAAACAACTACTTTTATGTACACTTCTTTGCCGTCAGTGCACGACTACGATTTGAAAATGACTAATATAACGTTTTATGGAGGACTTAAACAAGCCACGACGAAATATTCCCTCTCTTTCTGAACCTGGATTTGGTCTTTGGGAATTTTTCTCCCAAAAGAGTTCATCCACTTTTGAAAAAGTACGTGAGTTGAAAGAATCGCGATGGAGATTGAAAGAACGCGATTTTAAGTGAAGTCGTCGCCGCCGTCGCTGCCCTAATGATGAAGTCTTAGGAGGTGCTTCTAAGTTTTGAGTCTGTGGACGAAATCCTTTGGTCTTACCATTCTTTTCAGCAGTTTTGTCACCTGGTGCTATTTGTTTTTACAGCGTTTCAGAACACGAAATTTGCCAATTTTTTCGAATTTTGTTTTTGGCCACTTCGGGGAGTGAAAGGTTAAACATTTTAAACTATTTTACTATCAGGGACCATAAGGTGCTCCTGATATTTGCCTCATGGTAATGAGATCATTGTTTCACGTTGCAGGACAAAGATGAGGTTGGTGATGTTAACTCGCCTCTCACCGTTGATTTGAGCGTCTCCTTGCCTTCTTGTTCTGATCTCTGTCCGGTTCTTGACGATTACCTGCCAAGCACTTTCAGGAAGGAGGTAAGTTTTACTTGCATTCGAGAGTAAACGAAGACCTCGTAGCTCTCTATTTTTTCTTACCTATTTTTTGGGTACAAGCTTTTTGGATCTTAAGGGAAAAGTTTGGGTACTGAAATAAAACAGTTTGGATCTCGAGGGAAACATTTTGGGTCCCGTGGGAAACGGTTGGAATTCCGAGTGAGATCGTTCGGATCCCGAGGAAAATAGCTTGAATCCCAAGGGAAACAGTTTGGATCCCAACTGGAACAATTTAGATCGCGAGGAAAACAGTTTGGGTTCCCGAGTTCCAGATAGGAATTGAACTCTCGACGATCCTCCAGACACTAGTCGGACGCTCAAATAATCTCATTACATGGAGATTTCCCGAGGGATCAGTCATGAAGTAATTTGGTATACAGCCCACAAAAAACTTGTACATGTACAAATTTATGAAAGTAAATGTCAGCCAGCGGTCAACATTTGCCTGTTACCCTCTGGCTGCATGGATTTGCCATCTTGCCCGCGCGGAGACTGAAAACCAGAACTGAACTCCAGTAACCATGCAAAGTGTTAGAGGCTGGCGCTCGGAGACGAGCGCTTCCTGCCACACGAGCCACTTTCCGCTCTGTCATGCGCAAAAGCACGTGTTAGAACGCCGGTGCCTTAGAAAGACATCACTCTCAAAGAGTTCAAAATCAATTCGTGCTTGTTAGGCTAGGACTAATTGGTACTGTTGTCTCTCTTTCCTCAGATTCGCTTCATCAAAAAGTGCAAGAATAAAGTCGCGTGTGTTCCGGACTTGTCCCTCGTGGCTGGCGTGTATTGGTCACCAAAAACTGGGTAAGATACTGCTTATGAAGTGCAGAAGAGCAGTTTGGTAGACCTGTCGGAAAGTTTCGATGAAGCTCGTGCAAGTTCGGGTCATTCCGGCTTTGGACAATAGGCCATTGCCATGTTGCTTTAACCCTCTGTATTAACCCTTGAAGCCCCAATATCCACAAGCAAATTCTCCAAACTGATCTCTATACATTTCGTTAAAGAATAAGTTGAGAGAATTTGAGAAAAGATCAAAGCATTTTCTCTACGATGATCATTTAATTAATTCTCATAACCTATTCTCTTGACATTGTATGGATATTGTTAGGAGAAAATTGATGTTGGTCAAGGCTAAGTGCGAAGCCATTGATATGAAAATGATCTTTTCAATTATAATGGCCAATGGCCAATGGCCAATCTTGAGAAAAACGACATTCTGCATGCGCACGGCTTTTTCATTTTCGCACACCTGATTTCCATATTATAGTTTCCAGCTTCCAGACTGCTCCGAGACTAAATTTTTAGCATGTCTCAAACCGGAAAAAAAAATTTACCCATGCATCACTTTATACCTGACTTGTCCTGGACGACACTTTGGTTTTTCCGCAGCGAAACGACAAATCTAGAGAAACTAAGAATTGGCGTTGTAAAGGACTTCACAGTGGAGATGACCGTTTCAAATCAGGCTGAGGACTATGCATACACTTCCGTGATAGAGTTAAAGCACCCGGAAAGTCTGAACTACATTGGACCTGATCAGGTACTCTGATAACTATTAGGCTATGAGGTCATTTTACGTTCCTGGGAAACTGCCCACCTACCCCTCCCCTAAACCAACATTTTACCCTAAGGGCGCTGTCCATTTGTCAGAACTGGCCAGCCGGAACATTACCGGAACAGTTATTTTGACAATGAAATCGGCTTTTTCCAGGGGTTTTTGCTGAAGAACCATCTCCTTCCTACACACTGTTTAGGATTTGACTGATCTAGCTGGATAGTTTTGATTAATAGTGAAAGTCTCATTACGAAGGGAAGGGTCTGGCTGATCAGTTCTGACAAATGGAAAGCGCCCTAAGTGAGAAGTAAGTGTTGATGTTGGCTTAAGGGAGGGGTAGGTGGGCATTTTCTCTGGTCAAGTCATCCACACACACTCGGAACATCGTACCGGAGCAGTTGGCCGAGAGGGTTTGGTTCCCTAAATCCCAGTCCTCACTCCTGAACATTAACTCCCGTCTCAGTCGGTTCCAGTCCTCGCTTTTACTAGAGAGCTTTAGCTTTGAGGACGAGAACGAATACAAAGATTTAACTTAACGTTTTTTACGCGTGTCCTCAAAAAAGACACGCCGGAAAGCTTCATTTTACATTTTTTCACTAAAAAAGTTAGTACAGTTATTTATACCTTACGAGGTTAAGCCCTCTCCCAATAGCAAAATGATAAAAATGCTAACTTTTGGTAATTTGTTCCCGCCACGACATTCGCGCTAAAACTGGTAGTAGAATGACGACGGTCATCACGTTTTCCCGCCGAAATGACGCTGGTTCATGCGTGAGCACTACTTAGTGTTGCGAAAATCTCTTACTCGTAGTCGTCCTCGCCTCAGAATCTAAAGCTCTGTAATATACTCATTTGCTTCCGCTACCTTCCGAATACCTGTTCACACTGCTACGAAGAGTAGATATGTGATGATCCACTTTCGAAGAAATGGTCCCGAAATCCCCGTTTTTTTGCGTGAAGAGAAGCCCTATCTGCTATGATTTTCGTTTCATTCAAAAACTGTCGGGTATAATGTGAACATCGCCTTAACCTTTTAAGCTCTAAGAGTGATGAGCGTCAAATTTCTCCTTGTAAAATCACTACTTTATAAAACAGAGTGGTCATGAGAATTAACGACATGATCACACAAGATGAATCTAATCGATACTTCAACAAATTCTCCCCACTACTTCTATTGAAAACGTATAGGGATAACAAATGAGAATTTGAATTTTGATGTTAGGGTTTAAAGGGTTAAGGTGGTTGGGTACTACTCTATAGTATACAGAGAATAAGAGAACGGTAATTAGGGAGCTTAAGCAACCGCGACCGCGACGGCAACGAAAACGGCAAAAAAGTAATAGGTTTCAACAACTTTGCACGTGCGTCAGGCTTTTTTGTACATTTCTTTGCCGTCACTGCACGACTACGGCAGGAAACTTCTTTTGGGTGACGTTTTCGCTGTCGTTGCCGTCGTCGTTGCTTAAACTCCCTAATGAATCTGGGAATGGACGAAGGATTGGCCCAGTTGGTTCGTGCCCGGCCTTCTGTGCGGGAGGTCCCGCGGGAGGTCCTGCGGGAGGTCCTGCGGGAGGTCCTGCGGGAGGTCCCGAGTTCGATTTCTAGGTATGACCACAAATCTTTCTTTCGATTTCTTTCCGTTCTGTGTAGCTTAACCCTTTAAGCCCCAATATCCACCTATAAATTCTCCATACTGATCTTCGTACATTTCCTTAAAGAATTAATTGAGAGAGTTTGTTAACAGATCAAAGCATTTCCTCTTTAGTGATCATTTTGTTAACTCTCAGAACCATTTCTCTTGGTAACATATGGATATTGTTAGGAGAAAATTGATGTTGGTCACTGTTACGGCCCATCGTCGTACTCGTACTCGGGTCATTAAAAGCCCCGTGAGACTGGACCTGTGAGAGTAGAATAAATTATGTAGATAACACGTCACGTGACTTCCTTGCTAGTCGCTCGTAGATTTGTTGTAAGTCGGGTTCGCGGGCAGTACATCAACCTGTTGTAAATCGGTGTATTGTAAATCGAGCGGATTAAAGTTGTGTTCAAGCGTTCAAGTTTGTATTCCATCGCTTCCTTAACATGGTCCTTCACAGCCGGATACAAGGTGACATTTGAACAGTAAATTTGTAATTCTTCGCAAGGTCATCACCACGTGGGCGATAAGATGGCCGCCAGTCCAAAGACCGAAAATGATGATTTATCGCAATTTACAGTCGATCAGCTGCGAAAGCTGCTTCAAGAAAAGGGATTACCAACTACTGGAAAAAGGAAGGTCTTGATTGAAAGGTTGGTAGACGATTCAAAGTCAAATGTTGTCAAACCAGAGTCGAAGGAAGAAATGAATCTTGCTGAGTCAGCGGAGTCTTCGAGTGAAGTAGAAATTCAAGAGATTAACTCGATCAGACGCAAAGCCAAAGCCTTGCAAATAGATATGGACGGGCTGATTCGGGAAATTTCGGAGCTTAGTCAAAGTACAAGTAACAAAGTGAAAGTAAAGCTGAGAATTGAAAGACTTACCGTGCACAGAGAGAAATATCTTCAGCTGAGAAATGAAATAGTCGCGCTGATCGCGGAGGATATGATAGATGAAGAACTTCGCAAATGGGGAGATCTTTTACGTGTGGTGGATAAAGCTATCGATGTTGCTCATGAATACCTCCAAAAGGATTCCAAAGTGGAAGATCATCAGTCTTCAAAAGAAAATACACATACTGATAGTCGTCAATCGTCAAGTCTTAAATTGCCCAGGACTGAACTGCCAAAGTTTAATGGGGATGTGTTGAAATTTCAAAACTTCTGGGACCAGTTTGAAGCCGCAGTGCATAACAATGATGACTTACCCAAGGCACAGAAGTTTACTTACCTACGCTCAGTGCTTACTGGTAATGCTTTGCAAACAATAGAAGGATTTGAAGTAACTGGAGCAAATTATCAAGCAGCGGTCCATTGCCTCCAACACAGGTATGGAAGAAAACGTATGATAATCTCATCCCTTGTGAAATCTGTCATCCAGATGGATGCTAAGTCGGCGGTCAGCGCATCCGCCCTTAGAGATCTTTATGACACATTTATGAATAGAACCAGAGCCTTAGAAGCGCTTGGTGAAGATCCAGCGAGTCATGGTTGTATTTTGTTACCCATCTTTGAGACCAAGTTGCCACCTCAGTTACTAGAAAAATGGGAGTTAGAGCTTGCAGACACTCAAGAGGATAAAATAGATCTTGAGCTGTTTTTCAAATTTCTGAACCGCCAAGTAGTATCTAAAGAAGCGGGAGAGAGAGGTTGTAATGTGAACAATACCCAAAGCAATAAGGGTAGAGATAACAGAAGAAAGCCGTCACTTCCTCGAATTGGTAAGGATGGAGCGTATACAGCCTCTGCATTACTTGGTGAGGCACGCGAGCTAACTGGTCCAAGCTGCAATTTCTGTAAGGCAGGTCACGAGTCGCCAAATTGCCCAGTTTTCAATGACAAGTCATTAGATGACAGGTGGAAGCTAGTTCAAGAGAATAAACTGTGTTTCAATTGTTTAAAGCCCAGCAACCACAAGCACTTTTCCAAGATTTGTCACCAGCCTAAGTGTTCGTTGGTCATCACAAATTGTTACATGGTCAGCAGTTAGTGGCTACACCCCAGCAGCTTTCCAAGTGCATTGCCCTTGAAGGAAACACTGCTACAGACAGCGTTGGCGAGGTTAACTGTCAGTGGTCAAGAAATGACAGTCCGTGTTTTGCTAGACTCTGGGAGTCAACGTTCATATATGCGCAAGAACATCGCAGAGTCCCTTGGCTTGCAAGGTCCCTCAGAGTTATTAAGTGTTACAATGCTCGGTGGAACAACTAGTGAAACCAAGAGATTGCAGAGAGTTAAATTAGCACTTTCGCCAATGAAAGGAGATTCCAAGGTGGAGATGGAGGCCCTTGCTATTCCCAAGATTTGTAATCCCCTCGGGCCAGTGCAGTTAGACTTTCGTAAGAACTCTCATCTTCAAGGTTTAACTCTCGCAGATTCCTACCCTCGCGATTCCGTCCAAGTAGATGTCCTTATTGGTGCAGACTTTTTTACTACTCGTTCGTAACTGGGTTGTACAAGAAAGGTAGTTCATCTGAGTCACTTGTTGCTGTTGAATCTCATCTCGGGTGGATTCTTACCGGACAAGTAAACCGTTACTCAAGGTATACCACATCCATGCTTACCGTTGTAGAAAACAGTGGACTCACTAAAAGCTTGAAAAGATTCTGGGAACTGGAATCTATTGGCATCGCTGAGACTGAAAACACTGTTGTTTCCTGGGAGGAGGAAGTTGCTGTTGCTGACTTCAATAGAGGATTGAAATTTGACGGGAAGAACTATGAAGTACGACTACCGTGGAAACGTGACCCTCCTAAACTGGAAAGTAACTACATGCAAGCTGTTAGACGTCTGGAAAGCATCGAAAGAAGGTTAAGACATGACCCTGTGAAAGCTAAAGCTTACAATTCTGCAATCAATGAATATGTAGAGAAAGGATTTGCAGAGGTAGTGCCTAACGAGAATGATGAAGATAGAACTGTACGCTACCTGCCGCATCATGCTGTGTTCCGTGATGACAAAACGACGACTAAGTGCAGAATCGTGTTTGATGCTTCCGCGCGAGAAGGAGATGGTGTTTCTCTCAACGATTGTGTCCTTCCCGGTCCTGCTCTACAGCCCAACCTTGCATCTGTACTCATTCGATTTCGAACAAACAGAATTGGTCTCATAGCAGATATTGAAAAGATGTTTCTTCAGGTCAAGCTAGCGCCAGAGGATAGAGACGTTCACCGGTACCTGTGGAGAGATTTACAATTTAACGAAACACCCAAAGTTCATAGAATGCAAAGACTGACATTTGGTGTGAACTCCAGTCCATTCCTTGCTGTTTCGACTGTCCATGCTCATGCAAAAAAATACGCAGAACTGTTCCCAAATGCAGTCCAAGAAATTCTACAAAACATGTATGTGGATGACGTCCTAACAGGAGCCGATACGGTGGACTCGACTGTGAAACTTCAACAAGACTTGTCAGAGATCATGATGAAAGCGGCGTTTAACTTGACAAAGTGGGCAAGTAACTCACAGCTCGTAATGGATGCTATTGCCCCAGCCAAAAGAGCCTCATCGTCACTGGTGGAGTTTGAGTCGAGTGAACCCCTTAAAGCGCTTGGAGTCTCATGGGATTTGACCTCTGATCACTTCCGATTTCTTGCACCGGGTGGAATTGTCTTATCTCCGGATCCAATGACAAAGAGAAGCCTGCTTAGTCTAGCATCGAAAATGTTTGACCCTTTAGGGTTGATATCTCCCTTCACTGTCAGAGCCAAAATCCTCTTCCAAGAACTGTGGTTGAAAGGATTATTGTGGGATGACCCTTTGGACAGTGAAATTAAAGCAAAGTGGCTACATTGGAAGTCAGAGTTGTTGCAACTGAAAGGTGTGACCATACCCCGATGCTTCGGAAATGGCATCACGCAAGATTCTAAGATAGAGCTACATGGTTTTGGAGATGCCTCTCCTAAAGCGTACGGAGCAGCAGTGTACATCAGAATAGCAGACAAGCAAGGTCATGTATCCTCGCAGCTGGTAATATCAAAGTCCCGAGTTGCACCTATAAAGAAAGTGTCACTACCCAGACTGGAACTTTTAGCAGCAGTTGTAAATGCCAGGTTGTTGAAGTTTGTTGTAGACACTTTGCCTGTGGAAGTGAGTGGTGTTGTGTGTTGGACTGATAGTATGGTGGCACTGCACTGGGTAAAAGGTCAGAGTTCTCGTTGGAAACCATTTGTGGCGAATCGAGTGGCAGAAATACAGTCTACGTGGGATCCTGAGTGTTGGAGGTACTGTGCTAGTAAGGAGAATCCTGCAGATTTGTTGACGCGTGGGTTGAGCTGTGATGATATGATTACCAATACCTTATGGTGGAATGGACCTCGGTGGCTGTCTTCGAGTGACAAACCTTTACCCGTTCAGCCCCAAGGTGGTACTGTTCCCTCTGAAGTATGCTAACAGGAAAGGAAAATTGCTCATGGTTGTACAGCAGTCGTTAGAGAGCCGTTAATTGATATGTCGCGTTACGGGACATGGTTAAAGTTGATTCGAGTAACCGCTTATGTACTGAGAGCAGTCAAGTTGTTCAAGACTAAATGTAAGTCTTCTGAAATTGAACTGTCGGCAGAAGAAGTGAGGAAGGCAGAGCTTAAGTGTTGTAAGTGGGTACAGGAAGAGGTCTATAAAGAAGATTACCAGTTGCTAAAGTCCGGACAAACTCTTCCCAAGAACAGCCGCCTTCTCAAACTAGACCCGTATTATGACAGAGAGGATCAGGTTATAAGAGTTGGTGGCCGACTGCAGTTTGCTGATCTACTTGAACAGACCAAGCATCAAGTAATATTGCCTCACGGACATCCCGAAGTCGCAAAGATGGTACTAGACCTACACAAGATCATGTTACATGCGGGCCCAGAAAGCATACTGTCAACCTTAAGACAGAAAATTTGGCTGACCCAAGGGAGACAAGAAGTCAAACGTGTTATCAGAAGATGCGTGGCTTGCCAAAAACAGCGAGTTGGACCTTGCGCGCAGAAAATGGGCCCATTGCCGGAGGATAGAGTTTCATGTTCACCAGCTTTCGCGCATGTTGGAACTGACTTCGCAGGACCTCTCTATGTAAAAGAAGGTTCAACCATACAGAAAGTGTACGTTTGTCTATTCACATGCGCATCATCTCGTATGATTCACTTGGAACTAACACACAGCCTTACCACTGATGAGTTCCTACAAGCCTTTAGTCGCATGACAAGCCGCAGAGGTCTTTGCCATACAGTGTGGTCCGACAACGCAAAAACCTTTAAGGCTGCAAGCAAGGAAATCCAGAAATTGTATGATCCTAGTACTCAAAGTCGAACGGTGTGGGATACATTGGATCGAAATCGAATTAATTCTGAGCTCTCGTCGAAAGAGATTACGTGGAAATTCATCACCGAGCGTTCACCATGGCGAGGCGGATGGTGGGAACGATTTTTCAGAGCAATCAAAGAATCATTGCGTAAAGTGCTTGGAAAGGCGCTTCTCACCTTTTCTGAGTTGAACACATTATTAATTCGAATTGAAGGCATCATCAACTCGCGACCATTAACGGCAGTGAGCGACGATTGCAGAGACCCTTTGCCAGTTACACCTGCTCATCTTGCAATTGGTAGACCAATTAACCAGTTACCTGAGAGTAAAGAAGAAAGCTTGGAGGAGACTAGTAAAAGAACTGTCGAAAGGTATCTTTACCTACAGAGACTACTTAACCACTATTGGAAACGTTGGCAACGAGAATATCTGCACCTGCTGTCCGTGAGAAGTAAATGGCAAGAGGAAAACCCCTCCATTCGAGAAGGTGATATCGTGTTGGTCTCTGATGATAATGTATCGCGTACCAAGTGGCCAATGGCCAGGGTGGAAAAGGTTCATCCTGGTAAGGATGGACTCGTGCGAACGGCTACCGTGAAAGCACAGAAAGGTGTATTCAACAGGCCTGTTCAACGCTTACACAGATTGGAAATTGATGCAGCGGCCCCACAAGTTACCCGTGAAGCTGATGTTCCTGTTGACGGTGGGGAGAAGCCTCGAGCGAACTCTGTTACTGTTAAAAGTGTACCTATTCGTAAGCCTAAGAAGAGAGTTGTCCTCCCCGAAGGAGGACAAGGTGGGGAGAATGTTACGGCCCATCGTCGTACTCGTACTCGGGTCATTAAAAGCCCCGTGAGACTGGACCTGTGAGAGTAGAATAAATTATGTAGATAACACGTCACGTGACTTCCTTGCTAGTCGCTCGTAGATTTGTTGTAAGTCGGGTTCGCGGGCAGTACATCAACCTGTTGTAAATCGGTGTATTGTAAATCGAGCGGATTAAAGTTGTGTTCAAGCGTTCAAGTTTGTATTCCATCGCTTCCTTAACAGTCACTATTGGGACTTAAAGGGTTAAAGTAGTTTTCAATTCCCGTAAAACGGAGCACGGATGGAAGGGGGTGCGGGGGATGGTACGAGCGCACCGTCGACCGCAGGCGTGTTAGTCAGATGACTATTTCAAGCTACCGACGTAAAATTAGGACTGTTTATCTTGACCTTCATCTTTTTTTCTCAAGGGTGTTGAATGCGATAGAAGCCTTTCAGACAATGACACCGTGACCGTCACTTGTGACGTTGGAAATCCACTTCAGGGCAAGGCTCAAGTAAGTCAACACTGTGCCATTTTGTTTCAAGTTTCGATCCACGTCTATCCTTGCCATCCCTAGCAACAGACGACAGGAAATAGTAGGATGATTATACGTTTCTGGGGAACTGCCCACCTACCCCTCCCCTAAGCCAACAGTAACACTTACTTCTCACTTAGGGCAAAATGTTGGCTTAGGGGAGGGGTAGGTGCACAGTTTCCCAGAATCGTGTAATGATCTGCCCCTTAAAAAGTAAACACTAAAAGAGACGAGTGACCACTTTTCTTCAAGTGCCCACGGTCAATATTTATTCACGATAACTGTCCAGTTTTAATACTGCTCAGAATTATTTAGGGAAACAAATTCACATCTAACCGTGTTTTCTTTCTAGGTGGCTGTTATCATTGATTATTATTATTATTATTTTAAGGAACCTGAACCAGTATTCTTGACATAAATCTGTTTGTGCTACTCCTATTTGTTGCTTAGTTTTACTCGAAATCACGCCAAGCGGACTGCTCAATTTTATTTTGCTGTCTACTTGTAGAAAAAATTTGGAATCAAATTTTCACCTGGAAGTGTGAGGGAAGACTTCGTTATAGAAATCGAAGCAAAAAGGTGCGTTTTTATTTAGTTAGTTAATTAACAGTTAAACAGAGTTGACCACCACGCTCTTCCAAGTCAGCGGTCATACCTGCGAGCGCAAGCTCGCGTGGAACGCTGCTGCTTCGTCACGGCAAAGATCTTGTCCGAGTTCTGAACTACTTTGGAAGTAGTGGGACAGATTAGGGAGCTTACGCGAAGGCGTTTTTGAACGACGCACGTAAACCGTAAGTGAACCCCATTCTCTTCTAATTTGCCATAAGCCCTCCAAATTTGTATTGCTAAGCGTTTATAGTCTCGTAAAGGTGATTTGACCGAAAATTTGGGCAAAACAACTGCCCAAGAATGGATACAATCCACTTCCGGGAGATGTGCGTCACTCAAAAACGTCTTTGTGTAAGCTCACTATACTTCCAGGCGCCTGCTAAGCAGGCTAGCACAACTTGCACTGCAAGCTGCTTCTTTGTACTCTTAAAAGGCACTTATCGTCTCTTCTACAGAATAGTATTCCCGTAATGACAAAGATGATTGTTAACTTAGTATATTTGAGTTCAATTATAAATCCTGATGCGTTGCTGTCCTCAGTCGCGCAGCCAGTATGGTGGTAACCATGGTAGTTGCTTCGTTTAAAACAAATATTTTTGTTAAAGAGTTCACAAGTTTCTTGTGTGTTCGTCGAGAAAAGAAAATGACTAAGACGGTTATGTCTCAGCACGTTAACTCCATTCTCAGTTAAACCAGGACTGTCTCCTCTGAATAATTAGGGTGGCTACTTCGTTGGCTGTACATATGAAATGCAAAATTCGTTTGTTTGATAAGACTATTCCAGAATAAGTTTAATAGACCTTTTTACCGATACGCAGGGGGTTCATTAAGGTTTTGAACAGGAGGGCAACTGAGTTTGACACCCGGGCAAAGAATTGGCAAGGCCCGGGGGGGCCTTGCCCTCTAGGGGGGTCCGGGGGTATGCTCCCCCGGAAAATTTTGAAATTCTATAGTCGTAAGGATATGTTTTCCTGCATTTTGAAGCTACAGACAGTGACTTTCAACAACCAAAAAAAGATAACTTTTCTAGACAATTTAATCATGATTTGATACCAATACCCACCACACAAATTGGACTTTTTGGTTCTCTTTTAATAGCTCTGCTCATAATAATCTTTACTCAAACTCACCGTCAGCATCTGAGCCGTAATCAACTTATCTTTAAAATTTCAATGACTAGACGGGAGGAGCACTGTTTTAACGTGAACGCTCCGAAAATTAATTCATTGGCGTAAACCATAAGACGAATAAAAATCACGCTTCGCTTCGTTGAACATGATGATTAAGCCATTCAATATAATTATACAGGCAAGTAAAAGGTTAAATCACAAAGAAGTCTACTCATCTCTTGGTCTTTTCTCTACTGGAGGCCCTTTGGTTGAAGCCGAAAAATAATACGCTATCGAACGCGTTCTTTTCTGGGCCGCCATGCTCATGTGCTCTCAACACTGATACATTTCAGGTGGTCGTTTATGAAGCACAGTTCTTTTCGCAATGTGTTATGGGGCGATTCTTGTTTTTAACGCACAAAGAACGAGGGGATTTCATGTCGCGTGTAATAAAGTGGAAATTGCACGGCAAAGTATGTTTTACACTCGATAAGACTCATCAAGAAATGGGCACGATTGTAACTTAAAACTGTTTTTGATCGTTCTTTGTATTAAAAAGAAGTTCTTTGAGATGTAAAGCAGCCGGGCAAAGTCGTGTTCACAGCCGGTCAATTTGCCCGGTGCCCGGCCCTTAATGAACCCCCTGGATACGGCGGCCATATTGAATTAATTCGATTTAAGGAGTATCTAGGATGCCCAGGGGGCATGAGCGCATTTCGTTTGTATTTTCGAGCGCTTTTCGGGACATTTTGTCTTAAAGTTTTCTTAGAATAAGATTCTAATGGGAAAAAAGATGCTTGTGCCGTGTTTGGATGAAATAATGATCGCCTTTTTCCAGAGAAATATACAGTGAAATTCCGTATTTCTAATACTAAACTAGAAAAAGGTGATCATGATTACATCCAAACACGGCACGAGGATCTGTCCCTTTAGAATTTCATTCTAAGAAAACTTTAAGAAAAAATGTCCCGAAAAGCGCTCGAAAATACAAACGAAATGTGCTCATGCCCCCTGGGCATCCTATAATACTCGTTAAATCGAATTAATTCAATATGGCCGCCGTATTTGTAAAAAGGTCTATTGAACGCAGCCTTGCCATATAGTCTACTTTAAATAAATTGTAAATAAATAAATACATAACAACGATTTAGAGGGAGCACCTACTCATAGTGGTTTTTCGTTTACAATTCCTGGTCGAATTGGAATTTAGAAAAGTTAGTTTTTGAGGAGAGGGGAATATCTTTCGGAGCGAGGGAGAGAACCAACAACAAACTCAACCCACATATGGAGTCGACGCCGGGATTTGAACCTGGGCCACATTGGTAGGACGCAGATACTCTCATCAGTGCTCCTGCATCCGTCCTTGAAGGCCACGGCCTAGATTTCCCGTATTTTAAACTAGGGAATCGGGATTTTAAAGCAAAACCGGGGCGAGATAATCGGGATTGAAAGTATGCTTGGAGGTAGCAAGCCAAAACAATCATCGGGACTACGGCCGGGATTTTCACGAAATTTCGGGTCGGGATTACGGGACTGAAGATCCTCGTTTCTCAGAGGGCTTTAATCCCTTCACGAGAAACCTTGTGTGAAATCTATTCCGGGAGTTTACAGTCTCTTTTGTCGGTTTGTGCTTTTCAGTCAAGATGTGGATGCTAATGCAAAGGACAACACGAAGAAACTCCCCGTTGCTGTCAAGTTTGAAACAGATCTCGAAGTTACAGGGTAAGAGTCGTTGAACTTACAGGAGATGTTTCACGAATTTTATCAAAATGAAGCAAATTATTAACCAGTCAGAAGCACCACCCAGATCTGGGTAGTGACGGGTCATCGTCAGAGAGCTTTAGATTCTAAGGCCTGTTTCAAACGTCGTGCTACTGCCGTGCTAAGCTGGCTCGACTGTAGCTCGACTGCAGCACGACACTAGCACGACTTGGTTTCAGACGTCGAATTCAATTCAATCGAATAGACCGGCTGTTGCCGAAAACACAACACAAAAATAAATAAACGGTTTAGCAAACTTTAAAATGTATTCTAATGTATTTATAACTTATGAATTGAGTTCGGCATGGCGGTAGCACGACGTTTAAAACCAAGTCGAGCTACTGCCGTGTAGCACGAAAAGGCTTGCCGTGCTACAAGCCAGTAGCACGACTTGGTTTCAAAGGTCGCGCTACTGCCGTGCTAAAGTCGAATTTAATTCGATCAATTGAGTTCGGCACGGCAGTCGCACGACGTTTGAAACGGGCCTAAGACGAGGACGACCACTAAGAACGAGATTTTTCCAATACTAAGTAGTGCGCGTACGTGAATCAACGTCATATTGGGGGAAAAATGTAGTAGCCGGAGTCAGTCTACTACGAGTTTTAGAGAGAATGTCATGTGGCGAAAACAAGTTATCAAGTGTTAGATATTAGCGATCGAGGGCTTTACCTCCTTAAACGGAAGAAAAAAAGTAAAGTGAAGCTTTTCAAGTGTCTATTTGTTAGAGAATAGGCGAGAAAATTTAAATTAAATGCCATCCCCGTAGTCGGCATCGTCCTCGAATCTAAAGCTCTCTATTATTGAATTTCTGCGCTCGTTCTTCGGACGTCTTGTTGCGGGGAAACCAGTGGTGACATCGCAAAATGTCAGCTGTTTCCTCGGGCTAAACCACCAACTTTCCTAACGCGTTCTTCATTCCTTATGTAGCTCGTCGAAGCAAGATCGTGTGGTGTATTCAGGGCCTGTGAGAAGCACGGAAGAAGTCATCAAGAACGTCCAGTCTATTGGGCCTGAAGTGGTCCACACGGTGCTTGTAAGTTACTGAAAGAAATGTAATAAAAATACTGCCGGGGTGGGGGGCGTAGTTAGCCCATAGACCTCTAGGCCCGGGACTACAAATTTTTGGTTTGATCACTCTAGAGCTAAAAAGCTTGTTATAAGAGCTCAAAGTGTTGGTGAGGTCAGTGCGTACTAGTCAAGAGTACAATTTTCAGGATATGTGGAAGTAAAAGTCAGCAAGGCCTACAACTAATCGGAAAGCTCGCTACGCTCCTGACTGCAAGATAGCCTTTTTCCCTTGAAGAACTAATCGCTACTTGTAAGACGCCAAGCTTCGGATGCGTGCATTCTTGCGCGCACGGTTCGCCCACGAGCACGAGCACAAGGCTCTCCCCGTGTGTACTCACAAAGGATTGGAATGCAGACTTTCAGGTTCTGATTCGCCGCTTGAGAAACGAATGGGAAACTGAAACCGAAACCCGTCCCGTAATTCTTTCCTGGATAGTTACTGTGGACACGCAGGTCAGCGGCCGTAAAATTCCGAAAATAAGCCCCTCCTCAAAAAGGGCCTTTGAAAAATATAAGACCCCGGGGTAGACTGCAAAACAGTCCGAATTTTTGCGTATTCAAGTACGCGCGAGCCGTATTTTTGCGTATTCAAGTACGCGCGAGCAGTCAAACAAAAGGTCTGGAATGAGGCTGAAAACAGAGAGCGAGACTGGGGAGAGACGCTAAAAATACGGACTGTCCTTTTTGCATACGTTATATTCGTTCGAATTACCCGCTTCTCCCAGCCACGGGCAATTCCCATTGGCTAAATTTCGATGCAAGCTGTCACCAAGCTGTCAAGTAATGTTTTCAACATGTCATTCACGTTGTTCCATACCGTGATGAATTGCTAAAGCTTTCGCTGTAAAATGACAGATGTTGATCGCCTGGATTTGCTCGCAAGAATTAGGATTTGTTTTAAAATCGGAGCAGAGGGAAGCTTTGGAGTTGCTACTCAGGGGAAAGGATGTTTTCTGTGTTCTACCAACAGGATTTGACAAAAGCCTTATTTATCGGATGTTTGTTCATGCAAAGAGTTCTTCAAGTTCCGTGCAACGGCCGACCGTCATTGTTATCTAGCCTGGCTAAAAAAGCGGGATCGGTAGGAAACAAACGACTTTTACCTCATGCAAACATGCCGCTTGTTCCAATGAATTGTTTTCTCTGTCGAGTAGATTATGCTTTGGAGGAAAACGTTTTGACTGAGCAAATGTGAATTTTGGCCGCTTATTAAATATATTTCATACTGAGAGGTCGTGACACGCATATTAGGGGTGGCAAATAGTAAAATCCGAGACTCGCCGAGACGCCGAGATCCTAATTAGAAATCCGAGCCCGAGACTCTTTGGAGAAACGTTTCGAGACTCAAAAAAAGTTAAAACAAACCATGAAAAAACGAGACTTCGAGATTTATCAGAAACGCTTCCGAGATTTCGAGATCCTGCCAAAATTTTCCGAGACCCACGTTTTTCGAGGTACCATTCGCCACCCCTCATATTGATTTTCTCTGGTAGGCATGATTTGCCCTCTGACGCAAGAGCATTTTCTTTCTTGGCCCCTTTAGAAATGTAAAGCTCTTCATTGCGGCTGATTAAGGGTTTTAGGTTGTTTTATTTCTCCAAAGTGCCTCCTGGATTTGAATAATTTGAAGCGATTTTCTTTGTGTCCGTGAATGTGACTTTTTCCTGCAATGTTTTGTCACGCTGGGCCCAGCTCGTTAGCGTTTTTGGCAGGATTTTAAATTCTCACAGATAGTAATTTACAGAGCTAAATCACCAAGACGTGGTTTGGAAAGAGGGGATTTACTCATTCTTTTCAATCGCAATAATTGTTCATTGTCAGTTGGCGTGTTCAGTTCTTCCCTAATTTGCGAAAGCATCGCCGTGCAGTTTCCCGGGGCAGTTTCTAACCTTTGTTCCGCACGGAGAGCAAAACTGCTCTTGTGGAGAAAGATTCTCCTTCCTCGAGGACAACGAAAAGTTCGTTTTTCAGTAGGTCGGCCCACTTTGGTAACGTTTCCCCTTTTCTGGTAGGCGCAACAAACGCATTTTCCGAGCTTATCCATCCATTCGTAAAATTGCCGAACTGTGTTTTGAAACAACAGCCGCACATTCTACAATTTGTACTCCAAAGCCCTCGGCTCTTTCGGCTTTCTCCCTCTTCGAGGAGCAGGCACAGGCTTTGTTGTCGTACTGCCACTTTCACTCTTTTTTTATCCTCCACTATATATACTACATTTCACTATATACACTACATTTCACAGGGAAGCAACGCTAAAAACTGCTTTAGAATTACTGGATTACAGCGTCAATAATAACACGCGAGTCTATCAAATTCACAAAAAGGGCGGAGTTGCGAACAGATTTTTGACAGCTCGACGACATTTTTGAGCCCCCTGGTCGGAACGAACTCATTGTATGAAAAAAGGACAGTCGGTTTTTTTTCTCTCGTAGGGCGTGTGAGGCTCGCGCGCTTCGCGCGCCTAAGACTCTTACGCCACGCTTTACCGATTTCTTTACTGATTTTGAGAAAAAAACCGACTGTTTTGCAGTCTAACCCCGGGGTTATTTTCGGAATTTTAAGGTATTTTCTTATGTTTTTTCCCCGTCCCTAATAACAGTTCCAGAAGTTTAAATGGTAATAGACCTTTTTTAACTTGTAGGTTTTGTTTTCCCATTTCAGACCACGTGATGTTACCCCAGAGAATTGTTTCTTTCAAATGTCGTCCTATTGACTGCATGCACGTGCGTATGCGTGCTTGACTAATGAAAAGACGAAAGGCAAATTCCCTTGAGAACATTATGTGGTCTGAATTGGGAAAACAAAACATACAAGCTAAAAAGGTCCATTGCAATTGAAGCTATTGCAAATTTATGCGGAAAAAAAATCGGGCCTTCAAAGGGATTCGAACCCATGGCCGCTGCGTTAGCTCTGCAGTGCGGAACCAACTGTGCTATGAAGAACCATACATTGGGAGCAGGCCAATTAGTGGAGTTCATCTTAACACGTGAATGGAATGAAACATGAAATGGTGTGAATTGCGCAGTGTATTTCCGCAGTTCACGTAATCTCCATTCTATGTCCCAGAAGTCCTTGCGAAAGTTTAACTCGTCCCAGATTCCTGTGCGTTTCTAAAGTGGAGAATTGTTTTGTGTTTTTTTTCTTTTGCTTTCTCTCAAGCGTTGTGTTTGGTTTTATTGCGGTATTTTGGACTTTCGTTAGTTTCACACTTTTTTAAATGACAGGTGAAAAATAATGGTCCGAGTGTGGTTGATAAGTCAGAGGTAAATATATTCTATCCAGACCTCTACTCTTCTTCCAAGACTGACAGCTACCTCCTCTACCTGCTTCAAATTGAGGTGAGTAAAAGCTACATTTCTCCTATACTTTACCACTCAGCGTGCAAAGAAAGTAGTGTCCGATAGCCCGGGGCTAGTGGATTTTGCTATCGGGCTAGTGAATTCTGTTTTTAACTTGCCCGACAGGCAAGAGATATTTTTTTAGGAATTCGAATAACAGAAGAACTGTAATCAATCCTGCTAATCAAAAAGGGTTTTGGGGCTAGTTGAAATGAGTTGTGGGCTAGTACATGCTAGCTACAGCTTGCCCGAATGGCAAGCTGTAAAACTGACTTTCTTTGCACCCTTCCACTGAAGCGAAAGTGACTGAAAATTTCGGAACGTCGGCGAATTTTGAACTCCTTTTGACTCAATCTATGCAGAACTGTCGGATCTAGATTCTAGCATGGGCACTAAATATTTTCGGTACTTGTGATTTGATTTATATCTCATCATTGCGATTGGCATAGTCTGTTTGTTTACTTGTTTTTTTTCTTGCTTGAAATACTTTTGCTATTTTCAAGCAAGTTGTTAACGGCAATTTTATTTTCATTAAGTACGTGCAGCAGTATGCAATCAAGGGGCCCATCTGATATGGCCTGTTGTAATAAAAATTAAAGTAAAGCTTATGTTAAAGATACAACTTTACTACTTCCTTGTACACGGCTCCTGAATAAACTGTTTCTTCGTGTTTTATTATAAACGGCATACGGTGTGATTACACCGTAATTGAGCACAAACCATCTTGTCCCAGTTGGCTTTCGATTCTCTAGTACAAGTAACCCCTGATTTATTCAGCTAGTCTGAGCGAATAATTGTATTGAATTACAGTAATCATTCTCTGCGCTCGTTTTTGATTGCAGGTTCAGGGAGCCGGGGTGTGTGACGCCAAGGTCAACCCTCTAGACATTAAGGTAAGTCATCCCTGATTTTTAATCAGCAGAAAATCTTGCCTTGCAGTTAACAGTTTCGGAGAAATCCTCTTTTGAAAACTGGAAATTTTACAGACGTTTGGCCATATGAGTAGAAAATTTATAGCTTTTTAACGCAACACTCTTGTGCTTGTGAAAAGTGCCTGTGTCCCCTCTATCCATCCTCCCTGGTTAGCTTAGTAGAGGATTTACGCCTTATTAAAGCATTCAGCTCTCTTCATCAACAATTTTTTCCATAATCCTGTATACAATTTCCTCTCACTTTATTTGAAGACTAATGACACAAATCAAGTAGAGGACGAAGTGAAGTCTCGCAGACGACGTGACACTGAAGAGCTGCTGGTGAGTATACTGAGTATACTTACTTTTCGTGGGGGATATGAGGCGTAAAAATCTCCTCAGGCGATTAGTTTTCTTCAAAGACGTTGGTTCGCCATGTCACGCAACGATCCTTGTCATTTGTCGAGGAATGCGTGACAAGCAATAAGAACACCCGCGAAGTAGGCTACAATATTTGGTTTCGTTACCCAACGGCTAAGGATCGTAAAGAAATATGGGCATACTTATATAGGCATTGGGCAGATCTTTTTTTCGGTTATTTTCTCACTAGTCCTTAAACGAGCTGCATCAATTTACGTTTGAAAATTTAGAAGGCAGAGAAGAACTACCTCTCATTTATAAATTTCAGGACGATTTGCGGTATGCAATGCGTTGTTAAAAACTAGAGAGTTTACGTAGTATTTACCCCTTATTAACCATCTTGCCAACCAGAAGTGTGCATTTTGTAATGACAAGTTTTCCCTATTGTTGCCAAGTTACGGTAATCCTTTATCCCCTAAAGCCTCGTCCAGACATAATCGGATATTTTTGAAAGTACATTTCCACAGGTAGAGTGTTCGAATCGTTTTCGTCCGTTCACACGGAAACATTAAAAAGATTGAAAAACGATTGCATGCCTTGCACCGCACGCGCTGTATGATATCATCGTCCCGTCCACACGAAAACGATAAGCCGCCGTTTTCAACGATCTTCACTCTGGAGAGCGTTTGTGAAAAGATGCGTTTTTGGTAACTGTTTTCTCCAGGTACGTGTGGACGGGGCATAAGAGTCAATGGCATGTAATTTCTCCTTACAATATCATCCCTGAACCAAACATTAATGTCATGAGAATTGACCACTCCAGAAATAGCACAACATACCACAATGCTCTTTGTTTGTCACCCCAAAATTTTAAGCATTGTCTTCAGTTTCTCTTTGGAGTTAAAATGGCTCCCAGAGAAACTGAAAACAATGCTTATGCAAAATTTTGGGGTGACAAACAAAGAGCATTATGGTATGTTATGGTATTTTCTGGAGTGGTCATTAAAGGGAATGATCTCCAAGTGTTGAAGCTCTTGATTGTTAAGCAAATTCCCCTTGTCAGTAGCACAGGAAATGTATAGAGAACAATATGGAGATATGCATGCTGAAATTGGTTAATGATCATGTTACTGTGAATTCCAGGATTGTCGAAAAGCCTCCTGCAGACAGATCAAGTGCCTTCTGGGAATGTTAAAGATGGACGATAAAGTGGAGTTCAAGATAACATTCCGTCTTTGGCAAAACACGCTGCTCAAGGTTTGATGACGGTCACGTGATATTGTTCCCACTATTCCTCACCCAAGAAACTATATTAAAGGGGATTGGGTACAAGCTTTCAGCGCAACGTTTGGGTGGACAGCCACAGCTTATGATTGGGTAATGGTTGCCGTGAATACCATGGACCAACCATAAGTCACGCTTGTCCACCCTAGCGATCCCAGAAATCGTTGCGCCGAAAGCTTGTACCCATTCCTCTTATTGTTTAGGGAGCAGAGAATTTAAGTGCATGATCACAGTGAACTCCCTCCCCCCGTCCAGGGTTTAACCCTCCGGATCAAAAGTTAGGACCACATACGAGTCTCCATCATGAACTCTCTGAGTGAAAGGTTTGAACGAGGACGACGACGGCAGCCTGAAAATGTTTTTGAAAATATTCTTATTCTTCCAAACTTGATTACGTTTTTTGAGCTTTGCTCAATTTGTCAAATGTAGGTGAATGTGTCTGAAGTTGAACTGTATCCAACTGAGTTCAAAAAAAGCCAGGAAACTTCGTCGTCTTGTGTCCGCGTCTTCATAAAACGTCCCAGTAGGAGGTTTTGTTGTCCTAATGCGACGGGGAATTTTCGCAGGAATTTCCAGTCCATTCGCTCATATTTGAAAAGTACTAAAAAGTGCGATGCATGAGCGGAGGTGTTGTTGTGTGGTGATGTGGTCAAAATATTCCAGATAGATTGCTATTGCTTTCCTATCTGAAGAATATGTCAATGAATACAAACCCAGAGCGTGGAAACGTTATCTGTTGTTCTTACGACACATATCTTTTATCAAATTTTTCACCAGGAACTTGATCCGCCAAGAGCAGTAGTCCTCCAAACAAGGGCAACTTTGAAAGTTACACAGGATAAAATTACGCAAACAGATGAAAATAACGACGAAGCAACGGTTGGTATAGACATCATCATCATTGTATTGTATTTGTTAAAGCAGGTTACATATATCTAGCCGATTTTTTGAAAACGAACCTCGCGAAATTCGCAGCCATTTGAGTGTAAAAAGGTGTTAAAAAAGGCTGTTTTTTTGTGCTCGATAAGTTCTTAAATCATACTAGCTAAGGAAAGGTGGATCAATTTAGGTTTTTGGGAAACTGCCTACCCTCCCCTCCCCGACGCCAACATTATCACTTATGTCTCACTTAGGGCAAAATGTTGGCTTTGTGGAGGGGTAGGTGGGCAGCTTCCCAGAAACCTACGAAAATGTAAGGACAAAAAGTTATATTACGGTTATTATTTTGACCGTGGCAGGGTTAGCTCAGTCGGTAGAGCGTTTGACTGCAGAGCGGGAGGTCGCGGGTTCGATTCCCGGGGCCGGACCATTACTCAGGGTCTTGAAATGACTGAGAAATGAAGGTACTTCCTTTGCACTGCAAGCGGCGAGACCTTCGCGTGGCTCGGATGACCACGTCAAATGGCGGTCCCGTCTCCATTAAGAGACGTAAAAATAGTGTCCCCAATTAGCACTTTCGTGCTAAATACATTGACACTCAAATAAAAAAGTGCATTTATTTATTTTTTTTTTTTAAAGTGAAACCATTTTGATTCTTGAAACTGTCTCCTAGAAGCAGCGACTAAAGCTGAAGTAATTCTTCAATATCTTATCGCTATTTTCTTTATTTTGCAGATCAAAACAACAGCAAATCCTGCACAAACCGAGGCTCAAGAGAAAAAGACTCCCTGGTGGGTGATTTTCCTGTCTGTGCTCGGCGGAGTCATACTGCTGGCTGGGGCGATAGCTATTTTATACAAGGTAAGTACATTCTGTGGTCCCCCGGTGCTGAGGTAAAAATAGATTTGAGGTTTTCTTCAAAGAAAAGAACCGTTTAGCCAATTTGTCTCTTTTCTCCTTTAATTGTTGTCAAGGCTTAAATTGTTAAAACCTGGGTGATCAATAGTTAGTTGTTGTTTTGCGGGCGAGAGGTGATTACCCACATAGAAAGAAAGTGAGACACGCGTCGTGGAGCAGCCGAGCGTGACACAGCAAATGTAGGGCTTTGTCACGCGTTCCTTTCTCACGAACAACGCTCAATACCATACGGAATTCAAAGGCATTTATACTCAGAACACCGATCGGCGGCCGAACCGCTGAGCAGCGAAGGAGCTGATGGTGAGCTAAGACATAGGAGACCTCCCGATGACCGTTATGGTCAACAATGTGCATCCTATTGACTCCATATCGAATGCGTCGTTTTTGATAAAGAATAGTGGAAGATGGAAGATGTTGAGCTCGGTGTATGATGAACAGGATGTTATGTTGGTGATGTCTCGACTGTTGGACGTATAAAAACTGAAATCTGAGTCAATGCAATTATTCAAACCCATACTTTCCCAGGAAACTGGTTGCTATTTCGAGTATATGTGTGCTTTTACATGTATTCTTGCTTCAAATCGCGAAGAGGATCCATTAACGGTTTAGGCTTACTTTACAGGGTCGCCCCCCCCCCGGGGGGGGGGGGGTTGTGGAATACCAAAATACCTGAAAAAAAACCTTCCAATATACCAAACATTATACTAAAACTCGTGTAAAATACCGAAATTAAGAAAAGCACAGTATACTTTATACCCAAAATTGGTCTTGAGGGAATACTTTGTACCCAATTTTAAGCGTGAAAAGACTGTATACCTGAAATTAAGTACCCCAATTTACTGTATACCCAAAAAACCCTGGCCGACCCTGACTTTAAGACTTGGCAGAACAATCTAAATCAACCTCCGAGTGTTCGAAAGTTCAGAAATAGCGTTATCCACAGGATATCCACAGGAAAGATAATTATTCAATAGCGCTATCCAGAGGGTAGATAATTATTCAATAGCGCTATCCAGAGGATAGATAATTATTCAATAGCGCTATCCACAGGATAGATAATTATTCAATAGCGCTATCCACAGGATAGATAATTATTCAGTGCTAGGGAAGCCTATTGGACGGAGATTTACCCAGTGGATAGTGCTGTCCAGCTTGTGAACAACTGAGGCCTGAATCTCATTTCTTGCCCCTATTCATTTTCTACAGAAGTAGGGGGGAGTTGATAAAATATGAAGCAAACTCATCTTGTGTGATCATGTCCTTAATTCTCATGACCACTCTGTTTTACAAAGCATTGATATTACAAGGAGAAATTTGATGCTGATCACCCTTAGGGCTTAAAGGGTTAAAGGGCCGTGATGTTAAGAAGCATTGCGACACTCAAATCTGAGCCACTGTTTTGATGGTTTGTTCGTTTGTTTGTTTGTTTGTTTGTTTGTTTGTTTGTTTGTTTCGTCAATGCACAACATTCAACACGTTAGTGTATATGACAGGAAATGACTTTGTTTCAATCATTTTCATCCGTGTGAACCACATTCATACATATGATCCCAATCATTCTTGTGTTGCACCAAGCCTTTTATCTTCCGTAAGACACACAGGCTCTTATTAAGCACCACTGTAAAGACAAAACTATGATCTTAACCACCACCGTAAACTTAAGCACCATTGTAAATTACAGCACTGTTTTTAGTAGGGTTAGACGTCACTTAAACTAACTTGATAAATCAGTAATGATCAGACCACCTGTATAAATAAATGCACAATGTGCTCTTATTAACTTGCACAAGGTTAAGGGGAAGGTTCTTAAATTACCAAAGCACATCGACGGAGTTTTTTTAACCTACTTGCCACAAATTTGTTATGATTTTTGGCTAAACTAAGAAACGTTGCAGCGGAAATAAGAGACCTTTTTCCTCAAGAGTCGACAAAGTGGAAGAGAAGATTTTATCATGAGAAGGGAAAAGGGTTTGTTTTAGTTACATATTCTGGTGTCTGGAACGTGTGTTTTGGGAATAATTCACTACCTTGAGAAAACAGCCGACGTTTCGCGTTGCCACCATTTCCCCGTGAAATGACGTTTCGAGAACGAGCGCAGGAAAATCTATACTGATCACTTGTCACTAGCCAGATCTGGTGCTTCTCATTGGTCGTGACACGTCATCAGTATGGAATTTCTTCGCCCATTCCTCAGACGTCATATCGCGGGGGAAATCGGTGGTCGCGTCGTAAAAAAATACCGCGGTTTTCTTAGGCTAACATTTCATTTATCCGCGACGTTTCCTATTTTAGCCAGGCTTAGGGCGGCGTAAACTCTAATTTAAAAAAGCACTAAATGTATATGTAAAACTGTAGAAGGTGAAGGGAAAACTAAAAGAAATGCAAAGAGGCTCCTATTTCTGTTGGTCACTGGATCAATTATCTGAATCGCAGTCAACGACTCCGTCACGCTTGTCCTCTCTGTCGCACTTGCACTCTCCGTCACGAACCAAGCCTTTGATTAATTCTTGCATTTTTCTTTAGTGTGGATTTTTCAAAAGGAAACGTGCAAAGGATATCTCGGGTCCAATGGAAGAGAACACTCCAATGGCTGCAAATTAACTCTTGAATGAAACATAGCAGCACCCGGAACAAATGTAACGCTAAACGTAACAGTATAAAAGTGTTATTTAACAAGGGTAACGTGTAAGCTGTATAACGCTTTTTGTAACAGAAAAAATAAAAATGTTACATTTTTATTTTTTTTAGATTTAAATTTTGCTATACGTGTAGTTAGGGTAACCAAAATCTTGTTGAGAGTGGTTGTTAGGGGGCCGAGGAAAATGAAACGCAACTCTCCAGTTACAAGAACATTGTGTGACGATTTCGAGACTGTTGCGTTGCACACTTCTACCTAAAACATAAAAAATTCTTGCCCGATAGCTTTTACCATTTATGGCTCCCCATAGACTCAATGCTTTGAAACCTTTTACAGGATCTTAGGACCATTGACCTTATACAGCTTAACACGTAGAGGATAAATCTTGGAGCCCCTAGCTTTTGTGAACAGACTGACATAAATAAAAGTAAAAAGCCATTAAATATAAGTTACCCATGTAGAGATGTAAAATATGATTTCTCTACTAGAAAACTAAGCTTTTTGATAAACAAGAAATAGTACTTATGTGTTTTTTCTCGGTTGTAGGCTGCATGCTGTTGTTGAAGTGCATGTGTTGTTTATTGTTTGTTTCGTTTACATTTTAGTTTGGGTTTTTCAAACGCAAGCAAATAAAGGATATTTCAGGGCCAGATACCACTGAAATGACTGACGTCCAATAGGAAAATGTCTCAAGAATTCTACAGGGATAAAAATAAAGAATAATTGATTTTAATTAGTTTCGCCCCATGTAAAGGGAATCCAAGACAGTCTTGAAATTCTGGATTCCACACCGTGGACTCCGGACTCCAGGTACTAGATTCCGGATTCTTTGTCAGTAGAACTTGGATTCCGGATTCTTTGAGCTGTATTCCGGAATCCAAAGCCCAGGATTTCAGATTCCACTAGCCATTTGTTCCACAAGCAAATATTTCGTGGACTCCCGTACATGGGGCGAATTAGTCCTTAAAACATTTTAATTAGGAATTATCCCATTCGCCACTTGGACATCTGCACCTTATTTGGCCCCAAAATTTTGCCTAAACAGAGGACATTACATGGCCACTTGGAGATACGAAATTTCTCTTCTCGTGTTGAAAAATATTTCACTCGTTCGCTGCGCTCACTCGTGAAATATTTTTTCAACACAAGAAGAGAAATTTCGTATCTCCAAGCGGCCATGTAATGTGCTATTTATTATGTAAACACCAATGAACTACCAAACCATTTTACTTTAATAGTTTTTTGGTGTGAAATTCGCGATTTATTATGTAGCCATAGCAACGGTAATATTTTCACATGTGAAGATATCATGGTATTTTCACCTGTGAAGATATCAAGTTTTCGCGCGAGAGCTCACCTGGTATTTCTTTGGTGTTTATACACTGAATAAGCATTGTTCCAGTTTCTCTTGGGACGGCTGATACCCAGGCGAAATGAAAAACAAACGTTATGCAAAATTTGAGGGAAGAGGGAGGGGCAAATAAGGTACATTATGGGAGATGCGCAAGTGGCGAATAAGCCCAAAGTACGTATCATTTAAAATAATTTCTGATTTAAAAACAAGCTAAAACAGGTTTACCTCCATCCATGTTAAGTTCATCTTCGATAGCGCATGTTTATCGGCAAATTTAGGAGATAAAGGGTTGTTCAGGTCTGCAAATATTCTTTAAATAGCAGATGTCGTCCGTCGAGTTGTCTTTTCGCTGTTCTTGCCAGGTTTTTAGCCAATAGTTCGCCTACTTCCTCGTGAAATGTTCCACCATTTTGTAGTCACTTCCAAAACAACTCAATCTCGTCCCCACGTATTCTCCGTTAACTGTTCAATAATCTGTCAATCTTGCTTCACGATTGACGTCATTGTTCACATATCGCAAAATTCTTCCAAATTTGGTCGACAATAGCTTGTTTACGATGAATTATGCGTGGGTTTTAGCCAATCAAAAACAGAGAAGTATTTTGAATGAAAAATAGTTTAGATTTCTGGTGAACACTTTTCTCTTCAACCCTACTTCCAGTTTTAAGGAGACAGAAAATGTGGTTCTAACTTTATGCTCCTTGGCACGAAATTCCTGGGATTGAAGAGTGACAATAAATCCCATCGGCAGCCTTTTGTATGGTGCAATGTTTTCTCTTAGTATTTATAAAATTAAATTCAGTGTACATACTCCCTCTTCCTCCTCCCTGCGAGTATTCATGAGGGGTTTTTGAGGGTGAGGAGGGCAGGTATTCTTGACTTTTTGGAAGGTTTTTCAAAGATGTTCGAAAATAAGCAGTAAAGATCCAAAGATGTTTGAAGTTGTAGTTCGACAATTATAATAACCTGGTAGCTGTAATCTGCAATTACTGAAAAAAATTACTCAAAAAGAAAAAGTCTCGTTTTGTGACTAGTATATGATAAAAATGATTTAAATTATCGCATTTAAAGAAGATTTTTGCGTGGTGTAAATTAAGAGATTTCAATAATTCATTTCCTCTGTAGGCTTCGATAGAACTGTGTGTTTATCTTATTTACTTTATTGGCAAGTTTATTAGTCAGTGATACTTACAATTATTTAGACGGCCGAGCTTGTTGAAATCGATTGCTGATTTCAAGACGCCGCAGCGACGATATCACGTCCAACCGTCTTCTCCGCAGGCATTTGACACCCTCCCTAAATTTCGCGCGCCATTTCATATCAAGATGGCGTCCTTCCGAACTCAGTGATCGATCGTGGCAATCTCGCCAAAAATTGTGAGAGTGCGTGTAGTCTAGACGCTATGGAAAATTGTACATGGGGCAATCCTGTTGATCTTCTTTCAAGTTGCTTGTCCAACCCTTTCAGTTTTTATTTGTTTCATGAAGACCAAAAATCGCTGCAAAACTACCAGAATAGTTCTTAAAACTTCACGTGTGGGTACAATAATTTAAGCATTTATTGCAATAACTGTCTAGCATAAACGTTTTTGTAGAAGTCAAATGCACGTTAGGTGTCTGAAGAAGAGAAAATAGTACATTTATAGAGGTACAATTCATAGGATTTTTATACTCTTAATCTAGTATAAACCAAACCAGTGGCTGCTGCTTTTCATGCGCTCTGACCTGGAAGCCAAAAGACCTTTCCCACATCCCTTTAAACAAAGGCACCAACTCGAGACTCGGTTTGACAAAATACAGTGATTTGTATGAAATTGTCGACCCGAGCCTCGTCCTCATTTCTTAATGTTTGCTCACTGGAGCGTAATGCGGGAAAGGTCTATAGGAGTGTCCCCAAAAGGTTTTTCGGGATCCGGGATTTCCCTTACTTGGAGCTCGGGATTTTCAAGCAAACTCGGGGCGAGTAGGAGTCGCAGGTGGGATGCTAAATATAACCATCATGATTACGGGATCGCACGAAATTTCGGCTCGGGATTACGGGATTGAAGAACCCTGTTGGGGATCCTCTTTTTGAACGACACGTAGCAATGCGTGTGGGTTCGGGATGTCTCTTGCTTTATCACCCTGCGAGGAGAGCCGTCTTTTGTCTTCTTCTTGATCAGGGAGGGGAAACTTAGGGACCCCTCCCCTAACCCAACATTTCCCCCAAGTGAGACGCAAATGTTAACGTTGAGTTTGGGGAGGTGTAGGTGGGCAGTTTCCCAGAAACCTAAATTGATTCAAACGTAGGCCCAGCCGTAATGACGTCAAGCCTTTGAATATGCCGCAGCCAGGACTTCTGAACTAGTCAATCTTGTTTGCTCTCGTCAAACTGGTTTTTCGAGTGCGAGCATCTGTTTATTGATAACCCGATGGTCATCAGTGAGTCCGCTGTATTGAGTATCCCCCTGGGGGGAGGGGGGCGCTGACTAGTCACTGGTTTGGCATTTACAAGCTGAAACCAGTCGATCAAACAAGTGCTGTTATGAAGTGGTAGATTTTTCGTTGTGGCTCCGCGGCTAGGGAAATACTGTACTTGTTAAATACATAGTGCCTGCGAGAAGCTTTTATAGCAGTGTATTTTTGGTAATAGTTATAGAGGATGTTGCGCGGCGGCGCGGAGGCACAAAGATTTCTTTTGTTGTGAAATATTTTTAAACACTTATGAAATGCCAAACAATTTTACACGGTAGTATATTTGAATATAATTTTTTTTGTCTTTGTGCTTTAGCCTGCGAAGGGGAGACGTTTCCCCTTGCTCATCGCCGCAAAACGTCCCTCAGCGGCGATGAGCGAGGAGAAACGTCTGCCGTCACTGGCTGTTTTTGCTTCGAAAGGCACGATTTCTTATTTAGCCATAGCAACGGCGATCTTTTAACTTGTGAACTTTACATGTTATATGTATTATTTTTGATGACATCATTTTTTTAGCGCGTAAGCTCACATGGGTATTTCATTGGTGGTTATATGTTAAATTGCGTGTGTCGTTCTTGAAAAGTTCCAATAGCAACAGCGGCTGCGAGAAGCTTTAAGGCAGCGTTAAACTAATTTTGTAATAAAACTGAATTGATTTTATAATTCGTAGAGTAGAAAAGCGAGTATTTATCTGCTTTTTGTATTAAAGCCTATACTTAATTGTAGTCACTGAATAAAGGATTTTAAAAAACACAATGAATCTTCCCGTCTGTTACATTCATAATTGTGGTAGTGGTGTGTGTGTGGAGGGGACTGGAGGGAGGGGGGTGAACTCTTACTTTCGAAACGAGGCTAAATGCAGATTCTTTGTGTTTCTTATATAAAGAGGCCTTTTGAAAAATACCATAATACTCTTTCTTGTCCCTCCAAAATTTTTTATAACCATTGTTTTCAATTTCTCTTGGGACTTAAGTCAGGAATCAGGTAGGGGCGGGAGAGATGAAAAGCGCGCTGCAAACAGCGGGGGGTGGGGGGGGGGGCGGGGAAAGCAACAAAGCCTTAACTCCTATCGTCCTGTGGCTTTCAATTCCTTTGGGTTATTTCTTTAGGCCGCTGCAGTTCGGAAGGAGTTGGTTGCGTTTTTGTAGAGATATTGCAGTCGCAGACTTGATAGAATGAGTAATACTGGCGATTTATTACTTTTGTTGCCCTAAAAACTAGAAAAGCGTCTTAAAGGTAAAAACTTGTTAGAATGGATTATTCATTTTTCATGCTGACTCCTTAAAATTATTATATCTATACCGCTATACCGGATAGTTCTGTCACAACGGTGCTGATTTCACAGCAATATTTGTGCCAAAGGGATGTTACGCCCTGCGCTCAACGAATCTCAGAGGGAATACTGCACTGATGCGTCAGATGGTTTTTCTAGATTTTTGTACCTTTTTGCGGCGTTGTTTAAAGAGAAAATGATGGCTCCTAAAACCAAAAGCCAAAAAGTATGAGTGATGAGTAGAACCTATTGAAAATAAAGTGGCTAATCTTCAGGGTTGGCCTTTTTTTAATACATCTAACCAAGAGATCACGATAGAGACCTTTAGATTCAAGGACGACAACGAGTACGAGATTTGACTCTTAAGTTTTTTCGCGTATTCTAAAAATATAGACTCCCCGGAAAGCTTCATTTTACCATTTTTCACTAGAAAAGATAGCACTGTTATCTTTAGTGAAGGAGGTTACGCGCTCTCCCGATTGCAAAATGATAACACTTTTAACTTTTGATAACTTGTTTCCGCCCTTTCGACATTCTCGCTAAAACTCGTAGTAGAATGACGACGGCTACCACGTTTTCCCGCCATAATGACGCTGGTTCACGCACGAGCACCACTTAGCACAGAGAAAATCTCGTACTCGTTGTCGTACTCGTCTTAGAACCTAAAGGTCTCTTTTAGGACAGAGAGGGTCTCCCAATCATCCCTTTGAGATGTCTTAATTTCAAAAGCTGTTTTAGAAACTTTGCGGACAATTCAACCAAATCAAAGTCCCTCCACATCGCCCCTCCATTTAGGCAGCCTCTCTTTCATTTGTTCACTCCGCCTCGGTTTGGCGCAATGAATCATTGAAAGCCAGTCTTCCGAAAGTCAACCAGTTCACCGGAAACTGTTTCCGCAAGGTCGGCGTACTTTCTAACAATAACTGTTAAGTTATCCCTCTCTGTCCTATTCAGCTATGGGAAGCAGGTTTCTGCATTTACATTTCTGGTAAACACGCAGTTGAAAGCGGCAAGAAACAGGCCTTAAGGTCAGTTTTGTCGGTCAGCGTCATGAACGACGAGAAAATGGTGTGATGGAATGAATATCATGTCAAAGGTCTGCGTCATTTCTGTTCATAGCAAACCGAAGTATTCAGACTATCCGGTATAGTAAAGATTAAGTCCTAGATGCTAAGCAATAGTTGCAGAGAGAAAACGAAACAAGGTTGATTATTTCAAAAGTGTGTTTTTTCCTTTATCTTGATGGAAACATCTTAATCAAACTGGTTGTTGTTGACAAAAGCAATAAAGGCGAGCATCAAACCCGAGAACACCGAAGCCTTAGAATCAGCGCCTGTGCTCGTAGGAGACGTTGTTGCCTTGATCTCTGAGCAAAATCCTCCAGGGCAGCTTAGGGAGCACTTATCTGCATCGCACTGGAAAGCGCATTCTCCTCCGCTGCAAATTTGCTGGCATTCCTTTACACCTGGTGCGCAGATCATCTTACAGAGTCCCCCAGTGCAACTCTGAATGCATTTATCGGAGCTGGACGAGCAGGACATATTACACATACTGCCTTTGCATTCTTGTTCGCATATTTTGGAGTCGCATTGTAGAGACTTACATCTGCCACCGGTGCATGATTGCGAGCAGTTCACGATGGACGAAGTGCAGGCCAACGTGTCGCAAACGGCCCCTGTACAGGACTGCTCGCATTGATCATAGGGCGCAGTCACCCCGCAGATGGTCGGACATGGTTGTAGAGAGCAGGCATCCTGGTAACACTTGACATTACTTGACAATCCTGGATCACAACTCGTTTTGGTTGCGTTGATTCCTGTGCAACCTCCGCCAGGGCAGGCTTGGGAGCATTTGTCTGCTTCGCACTGAAATATGCATCCTCCCCCGCTGCAAATCTGATTGCATTCCTTAACACCGGATGCACAGGTCATCTTACAGAGTCCCCCTGGGCAACTCTGAATACATTCATCGGCGTTGGAAGAGCAGGTTATATTACACAGACCTCCGCTGCATTCTTGTTCGCATCTTTTGGAGTCGCATTCTAGCGACTTGCAGCTGCCCCCGGTGCATGATTGCGAGCAGTTCACGATGGACGAAGTGCAGGCCAACGTGTCGCAAACGGCTCCTGTACAGGACTGCTCGCATTGATCATAGGGCGTTGTCGCCCCACAGATGGTCGAACATGATTGTGGAAAGCCGAGTGGAGCGCAAGCACCTTGGTAGCACTTGACATTACTTGATAATCCTGGATCACAGCTGGTCTTGGTTGAGTTGATTCCTGTGCAACCTCCGCCAGTGCAGGCTTGGGAGCATTTATCTGCTTCGCACTGGAAAGTGCATCCCCCTGAAGTGCAAATCTGATTGCATTCCTTGACACCCGGAGCGCAGATCATCTTACAGTGTCCTCCAGTGCAGAACTGACTGCATTTATCGGCGTTGGAGGAGCAGGTCATATTACACATACCTCCGGTGCAACCTTGTTCGCATCTTTTGGAGTCGCACTCTAGTGACTTACATCCGCCCCCGGTGCAGACTTGTGTGCAGTTCACGATGGACGAAGTGCAGGCCAACGTGTCGCAACCGCCTCCTGTACAGTACTGTGTGCATTCATCGTACGGCGTTGCCGCCCCACAGATAGTCGAACATGGTTGTGGAGAACAGGCACCCTGGTTACACGTGACATTATTTGATCCTGGATCACAGTTGGTCTTGTTGCTTGCAGAGTGCACAAAAGAAACAGTACAAGATAACAGGGCGGCAAGTGCCAGCAGAAACCCCATTTCCATATTTTTCAGTTCCAATCTGTAGGTACTCTAAAAAGTAATGATTAGTGGTCAAGCTACACTCTCATTGTTTAAAACAGTTTTGATCTACGTTAACAGGTACAAAACCCAGCAAAACGAAAAATGAAAGCAAAAATAGATTGTGGAATGCGTTTAATTAATTCAAAATGGTAGATGATTCCAGTTCCTTTTTAAATAATAAATGACATCATCATTAAATCACTGCTGTAGTTAAAGATTATTTATGTGTTAGCTTTTATGTGTTAACTTTTCAATGTCAATATCCAGTCGGCCTCAGAGCTTGAATCGTCACTGATCAGCTTTGCTGGATCAGATTCCACTTCAACTTGACAGGGAGGGGATAAAAGAAAGAGAAAATGGCGAGAAGAGTTGGGGGAGGGGCGGCTATTATTCGAGAGAGGCGATTATTTTAAATATTTCCATCTAAGGGGAAAGATTATTTGAGGTAGGCGATTAATCGGAGGGTGGCTATTATTCAAGGAAATACATACTTATCGTTGCTAATATTTTATATTGCCTGAACTTACAATTGAACCAAACATTTTCAATCAGCTTTCTCTAAACGGTATGGACACTTCATCAGAACCAAGAGAGGATAAAATGATCCTCTCTTTACAGAACAGACTGCTTCAGTTGGTTGGGTTCCCGGTCCCTATCCTTAAATCATTTCTTGACCGTGTACCCTAAGGGCCTCTTCACATGAGTCCGGTTGATCGGGCTGGCCCGGTTTCCGATATCTCGCCTTACCTCTATATCATTCGTAAATGATTTTGGTTGTGCTCATATAAGTGGGCGGGCTGGCTAGCGCTCGCTTCCTCCCGAGATCTCGGTTTTTCCAAACCGAATCTCGGTAAGCGGGCTGGACATTTTGCCATTTGAACACGCCAGCTCGGTTACCGGGATGAAAGCGGGAAGAATTCTTCGAATGAATTCTGCATGGTCTTGCTTTGCCTGTTGTATTTTCCTCATCATAAGCATCTCATTTGACAACAGTGATACAGCTATAAGAGTTGCCAAAGCTATAACAGGCGCGAAAGTTACAACTTTGTATTTCGACATGTTTGCTTTGTTTCTCGAATTTCGAGCCCCGACTAGTCCTCGGCCTTTTCTCACCTAGGAAACTGGACTGAGACTTTTCCTATGAACCCATTAGAGCGGAGAAGTCGTTAAGTCACGTTGCCATGGTATCAAAATTTCTGGATGAACGTCACTTAAAAAGTGAATTCGCACAGCTTCAAACTTCATCGATCTTATTCAGTTTCATTTAATTTGGCAAATATTGGCGAAATGTTCTCGGGTTGAATCCAAAAGGACCATATCTAAGTTAAGAAGAGGAAAAAGACAACTTTTTGTTGTGAAAGTAGAAAGTTTCGTGTCGCAGGGGTGCAACGACGGCAAAGAAATGTACAAAATAGCGTGATGCACGTGCAAATTTGTTGTTTTGTCAATAAAAACGTTTTACTTTTTTTCCGTTCTTCTTCCGTCGCCGTCGTCGTTAGTTTCGTTGTCATCCAGAAATAGTGCTACCATGGTGACGTGACGTCATACTTCTCTCCTCTCTATTAGGGACGGACCATTAGAAAAGTGATGGGGGGGTGGGGAAAAAACCATGCAAAGAAGAAGGTAAAGAAAAAATATTCATGCAGAAGGAAGGTCCAATTGTGACTTTTTCAGAAAGTCTGAGTTTCAGAAATCAACAATATTACCAGGCACAATATGAATAAACAAAAATCACTTTCTTCTCATTGAAAGGAGACAATTAAAACCTTGTTTTTGTTTTAAATTGCAGCTAGTGTACCTACAACATACACTGTATACTGTATTATAATAAAAATGGCCGTTTTTATGCTAGAGACGTCAAAGTCGTCTGAGACGTTAAAGTCGTCTTAAGGTGATTCCCTGGTTTTGCACTGCGCATCTCTTACTGCGCATAACAAGATGGCCACCGTAAAAAAGAGTATGTGAAGTAACATTATTAAAATGAAGTTGACTGAAGAGAAACGTTATTGGAATTTTTGCTTGCGGTTGTTCCTTGCCGAGGTGAGACTCAATGTGTTGGGAATGTGCATAACGTAACCGGTACGCGTGTTGCTGAATTCGACTCCCTCACGGAGAACCTCGATAGTGGATGTTTAACTTGTGCTTACTCACTTTGATTTTAATTTAAACGCTTTCTTTATCACATTGCGTCCTAAATGTGATATCTCGATGTAAATTCTGTAAAAACGGATTTTTTAATGCTTTCTTCCCCCTTTCACATACATTCTGTTTTGAAACTCGCCCCAGTCCTCTCTCAAAAATCGGAGAAAATGCATTTGGTGCGCACTTTCTGCAGCTCTACCGCAAAAATGAGTTCGGTGACTCCCATTTTTTATTTCATGATTTTAAAAGAGACAGTGCTTCCTTTCGGTGAGAAAAAAATTGGCACAAATCTATGTTCAGTTTTTTGGCAATTTTACTAAATTGTACGGATTGAGCTATCACGGGTCGAATAGCGCGTGTCCAATTCAATTCTACTTTGGAGCGTAAAGTAAAAACAGGAGCATTAAAAGGCATTTTTCTGGTATGTAAGTGGATAAACAATACAATAAAGTCAAATTTGTGCGATACCACATGCATCATCGAAAAAATCTCTCCTTTTTGTCTAGTTTTGGGCTGCGCGCGGTTTTTGTCAGAGGGTCCAAAATAGCCACATTTGTCAGCATTGTGACGTCAAAACGAGCACGGTAACCTTCACTTTTTATTACATTTTTATCATCTTCTTGACTTGTTACATCAGTGTACCAAGTTTCATCTACAATCTATGTTGGGTTCTTTTACTAAGGAATCACCTTAAGACGACTTTAACGTCTAGTATAAAAACTTGAAATAAGGCAGACGACTTTAACGTCTTCTGTTAAGTGCGTCCGAACGACGCACTTAACTTTAATAAATAAATATTAGAATTTGGTAGCTTTGTAAATATTCTATAAAATTATTTGTGCCCACAATAAAAATTAGAGGATGGGTCTTACCCCCTTGAATAAGAATTCTATAATACAATGAGAAAGTGTATTCACACGTAGTAGTAAGTGTTAAAACTTTAACTGTCAACGACATAAACAGCAACACTGCCACCGGTACTTTTAACAAAAATTAAGAACCACAAAGTATGGTTTTCATTGGCAGTCAGTCTACCTGCAACATACAGTGTATCCTGTATTATAATAAATATCATAAATACATTTAATTATCCATAAACAGTTTCAATTTTAAGCTTTTTAACACTTAAAATTTATAATAAAAATATAAATATTAGAATTTGGTATCTTTGTAAATATTCTATAAAATTATTTGTGCCCACAATAAAATTAGAGTATGGGCCTTATCGCCTTGGATAATGATTCTATAATAAAATGAAAAAGTGCATTTACATTGAGTAGTAGTGTTAAAACTTTAACTGTTACCAACATTAACTAGTCAACAACATAAACAGAAACACTGCTTCTCGTACTTTTAACAAAAATTAAGAACCACAAAGTATGGGTTTCATTGGCAGCCAGACTATCTGCAACATACAGTGTATATTGCATTATAATAAATATCATAAAAACATTTAATTATCCAGAATAACTACTTATCACCCAATAATTACTATAAAGCCAAAATAATGAGTGCAACTGTATATTGTATTGTATTAGTCTTCAATTTCTTCCTCGGTAGACCACTCATCTATGACTAATCTCTCTTCTTCCACCCCCCCGTCCCTTGTCCGTCCCTTAGGCCCGGTAAGCAGGCAAGCGCCGTCAACCAGGCTCATGTGAAGAGGCTCTAAGTCATAGACAACACTGCATTCCAATTATGGTAATTTCTACTTATTGTTTATATTGGAACTGGTGGCATAGAAAGTTCTACACTTCCGCCAGACCCTAGCCATGTTTTTCAACAATTTCCCGCGTTCTCAGCCCCAAAGAATGCTCTATTAAAAGCTCTCTTCGTGACGAACACTTCTCTTAAATAACTCGACCAATGGGCCAGGGTGTCGAAGACATTACTGCATTCTTTATTTTAACACGGGTCTCTTATTGCTCGCGCTTAGACTGTGATAAAGAATGTTCTAGGTAATTGAACTTCTGGTTGACCGATTTTCTTAGTTTTAGTACTTTGCCCCACCATTCTCAGCCTCAAAGTGGATCGTATCCGAGAAATGGCAGAAATAGTTTTTCTGTTTTTTTAAAAAAGTATCATTCTATACTTAAATCGCTTAGTCTTCGTTATTGACGCAGTTTTCAAAAAATCTTGTGTTCTGATCTTGACGCAAATAATTATATTGGGAGCACAACAGAAGAACCTGATCAAAACGACACAAGATACATTTTGCTCACCTTGAGACATTCAGCTGACCGATAAGTAAGAACGTGAAAGATTGCCACCCATTTTATGAGTTCAGTGTTTCCATGCGTGAATGTTTCAATAGATTAGAATTTTGGGAGTTGGCTCGAACTCAACTTGAAAGCAAACTGCTGCCAAGGTTTTTTTAAATATTTCAATTATAGACTTAGAATGCCTTTTCTAAGGTAAAAGCTTATAATTTATGACATGAACTGCAAATATCATCGCGTCTGTATATGCACCGCTGATTCGGTAGGTACTGTGTTAAGTGCAATTGCCGTAAACTAACAAGAATTTATTTATCCTCGACCTAATGTTTAAAAGCTAACAAAAGGAGGGTCCTGAGCAGTGTCTTGTGTGTTGAACGTAACGAAAAATTGCAAAATGAAAACGGCTACTTTGTTAATTGAAGTATATTTAAAACTCTGACGTTTCGGCAGTGCTACTATTCTTACACTAGATCTTTAGACTGCAGAACAGTCCGCATTTTTGCGTATTCAAGTACCCGCGAACAATCAAACAGAAAGTTCTAAAGCGAGGCTAAACTAAGCCGAATTTGAGAAAAAAACGACCGTTTTATAGTCTACTACAGTTCATTTGGGTTGACAAATTTATTTTTCCTGATAATGAAGGCTATAATTATTGCAAATATTTTAGAGTTAACGTCTGCAATTAACAGCGTTTTATATATATACAAACATGTGGTATTATGCGACGGTTAGTTATGAGTTACCTTGTGATTGTCAGTTCCTCTTTGGCCCCTTGTCCCGTTTGGTCGTGAAAGAAATAGCACAATTGCAATGTGGTTGACACAGCAAGAAACGGAGCGACTTTTATAACAAGGAACTATTAATGGCGATATGCTCTACTGAACCAAATCATAGCCGCGAGCTTTCGAGAACCTCAACAGTTCGTCGTGATCAGTAATGATCGTAAAGAAATCTGTAAATTTTGTGCAATTATGTGAGGCTTAGACGACCTTGGGGTTTAAATGGGGTTAACTGACTAGTGACAAACAGTGACTAACTAATATAACAAACTGATTATCGAAAAACAGGAAAAACAATTACCTTTTGCCGACGAAAAAATATTAACCGACAACTGACACGGTCCATTTTGTCCGATGTTTCATGTTTGTTTTCCGCAAATAATTAAGTAAGTAAGTAAACAAGTAAGAAAGTAAGGCAGTAACTAATTAAGTACCAGTAAATCAGTAAGTTAATAAGTAAGTAAGTACAGTAAGTGGACGGTTTATTAACAGTACAGTATCAACATTTTAAGGACTCATCATATAAAAATGCAAATATCATATATTTACAACCAGGGGTACCTTCCGGCAGGTGACAACGAGTCGAATTCGTTTATCTTTTGTGAAATGTGCCTATTCAGATCTTCGCGATATTTTTTTTTCATAATTCTAGAGGTTTAAAATGGATTCCGCTATAGAAAAGGATGGCACGCAACTTCAAAACAACAACTTTGGCACATTGTATCTTTAGGCTTTCACTTTTTAATTATTAAACAATAACGACATGGCTTGAAGCTGCGTTGGTAAATATGAGCAAGTTAGTGCTTATGTTTCATGGAAAATTCAATTGCATCAAAACTATAAACGTTAGAAAGGAAAAGATAGTTCAAATGAGGCCTTTGACTGATGAAATTATAAACAATAATTAAATTCCGAGCAACAGGGTCATCAGGGATGAGAAAATTGTTTCGCGTGGTAATATACGTCAGAAAAAATTGGTGTAACGTAAAATGTGTGAAAGGCGCAAGAATGGGGCGGAATGTATCAGAGGTTTAAAAAATGTAAACTTGAATAAAATAGAAAGATCTAACGAGCGAGTGTCACAGGACAAAGAGTCTCTTGAAAGGCATAATGATAGTCTTCAGAACAAAAAGGTCCGCAAATTCGTTGCCCTCCTCACGGGAGTTTTGGGCTGTCCCAATGTAAATCGAGCAGCAAAAAAAACATGCTGGTTGACAAAATCTCTCGAATAAATTTTAAAATAGAAGGTCCGCAAAAAATTAAAGCTGCTTTAAACGCAATGTATAAAGCAAACCAGAGCAATAATTGCTCTTTCAAACTAGAAGTCGTATTACAGTTTCTCACCTGTTAGGTCCTCTTGAACAAACAACGAACAGCTGCACACTGAATCGCCCAATTTCGGACCACGAGTTGTAAATACAAGACCATGACGTCACTACCCAAATATGGGGTCTTACTTACACCCAAATATGGTCAAAAATGCAAATTTTAGAGGGTTACGGGGAATTTGAGAGTTTTTGCCTACATTGCGCGGTGTTATAATTCTGCCGCCGAGTCAACCTCGCTTCTTAGCTCGGTTGCCTCGTTGGCAATAAAAATATAAAATTATATATTTAAAAGATTGAATAAACAACTATTAAAATTGGCAGCCAATTGAGCTTTAAATTGTGTTCATTATCATTTATATATCTGCCATAACAGTTGACGATTCTAAACGTATAAATTAAGGTTTGATCTTTGAGACAATGACAGCACGCCAGCTGCCTTGTAGAAAACACATCGATTTAGTCCTCACTGGATTCACATTCATGGCTAGCCTCCTCCGTAGCCTGCGAAAACATCCGTTTCTCCCTGCTCTTTGCCGCTGGGAACATTTCGCGCGGAGGAACGTCTACGACTCAACGACAGAAGTTCCATACTGATGACGCAGAAAACACGTAAAATTGGACAAATTAAAATTTGGAACCCCATGACTACCGAATTTATTATGTAAACACTGATTTGCGTCATCAGTATGGAATTTCTATCGCTGAGTCGCAGACGTTCCTCCGCGCGAAACGTCCCCAGCGGCGAAGAGCGAGGAGAAACGGATGTTTTCGCAGGCTAGCCTCCTCTGCAGCCACCTCCTATTGTAAGCTGTTGTGACGTTTACACTGACCGTGAGAAGTCTGAGAACGAGAAAAGGAGAAAAAATGTGGCGGAGTTGCCTGCGAAAAATCGAAGAGTGTCGACCGCGTCCTTCACCCTTGTGGATAAGCGACTGGACCTGGGGTCCCCTGGGGGTCTTCGTCCGACAAATTATTACAAGTCCAGTCCCCTGAGAAAGTTGTTTGATTGCCTTCAACGAAATCCAGCGATTTTCTCTTTAAAGATAGAATGAACTATTTGACGTTTGACTACCGTATTTATTCGATTAACCGCCCTGGGCGCTTATTAAATTTTTGGACCTTGAGAGTGGGCGCTTCTTCGAGGTGGGCGCTTATTCGAGGCTGGGCGCTTATTAAATTTTCACCATTTTCAGCAAGTGAAGTATGTTTATTTTGCAACAAAACAATAAATGCTAATAACAAAACGCGAAGAAGTAACAAGGCAAGGTTTCTGTAAAATACTCTGAAGAAAACTCCGTCCTCGGAGAAGTCTCTTATTAGAATTTATTCACTCAAGTGGGTGGGGTGGGGGTGAGCGCTTATTCGAGGCTGGGCGCTTATTAACTTTTTCTGCCTTTAGGATGGGCGCTTATTCGAGGTGGGCGCTAATTCGAGGTTGGGCGCTTATTCGAATAAATACGTTTCTTAATTACTTTGGACACAACCAGAAGCACAGATACCTACCCGACTAAAATGATTCTCTTCTGTTGGCTTTAATTATCCACCTTACGAATTAGACTGACAAGGTTCACTTCCCACACCCTGGGAAATTTTGATTTCGAAATTAAACTGTATAATATTCATCCCTGGGTATTGTTATTCATGGCAGTTCCCACAAAGAATCTTTTAAGACATTAGTGTCAAGCCTAATTAGGTCAAGACTTTGTTTCAGTGTACGACAGATAACGTTCCAAAGATCTTTATCTTTCTTTAGCATAACGCTTTTGAAGTGAATTGCTCGCGTGCAACTTATTTCTAAGAAGACAAAATATACCCTGTCAAAGAATTTGTCGATGAAGGTCAATGAAGATGAAGGCATCTCAGGCTGTTGTGGTGCTTGTCCCATCCCCTGGAGGAGGGGGTATTCCGTTATATAAGCCATATAGGTATGTGCCGCTCCAAAGGGTTGGGTTTTTGCGCCGTTTCGAATTCGGTCTGAAAACGGGTATATAGCCTGCGTGGCAGGCGTTCGAAAGGGAAGAGGAAGGGAATTAGGGCGCGAGACCATGCGCGAGGGAAACTCCCTTACTCTTCCCTTTCAAACGCCTGCCACGCAGGCTAACAGGTATAGACCAGGGCCATTTTGGTCCTGGAATTGAGTATTGTTTTCGAGGAAACTACAGGATATCGTACTTGTCCTTTTAATTCCAGATGAAAAAGAAAGAAAGAGTAATATGCGAATTCAAAATGGATTTCAAGAAATCTTTTTGTTGGCGTTCTTAACTAAGGATTAATGAAATAATTTCTTAGAGGCCAGGCCTGACAACGGATAAGGCTTTCAGAGGCCAGCTCTGAAAACGGGTGTGAAAAATGACATTTTTTGGTTTGAAAAGGGAACTGAGTAGGAAAAGAAAACCAAGGAGTTCAGAGCCTTTTCTACAGGAACACGAACTGATGTTCGCAGAAAATCTGACGGATGCTGACCTTCTCAAATTATATCTGACGTTGTAAGACCCTGTAAGTGTTCCGGGTCACGTTTATGCATTGTCTTGTACCAGAGTGAAAAAAGATCTTGCAAAGCCGATCGTACAAAGCAGAGCCTTTTTGTTTAGTTTAAGACGACGTTCTGATGAGTAATAATGGCAAATCAGCTCTTTTCGGCTACAAACGCCGCTTGGTTTTCAGGTTCTATCCGCCATCGGTGTCGTGTTTATGTCTTGCAAAGTTACTTTTTGCGTTGTAGCTAGCCCGTTGTACCTGTTGTTGGATCAGCTCATTGTAGATTTGTGTTCACTCGGTATGGTTTTGCTAAACAGATTTACTGTAGCTCCTACGTCCTAAGGCACATTCGCTCGCTTTGCCTTGCAGTTAATGTTGCTTCTTTTTGTAACCAGAGTGCCTCCATGGGGGTAGCCGTCCGCAGTCAAAACACAGGTACCCGAGGGTCACCAGCCGGTGAGGATCGTTGTTGCTTAACAGAAATATTTTAAGGGTTTGTATGGGGAATTTAGCAATCGTTTATATATACTCACTATTGAGGTCAAAAATAGGGATAAAAATGCTTAAAAACTTCTTACCTTCCGTCTTTGTGACTCCAGTGAGTTTTGGTTCTGACGTGTGGTTGAGAAAACAACGGCAGAACTAAAACTCGCTAGAAACGCGCTGAAACGGACAAAAATGCTAAGAAATGACGTAATTTTATTAGTATTCTTGACCCCATAATAACGATCGCTAAAATCCTTATATGAACCCTTTTAGGAGAGCCCTCTCGTGCGCTGGTAGTCACGTGATCGTCCGTCCGTCCGTACGTATGTATGTATGTCCGCCCCAAAGGTAAGCCGGAGTGAAATTTCGCAATCACGAACCCGCGCGTTTGGGTGAAAAATCGTATGGCCCCCAAGACATTTAAGAGAAAAAACAACAACACTGCTGAGTGCTTTTTCGACGAAATTTCAGTGTCTACACTGACGTAGAAAACAGAGAAAGAGCTAGAGCGAGAGATAAAACAAAAAAGAGACAAACATCATGGAAATTTCATAGTGGCCGCCGGTGAGAAAATGAGTAGTGGCCAGCGAGGTGAAACTGAGTGACAGTGAAAAAAAAAATGGAAACAGGAACACTTGCGACAAAATTTTTGGTGAGCGCATACGACATTTCCTAAAACGTGTAACTATGAAGTTTCACGTTGTGGTTGTGCAAAACAACGGGAAAGAAAGGTACAAAAAAGTGAGCTGCACGTGCTTTGCTAATTAGACCTATTAACTTTTTGTACCGTTTTCGTTGTCGTTGCCGTTTGGCATTAAAAGATTTTTTTTGCTTGAGTAAATATAAGTATGATTAACGAGAGCTTCGCTTTTAGGAGGATCCCCAATAGGTTTTCCGGGATACGGGATTTCCCTAGTTTGAGGCTCGGGTTCGGGATTTTACAGCAAAATCAGGGAGGGATTCGGGATTAAAAGTATGCGCGGGAGGTGGGATGCCAAAAATGGCTAAATCTATATATTAAACACTTAATTGATTTTTAATTAGTTAATTTTGTTTCCCTCGAATTTCTTTCTCAAGAAACATAACTATATCTTGTGATGTTTCAAGCTTTTTTAAATCTGAAACACAAGATATTCCGAGAGGTTTTGCTAGGAGTGAAAAAAAAAACAAAAAAGAAGAAAAACATATAAGTGTGCGCGTTGAAATCAGGACAGTTAATAGCCAACAGAGTTGAGATTTTATGATAGTTATGATTAACCGAAAATGGTTTCAACATCTTTCAAATTTCACTATTTCAGCTGCTGTTCACGGACTTCTGGCTTTCGACGAAATTTTTATCTGGTAAAACTAGTTGCTACACTGAAAAATATACTCGCTCTATGGTACCTGGAATATTACACAGGCAGCCCACACAAACTTAGTGACCGTTGTGATCTTTGAATTTGTGTATTATGTTGTTGCAGTTAACAACAGCGAATTAGTTGACATTTATCAAGGGAAGGAACCACGATTTCTATTCACCCATTGGGAGGATACCTAGCTGTAAAGACGTAGAGATTTTAGGGGCCACTTTCCAATGCGAATATACTTATTGATATTAGTAATGGTAACAGGACTGAGTGGAGTCCAATTCGGTCTGTAATCATACGAGTGATTGACAAAATCGGACGACTGCTATTATGATTATGATTATTATTATATTTGTTCATACATTTTTTATTTACTGTACTATGATAAAGTTGCATGTTGTTAAAGAAGCTATCCAGAGTTCAAGTTCATTGCCTTTCATTGCCAACTGTTTGTAAATGCAAAAACATTAACTGACTTCAGTACGTATTTCAAGGACGTAATTCAATACTACTATTGTCAGTCCGGTGTCCGCTTAATAGTAGCCTGATTCTCAGACGTCCTAGGTCGTTCGCAGTCCCTTCGCTTCCCTCCCTCTCTCTTTTTATTTCTATTTAATTTTATTATTTATTATTATTATTATTTATTATATAGACACGAGTGTTTTACTGGAAAATATACCACTCGTAAATTCTTAAAGCTACATCCGGGACTCGAGTGGTTTATTTTCCATAATCTCACACGTGAGTTTATCGATGACTTAATTTCGGTCATTTTCCTCTATTATTTTATCGAAGTCTTTTTGTCTTTATAATAAAGAGAACATTACATGGCGGCTTGAAGATATGAATTTTATTTTCTCGTGGCAAAAACAATATTTTACTCACTCGCTGCGCTCGTTCGTAAAATATTGTTTTGCCACTCGAAAGTAAAATTCATATCTTCGCGCCACTGTGTAATATCCTCTATATATCTAACCGATTTTTTGAAAACCAACCTAACGAAATTTTCAGTCGTTTGAGTGAAAAAGCGTCAAAAGGCAAGTATCTTAAGCCCGAGAAGCTCCAAAATCATAGTAACGAAGAAAAAGGAAAGGAGAAAAAGAAAGAGCGAGGAAAAGGAAAGGAGGAGAAGAAAAAAAAAGCAATGGTTGCACTCTTAGTTTTTATAATAGTTACTTTCTCCGCAAAAGGTCCATTTGCCGATAACGTTATCAAGAATGCGGCTAGATGTATATTATATTTTTAATAATTTTTGTTTTTTTATTTATTATTTTTATTTTACTAATTTTTTTCCAGTTACCAAACTATCTTATTTGCCTGAATCGTTTCTCATTGTTGGCCCATTTAGTTTTTTACATTACCTTTGTATCAAATTTCCAACTGCTACTCGTCGTTTATAATAATTGAATTGTAACGACTTTCCGATTTTTCATTAAACCCCTTAAGAAGCAAGTACGAGAAGTCCAAAGACTACCGCAGAGCTGATTTGACACAACGTATATTGTTTTTTATAATAATATTTCGGCTGGCATACCAGCCTTCCTCAGGTTTACAGATGTTACTGAACTTATGTAGGAATCACAATATTATATAGATGGAGAATGTCGCAATAAAAATTGTTCAAAAGGGAGAGGCGGAAATGACTGGTACAACATAAAAACTGGAAAGGAAAAATACTAAGGATATGGATTACAATAATTCGTCACGGCGGTCAGGCCATGAGGTTCAGGAGTCATGGCCTTATCTAACAAATGCTACTTCCTGGCCTTACGAACTGAGTCACGTGAACAACGAATTTTCTCTAGTGCGATTAACTGCGTGTCAGTATGAGAATGGTTAGAGTGAGAGAGAAAGTGTTCAGAAACAGTAGTGGGCTTAGAGTTAATGTTAGTTTTGTCGATTGCACGTCTGTGTTCGTTAAATCTGTCCTTGAGACGTCGCTTAGTTTCACCCATATATTGTAAATTACAACGGTTACATTTGAACCATGTAGATCACATTTTTAGTGTTACAAGTAATGTGTGAAATGATGGAGCGTGTTTCACCTGTAGCGTAAAAGGTATAATGTGAGGCCGTTAGTAATGTATGGACGAGTGGCACAATTCTGTCCACAGCGGAAGAAGCCTGGCGGAAAATCGTGGAGATAACGAGTAATTGTGCTTTTTAGATAAGGCCATGACTCCTGAACCTCATGGCCTGAACCGCCGTGACGAATTATTGTAATCCATATCCTTAGTATTTTTCCTTTCCAGTTTTTATGTTGTACCAGTCATTTCCGCCTCTCCCCTTTAAACAATTTTTATTGCGACATTCTCCATCTATATAACATTGTGATTCCTACATAAGTTCAGTAACATCTGTAAACCCGAAGAAGGCAGGTATGGCCAGCCGAAATATTGTTATAAAAAACAATACACGTTGTTTTAAATCAGCTCTGCAGTAGTCTTTGAACTTCTCGTTCTTGGTTCTTTATATTTTGGCTGATTAGATCTCTTCTCTAGAGATCCAACGTTTACAACTAGCAGGATCTTCTTCCACGGTTTTGCAGTTAATTTAATCACTTAAGAAGGACGGCTTGTCCGTCCGAAATATCGGGAAACCTCAGATCTCTTCTCTCTTTGCTGTTTTGTTATTTATGTCTGTATTTTTGTCTTGGATAAAAACACCAGGATTTGGCTCTCGATATCAAAAGTTTCAAAGTTTCAATGTATCCCAATTGGGGACCCTCATCGTAGCCTACGTGCAGACATCTCCAATTTCCCGAAAAAGGGAATCGGATCAGTTTTTTTCATCACAATCTACTTAAACAATACCCACTCAAAAAACTCCTTCCTCTGATTTAATATAACCTGCGACCAGGCGTTCTTATTTAATATGGTGCGGGACGAAAGACCTTTCGCGACTTCGTCGCTCGCTTGGCTGCTTCGCGGCCTAAAAAGCTCGCTCCGCTCAGCAAATCTACCCTTTTCCAAGATCCTGGGGCAGACTGTCCGCGCGTACGTGGGCCGGTTTTGACAGGAACTCATAGCCGTTGACGCTTTGACCGTTGACGAAATTGTAGGAAGCAAAAGAGGATGTCATTTGAGGTTTAGGCATTGATCATTGCGTACACTACAAAATCTTTCGTGATATGATCATGATGCTTAGATCATTTTGGAATTTCGTATCATTCTCCAAAAAGAAAATGCATTATTATATCTTGAAAAATGTCGAAGACATCGGTTCAGTCGTACCGATAGACATTGTAAACGGGAAACTATTCCTGGATTTGCTGAAAGAAACGCAATCGAAATTTCATAACTGCTAGGTTGAATTTTAGCATTATATCCCGTCTAATTTTAAGTGCAGTGCCAAAAATAGAGTCGGTTTTACTCCTCAAAGTTCATTATTTTTAGTGATTGGCTGCTTGCGTGACGTCACTTCCACTTCCGGTTAAACATGTCAAACTGCAGGACCTTTTAGAGGAAACACGTTGAAGAAGGGTAATTTATTCATATCATGTATTTGTCATTTCAAATTGACTCCACAAAATACAAGTCTGCTATTGAGCAACTGCCGGACATTCTGCTCCAGTGAAATGGCAAACGAATACCTATTTCTTCTGGCGTTCGCTGCATCACTTCGATTTAAATTTGTTTCTTCGTTCAATCTTGATAGTAAAGATGCGTTCGTTTACGAAGGTGCAGCTGGTGAATATTTTGGCTATTCGGTAGCGTTACATGCGCAAGGAAAAAAAGATCGATGGTAAGTTTATCAAATGTAATATTAACGAAGCTGGTTTACTTTACAAACAAGTATTTTGATTATTACCAGAAGTTTAATTTATACAACAGAGGAAACTCGGACTTAAAAGGAAAGAGGCTAAGGAAAGCTCTGCTCCTTGGCCGTGTTTTTTAAAGCTCCGTTCTGAAGGCTTCCTTTAAAAACCGGAAACTTGGAATTTTAATATATGGCTCTCATATAGGACACTTGTTCTATAAAATAATTGTTATAAATGGAAAATAAAGCGTTCCACTCGATGATCGCACAATTGAATCGAAGGACTAATATAAAAGAGTTAAAAGAGTGTCTCTAGTAATGAAACCCATCGTATTTGTCTGTATGTATTGGTTACATGTAAATACTACATGATACATTTGAAATCGACGCTGACAGAAAAAAACATCGGGCTCTTTGAGTGTAAACGCCTGCCTCTATTCCTTTCCGAAGCACCTTTTAGCGATCAATGGCGATAACTAGATGACATTTCCACTAGAACCTGTCACGCGCGCATTTTCCGAATACCTTTTTGTTAGATATGGCCCTTTCTTGACGACAACAAGATCGCGTAAATTGATTTTGGAACAGTTGTCACAGTATAAATCTGAACGTTATCTGGAGTTGCAATATCACTGTATTTCAAATTATCGTGCGCCATTTCGTCGTAATGCAATGTAAAGCAGATTAACGTTAACGTTATTAAAAAAAGACTTTCGCTCCAACCAAAAGGATCAAGCTTACATTTTTGTTTGCGTGTGTTCCCGCACAAAACGCAGGAATGAAAATAATGCTATAAAATGCAAATCAGCTTTCTCGTTAAATCCACATACTTACGGAGATTTTTAAATAATTAAAAACACTCCACCATCTTGAGATTCCCCTGTGAAATAACAGCGCACCTTTTTGTTCGAGACTATTATTTTCTGCTGGCGTAGTAGGCCCCAGGTTTGCCGTATTTCATAATCTCTCTATTTTTCCTTTATTTTAGCTCCCGTAGAAGGTTGGTTTTGCAAACCGAAATATTGTGAAATACCATTTGTTTTGTTTTTAATTATTTTCCTCTCGGTATTTTTGCCGTAAGGATGAGTGTATTCCTGTTGTACTCCTCCTCGATTGATTATCCACAGGCAGACCACCTTCTGCTCGTACCGGCGATGCTCTTATTCTTCGGCCATTTCAATCGACCCGTGGCACATGTAAAGAGGAAATACAACTGAAGATTACGGTGGTTCTGGGACAAAGCACAGCGACGAACCTGTGGTTAGCGCTGTGGTTTTGTCTTAAAACTGGTTTTTTGTAAAATATATATATCTCAGGGTGGGAAATGGCTAGCTTGCGTACTTGAGGGATCCGCGGACGAGTGCTGTTGTTTTTTGGCGGCAGAGCCGCGAGAAGATTAGGAGCAAATCGAAATCCCACAGTCACCAAGAAAGTGCCCCGCGCATAATAGTCCCGTCAGCTACGCAGGCTAGGTAATGGCCGACCACTGGAGGCTACCGAATGGCCGAATATATTGGTAAATTGATGTCAACCATATACCAGCGACAGCGAACATTATAGCTGTTGGTGGCCGAAGAGAGGAGGTGGGGGGGGGGGGATGGGTGGGGAGAAAGGCTGTTTTCTCTCTCCCAACCGCACCTCCGAGAAAAAAAAAGAATTCTTGTATCCTTTATGTACGTGCCCACAAACCCTGGCCGAGCTGACGTATCTTTCGAAGATAATTAGGCCAAATCATGCAATTTAGGCGCGAAAGCTATGCAAAACGGGTACTGTAAGCACGGGCAGCCCAAATTCGCGTAAGTTGAAGAGGAAAGTGTTTTTCCATGCTTTAAAGCCTAAAAGAGAGTAAAATATGTCCCGGCAATTAAAGAAAACCACAACTCTAGTGAATCAACAACAGAAGGCTTGCCACGACCTTTAAAGTGCCTGTTGTTAAAGTTTAATATCACGTTACGCTCAAATTCATCGCAACTAAGCTTTCCCGCGCCTCAGCTCAACTTCTCACCTAAAATTAATCTTCTTGATTGAAACTTGTAAGCTGCTGAGATGGTTTTTAACCAATATCATGGGACTTCGGCCACATCGAAACAAGTTTTTTGCACTAAAAATGTCGCGTGAAAGCGTATCCGAGAAGCACGATGAGGTCTCGCTTAAATCGCAATGATCATTTGCTGTAAATATCTGTAATTTTGAGGCTTCTTGTATTTCGGCCGTCTTTGTTTGATGTCTCCAATAATACAATTTTTTTTAAGCAGAACGTTTTTTATATAAGAAACGTTAGGCAGGGAATGGGAAAAACTTTGACCGGAACTCTAACGTTCTCGGCCATGGCTTCCCTTGCTTGAAGGCGAAACGAGTACGAAAACGTGTTCCTTCGGGAATTCACAACTCCAGTGAATCAACATCAACAGAGGGCTTGCCACGAGATCCTAAAAAAACTTAAGGAAATATCTCTATCTAAAGTGCACTCAAATACATTTTATCATGCTTAGCTGTATTGCACCAGTTTAAAGGTGAAGAATTTAGAGAAATTAAGATAAGGAATTTTATTCGCCAAATCAATTTTGCTGAACATTAGTTTGCAATGTCCAAAAAGCACGACGTTTTAGAGTCCTGCAGGCCTATAATTCCGTCATTACAAAATGTAATAAATTCTTTGTCGTTCAAATAAATGTAAATTGTATACTCTTTTATGGGAAAATAAGAGTGTACAAACTACCCCTCCCCTGAACCAACATTAACACTTCACTCACTTAAATGTTGGCTTAGGGGAGGGGTAGGTTGGCAGTTTCCTAAAAACGTAGAATGATCCCATAAGGTTGTAGCCGTTTAAGCCCCGTAGGGAACATACAAAAATATGTCTTCAAACTGATGTCCATCGATACATTTCCTTAAGATAATTAGATAAAAGATTAAAGCATTTTATCTGTGCTTATCATCTTATTAGTTATTATCTTCTCCAGGCAAGAAAGGATAAAAGCCCTCGAAGAGATATGAGGCTTCTTCTTCCTTGATTTCGGAGAAAGGGGCGGGGTTGCCGTTGCGTCACTGTCCGTCAATTGCAAGATTGAGGCGATCTCAGACTAAAAATACGGAAAAATTTCGACCCACTCCCTCCCCCTAAATCAAGATGGAAATAGCGCGTTTTAACCTTCGGGAGGTTTCATCCCATATTTCGGGTTATTGGGGGATTGCTGTTCCATTTTATTCTGTTCAAGATTGTAGCCCAAATAAAGAAAAGCGAGACCCATTTTTGTTGTATCAAAATTTCGTTTTCTTGGCTTAGAATTATTCTGCTTGAGAATGAAATTCTCTCTACCTCTTTCTCTGACTTTTTTGGTCTTCTCCGCCTGTTACTTTTCCTTTTTTGCGTTGTTCATTATTTTCAACATCTTCTTAATTTACACTTTTTTCTAGGGTTATAGTTGGGGCACCGTTAAGAAACAAGACGGTATCCCCCAGAGAGTTCTATCCTCGATACGGAAGTGTTTATAAATGCAATGCTAACTCAGGACAGTGTAGTGTAATATCTGTGGACGACAGACGTAAGTTGAATTTTATCTGTTGGTTGTAGGTATGTGCTGTTATTTGGGGTGTGTCGTCAGTGTGTCGTTGTACACTAAGGAAGTTATAATATAGAAGAGTGCAGGGGCGGATCTAGGGGGAGGGTGCAGGAGGTGCACACCCCCCCCCCCTTCCCCCCGAGATGACCTGCGGTTTTCTAATACAACTGGTATTCTGCAAAAAAAAACTACGTGGTTTATTGGTGTTGAAGTAGAGCAAGAGACGAGTGCACCCCGTCCTAAAAAAAATCCTGGATCCGCCCCTGGAGTGTTTGCACAGGGTAGTAATATTATATATACAGTATACCGACCCATGAAGCTCGCCGAAACACATTTCCCACGTGAATGCCGACTAGGCACTCAAGTCGGCGGTTAAAGTAAACCAGCTTTGCTTCCACGATATTTGTGCTTTGGCGACTTTCGCGTAAAAACCGCCCGATGTTAGGCTGGGCCGTTGTCTGCGTTGCAGACTTAATTTGATCAGAGTTGAGTTTCGTCTGTAGCGCAGGCTGCTGGGCCGAATGGGCCGGATATTACCCCGTGGGGGGGGCACTTTAGGAATTTCTGGGTGGGGATGTGCCGCTGGGAGCCTGGAACCCTTAACCTTTACCAGAGCTAGTTCAGCTGAATTTTGCTGCCCTATACTAGAGTAAACTCCCCAAATCCCCCTATCCTAGAGTAGCTGTGTACCTAGTCTAGATAAAATCTTCAACCAACTGATCAGTTTCCTGAAAAATGATACCCTATTCTAGAGCCAAACGCTCTGATTTATATACCCTATCCTAGAGTAAACTGCTTGAAAACCATACCCTTCACAGCGGCACATACCTATATAGCCCATATATGGCAGTACCCCCCCGGGGATATAACTTAGTATACAGGGTGAACTAATTAACCTGATTGCGACCTATCCCGTTTTTTTCTCGATCATTTCATCTCGCTTAGTTAGGTGGGGCAGATTAAATTTAAGCTGAGAAGAGTCCTAGTCCGCCGAGCTCAGATAGATGCTCATCTCTCAAAAGAGGAAAATTCATTTCACATCGTAGCTAGTTGTGCAGGGATGGCAAAGAAACTCACCACAAAAAAGGGAGGATATTTTCAACTTGTTGTTTAATCGCTAAAACCCACTGTGTTATTTTTTTGTCGTTCCCGACCACAACGTGGACAATTTTCCGTTTTCATCATGGTTTTGTAAAGTCCCTCATATCTCCCGTATACTATGCGAACCAATTCATAACGGCAAAAACATACACATCTGAATTAATTGAGACTGATATTCATGCGTTATACACAAATGTTCCATAACAATCCGACCATGGCAGGTTGTAGTGTACGTAGCCGACAGAATAATGGGACCACAGTGCTCCCATTTTTCCCCTCGGGCATTGATCTCTCTTAATTGGTTAAACTTCCGTTGGGCGTAAAGAACATTTGTAGCGGATAACAGACTGTCATATCTCGGGTGGTCAAAAGCTTTTAGCACCTCTTCAGCAGATTATGAAAACAAAGCAATTATTTTCACCTTTGGCTGGAGCCTCCGGGCCAGCTGTTTCTATAATTTGATTAATTGTTTTTATCTTTTCCTTCCGTGTTTTTTTGGAAAGTTTGCGGTTGTCTTAAATGAATTTTTTTATTATTGATTGATCTTAATTAAAGTAATTGCACCGGACGTGGAAAAATTCTTGTCTGAAGAGACCGTGATCCAAATATTTTCCCAGGAGAGTTTGAAGACAATCCATTTCAAGATGATATATTATATTTGTAATCGCACGACTGATGTGTTATTTAAAATAGTAAGTACGAAGTCGGCTTATTTAATAGGTGCCGTGTCTGTTTAATTTTTCTTTTGAGAATTGGCGCCGCGTCTTTTTTAAATAACATTTTCAAAGTAAACTACGTACAATCTCGGACATTTACTGTTAACTTCTTAAACAGGAATTATAATACAATATTAGTCATGCCTTTATTTTCGCTTGGGTCTTCGCATGTTCAGAACATATGTTTTCTGTGAACTGGTTGCATTTGTATTAATTCCGGAAATTCTCGGAGAAAATGTCGGGATCAGAGGAGAAAGTCAGCAGAAGTGAAGTTAGAGAGAGTAGAAATTATAGCAGCTACTGCCAGGTTTAAGTCAAAGTGTCGCCTCTTTCGTTATCCGAGAGTTGTATGGGTGTGTCTTTTAATATTCAGAGATGATTTTTTTGTTTAAGGTCATGTCATAGTTTTGCCTTTCACGTAGACATTCTCTTCGTTTGTCACGCAATCTCCCCACAGTAACGAACATTGGGGCGGAGCTGCGATACGTGACGAGGTCACACAATCTCAGACGGTCTGCCATAGTCTGTAAAGGTCGGACTGAGCCACACACGAATATATTAAACTCTCATTTGTTGTCTACGTAACTGGAATTTTTTGGAACGCTAATTGAATTTTAAAAAATGCTTGAAAGCTATTTCTGAGCTTTCACGATATCGACATCAGAGGTAGCCTCCCACGCAAACGTTCTTTTGGCTCAACACTCAATTCTGCGCAACGTAACGTTCGTGGGCATGGAACGCGTGATATGCTTTTGGAATGCTCCAAAGACCCTCTCTAAGCCACTAAAGGTTCTATCTTAGGAGGATATGGCAGTTTTAGATCAATTAGCTACTGACATCATTAGCTTGTGCCTTATACACAAAATGTTCCTGTAGCGTTAGGCACGGCCATGAAGACCTTGTTTGGTTGATGTTTGGGATCAATTATGTTTCTGGGAAACTGCCCATTTACCCCTCCCCTAAGCTAACTTTAACACTTACTTCTCACTTAAGGCAAAAAACGCAAAATGATGGCTTAGAAGAGGGAATTGATACAAATGGTCTGATGTTTCCTGGCTTTCCGCGTAGCTTGAAAACTTGAAAAAGTTGGCCCAATTTGTTTTAAGTTTCATCCATGTCCATCCTTGACATCCGTAGCAATAGATGACAGGAAACAGTTTCCATGCGTATATATTCTTGAATAACAAAACTGGACCATTATTTCCAGAATTACCACTGATGCGAAAGCATGTTTTTTTAAAAAAGAAATGTTTGAAATGGTTGAATGTTTGAATATCTCCACAGGTCAAGCAGATGACGAAGAAAAGAGTGGGCAGTGGCTTGGAGCAACGGTAGTCACTTCGCCTTCCACCACTAACAATGGAAAAGTGCTGGTAGGAACACCCACACTCAGTGTTAGTTTTTTCTTAGCCTGCGTAGCGCTGACGAAATTAGGCTGATTTAGCAACAGAACGGAAACGTCATTTGACGACGGGAAAGCGCGCGGAAAGGACTAAATTCGACTGTCGGTGTCCAATTTGCACCTCTGCCATTGGTCAAGCCAGTTGTTTGATTTGCGCGCGCAGTCGTCAACTGACGTTCCCGTTTTGTTGCTAAATCAGCCTTTTGTTTGTCCGTGCGCGTGATGCACGTGCAAGTGTTTTGTTTTGCTAATATAAACCTATTGCTTTTTTGCCTTTCGCGTCGCCGTCGTCGTTGCTTAGTTTTTGCTACGATGGTAACTTGACGTCACAGTTCTCCTCTCTAATAGGCTTCTTCCTACTTTTCCAAAACCGCTAACTTTCAAAACGAGCCTGAGTCCAAAACGTTTCATGTAAAAATGAGTTTTAGTTGCATGAGAATATAAAACTTGTAAGTTGCGCACGGCGGTCGTTTTTGGAGACGCTTGATTTTATCGTGAAATAATAGTTGTTCTTTTAGTTATGATAGTTTTGCTGTCGAATCATTTCTCTTCTACTGCCCCAAATATTTTACCCTTGGAAATAAATTCTTCGCTAACATGAAGGTTTTTTTCTTCCAAGATTTTTTAGTTATTTAAAGACTCTGATTGTCGGTTGTTGCGGGTTTTTGTTGGTTAAAACCCGCGACCTCCCGCTCAGCAGACCGGCACTCTCCCAACTGAGCTAACCAGGCGGCGGTTCTTGTTGATTGTTGTAGGTCTGTGCACCGAGATATACATACTGGGGTAAAGTAACCAACCCGAATAAGAAGGACAGAATACTTATGGGAAAATGTTTCACTATTGAGAACGATTTAGGATACGCGGAGAAGATTGACCAAACGTGCTATCACGGTGGTAGGCATAAATATCCTCTTACCTATTAGGCTCGTAATATTTTCAAAGTGATCATTATTTATTCAGCCTAAACCAGACTTTTTTTGGAATAATCTGATTCAGAATTGTTTTCTGGTTCTATCATCCCATAGTTCTATTCAGTCCTTCGTGAGCGCTCTGTTTCGATTAGAAAGCAAAAAAATCCAGAACCTTTTTTAAACCAGCGTACAGTTAAAAGGCTGCTCTTTTTTTCTTGTATCGATGTCCCAAATCCGTCTTTAAAAGCCCACGACATACGACAATTTTCGCAATCAGGGGTTTCAATAAAAATTGAAGAACTCAGCAGATTTGAATAGAGTAACCGCGATTGTATCTACCAGTAGGCCCGTTCTTCAGTGGGACATGTTACCCCAGAAAATATCTAAAAAATTTCCAATCCCTAAAAGGTAATTTCCAGCTTTCTCGGGAAAAAGTGAGTACAATACTAATTAATAGTGGCAGTTTTTATGTGTATAATTTACATTTCTTGGAAAACAATGAATATGAAGTAAATGAAAGTGAGTAGTAGCACTGACACTGCACATCATTCAAAATGTAGCAGCCAGTCACTTATTGTCAAATATTTTACTCTTGTGACTGTTTTAACTTGTTTTGACAGAATCTTTCTTTAATATGATACTTCATTTCCAGTTCCGATGGCATAAAACTAGCCGACTTCTATGAGCAAAGTAGCTGACTCGTTTCGTCGATTGTCGGTGCTTATTTATACCCCTGCGTAATAATAAACACTTAATGACTGGTCCCGAGGAAAACAGTAAATTTTGCTACTTTGAGATTCGAGGGAAACAAAATTAAATGTTTCTCGAGGGACCAGTCTTTAAGTGATTTGTTATATAGCTGGAAAGTTTGAAGCTGGAAATTCATTAAACCTCGCTGTTAACAGCGGTCGTTGGTCAACATTAGTGGGTAACAGTACACTGTTACCCTCTGACGTCATAGATTTTGCAGTGTTGCCCGCTCAGAGATTTTAGCGGGAAACAGTTTCATTGTTAGATGTCATGTGATCTCAAAGTAACCAATGACTGCTTTGCTACTCTTCCAGGTAGAGTTTGAAAATTTTGTTCTTTATTTCTAGAGAATCCGGGAAATGATAATTATAGGGACGTAAAAGATGCTACGTGCCTAGAAGGCTTCAGTGGAGCCATGCTGACAAACGGCAGATTTCAAACTTATGTAATGGGACTACCTAGCCGGAATTTGGATGGTAAGTTAAAACGTTCTTGGTATTTTTAGATGAGGGGTGCTTTCCATAATGCCAATTTTTGGAAATTTCGGTCGAGAAATAAATGGAACGCTTCGCTCCGCTTGAAAACTTTCTGGTCAAAGTGGTCCACCTCCAGAGCTAGTCCTCTTTGACTGGTCGGTCTTGTCCGACCGAAACTTACCGTTCCACTTCCAAAAATATTGTTTCTAGTCCCACTTCGCAGAGAAGTAATCAATATTTGGGTCTAAAAGTAAATGGAACGCTTCGGTCCGGTTGAAAACTTTGATTCAATCGAACAATGTCGTTCTAGTTGCATTGGTTTCTGACTGGTCTGTTTGGCAATGGAAAGCACCCGAGATTTTCTTAATGGGGTTTTTAGCTACAAATATCCCTAGAAATATTTGGGAGAAAACTTTATCACTCGTTCCAAAGGTTTAATTTTTTCTTCTCGTTTGCACTTGAGCCGCAAAGCAACAGAAAGAAAGGAAAACCCCCTCGTACCTTTCTGATTTCTGATTTCTCAACTCTTTTTTTTTGCCCAAGTTACCCCTTTGTAAAATTTTAATTGTACCAAAGGGGTTTAAGTAAGTTGATATTTGGTATCCGTTTTATCCAGCATGCGTGGCCAATTTTTATAGGCGCGCGAGGGGCAACCTCGTCCCCAGGGCTTTTCCCTTAAAAAAATTTTTATTGGAAAAGCCCGGGGGACAAGGTTGGTTGAGGGGAACACGCGTAGTGAAGGCCCTATTTTACCGTTTTCTACGTTCTTTGGTGTGCCAAGAATTCCATTGGCTCAGTGCGCCTCGTGGGAGTTAGTCTGTCACCTCAAAGTGATATTTTTCATTCAATGGACATTCGAGTCTTGTAAACAAAACATACGCCGCGCTCTACTATTTAGAAACTTTTACAAACTCAAGGAAGTTGGCAGCATTTCTCTTTCGTTGCAGGTTCTATGTCAGTGTTTAACGTGCCTGGGAAGCCGGGTACGACGTTCTACACCACTCGGACTCATGGTAAAGATGAAAGCAGACCAAAAGATCGAACTGGTCAAAACTTCGGTGAGTAACGCTAGACATTTCTTTTCTTTATGCAAAAACATGATGTAGTTCCGACGTTATGTACTGTCAGAACAAGTAAAGAAATGAATTTTCGTCTTGCTGTTGAAGCAACATACCTCATTTAAATAAGTTCTTCCTTCTTTGTTTTTTCTCCTCGTCAGTGTACTTTTTTGATTTTACCTGCTACCTAGAACCTATATTGTTCAGGGAGCTAAGAAGGAAACCAACTGGTTCATTTAGCTTTCTAGCTTGCACATTATTTTCATTAAATTTAATTAATCTTCTATTGTAACTAAGTCTACCAGATTGTAATATTAACCATGTACATCGACAAAAGGATAATAAGGATTATTCTGTTCTTTTCTGCTAATATTTTTCCAAGTTTGGACCTGATTGAAAAACGTGTGAATGTATTTCAAAATAATATGTTGGTTGTTTGTCAGCTTGGTACTAGAATAAGTTGAGTGTCAGCTTCTGCAGTGCTTGGAGTTCGACTTGACTCGAACATCCGCGACTTCAAAGAAAGCGTTTTCTACATTGCCATTCCCTAAAAAAAGTCAAAACAGTCACCTTCTTCAAGCTTGTTAAACGCTCTCAACAGTTCACCTAGAGAGATAATTACTAAACGGTTTATGCTGCCAGAATCAGTCTGATCAGTGAATTGGGAAGAATCAAATCATAGTGCAGATTTTATAGATCACGATTACATCACTGAAATCAAATTCCTTTACTTCTTATCTTCTAAAATTTTGATCTGTGCCTTGCTCATTTGTAGGATACGCGGTTGCCGCCGGACGTTTTACATCAAAAGACAAAGAAGGTACTAGTTATAACGACACGATATAAGTTAGGCTTAGTTGGTAAAAGGGCAAAAACAAAAGAAAAAACAGAATGGAAGAAAAACCTATCACAGAACTTCAACTGCTGCTTAACAATTCTCCTTCGTCAAGCGATGTTGTTTCCGCCATTTTGCGTTATAAAGCCATTGGGCCGGGCGAGTATAGAATCCGTGAGTACCGTCCCGGTTTAGCCGCCGGCGAGTTTTAGATTTCAAGTTGTACATAAGGCGGCTTCGTAATGGCTCCAGAAGCGAACAGACAGTAAAACACACAACAAAAACGCAAGTCGAGTCATTTTTATTGCGTTTTTGTTTTTTCAATAAATGGATTTTAGGACTTTCTTGTACGTTTTCCATACATTCTCTTATAAAATTCAGATTCCAACGAACTCTCATATACCGTAAAATTCCGAAAATAAGCCCCTCCATGTATAAGCGAACAGACAGTAAAACACACAACAAAAACGCAAGTCGAGTCATTTTTATTGCGTTTTTGTTTTTTCAATAAAATTTTGCCTTTCTTGTACGTTTTCCATACATTCTCTTATAAAAAGATTCCGAACTCTCAATACCGTAAAAAACGGAAAAATTTCCTTCCAACTATAAGCCCCTCAAATATAATCGATTTTGAAAAGGCAAATTAAAACAAAGCCAAAACCGTAGATAAGCCCCTCCGAATATAAGCCCCTCCAAAAATAAGTCCCTCAAAAAGGGCCTTTGAAAAATATAAGCCCCGGGGCTTATTTTCGGAATTTTACGGTATATACAGTAGACTCCCGATAACTTGAATCTTCAAGGGAAATCGAAAAAAGGTTCGAGTTATCGGGAGTTCGAGTTATCGGGAGCTCGAAGAAAATAGCCGAGAGTTAGGTAAAAAACAGTTTTTACTGCACAGTGAACATATTAATCACATTTAATTGTAGAAATGTCAAGTGAAAATTAAAAGATACTTCTAGATTATAAATCAGAACGTAACGCAACAAAACATAGCCGAAATAGAGCATACGTTTTACTGTTTTGAGAAGAAAAGCTGCCTCACGTTAGCCTGTGACAATCAACATGAGCCTCCACTAGTAAACTATACTCCTACAACATGTCAGTAGGAAATCCAAAATTCAATGTTTCGGATGCCCGTAGACGGCTTTTTTCCCGACTTTTTCAGGGCTCAAAACATGGTTCGGGTTATCGAGGGTAAAATCATTATTAAAAACTGAATCATTGGATAATGCAATTCTAGCATTTTGATTGGCTTAGCCGTTATGGTATATGAGCTAATATACCATGTTCTCCATTTATGGTCGGTGTACGCGTCAGTTTAAAATTGGAAGCTAGCTGAGATTTTTTTCGCGAAGGATAGAACGGCGCCCGAAGCAAATCGTTTTAATTCATTTCTCAGAATACTAGAAATGCAATTTCAACGAAAGAAAAAAGACAAAAACAAACAAAAAAGCCACAAGAGCTTGTCTGAAAGTTTGTCGAAAAACACATGAAAACACATGGAACTAAAGTACCTTGACCAGCTACGAAAGAAGACAAGTGTTGTTTCTTCATGATCGCGAAGCCATTCGCCGATCAAGTCACTCGCCGATAGATAACTGCAGCTTGTTTATCCGACATCAAGAATATAAATCACAAGTAACCAGCTACAAATACAGGCTATGAAGCCATTCACTAGAGCAATCGAGGCGGCAGTATAGCTTCTTTTCTCGTTCAGCAAAACCAGCTTGTGGCTTCAAACAACTTCATAACAAGCGACCGAGGTAATACCGGTAGTTTTTCTCCGTTGTTCTTACTTTTATAACTGCACCGAAAATCCAAATTCATAGTAATTTCGACGGCTGTCATTTAAAAATTCCTTTCCTTCACATTATCTGCCAGGTTTTTTAAGCTGTTCTGCTGTGTAAAATCCTAGAATCACGATGAGTTTTTGAAAAACTAATGTTCATCGCACAATGTTTTGATTTCAGTCTAGGCGAGTCCGTTCGCGCGTTGACAGTAGGGAACTTAAGAACCACGACGACGACTTTGTCGACGACGACCGGAAGTGAGATACCATGCACTGCGCAAGCGCGGTTAACAAAATTTCGTCGTCGTGGTGTCATCGACGACGCCAAACACAGTAGAGTCACGTCGTCCTGCAGTCCACAAGCTTCGGCAGGTATAACTCCCTGTTTTTAAGCGATTTTTCAAGGGCTTTGTATTTTTTCACCTCGTAAATCTAGGTATCTTGTCTTTTTTCTGCTAACAAGCGATGTTGATTGAAAATTTGACTGATGAATTGTGTTTTACGGTGGCTCGTAGGGACAAAACACTTCCCAGATTCCAAAAACACGTCCCAGAATCCAAAACACGTCCCAGAATCCAAAAACACGTCCCAGAATCCAAAAACACGTCCCAGAATCCAAAACACGTCCCAGAATCCAAAAACACTTCCCAGAATCCAAAACACTTCCCAGAATCCAAAAACACGTCCCAGAATCTGAAACACTTCCCAGAATCCAAAAACACGTCCCAGAATCCAAAACACGTCCCAGAATCCAAAAACATGTCCCAGACTCCGAAACACTTCCCAGAATCCAAAAACACGTCCCAGAATCCGAAACACTTCCCAAAATCCAAAACACTTCCCAGAATCCAAAAACACTTCCCAGAATCCAAAACACTTCCCAGAATTCAAAAACACGTCCCAGAATCCAAAACACTTCCCAGAATCCAAAAACACGTCCCAGAATCCGAAACACTTCCCAGAATCCAAAAACACTTCCCAGAATCCGAAACACTTCTCAGAATCCAAAAACACGACCCAGAATCCGAAACACCTCCCAGAGTCCAAAAACACGTCCCAGAATCCAAGGATCATGATTAATAGAAGCAACCTGTAGAAACATAATCCTTCTGGAATACCCATCGATCCAGCCACTTATGCAAAATCCAGAAAGAGCTAGCTTATATCCGTCAATGTGCCAAACTGCGTTTGGACCTGAGCATCTGTACTGTCTTCGTTCAAATCGTCTTTGTCTTCTTTGATTAACGCCATGTGGATCAATATTCTTTAAGAGGGATCTAACAGTATGCCTTCCAACCAAAAGATTATATTTCCGCCGTAGCCGTCTCGTCATAGTTCGATAACCAAGGAGTTTACCTGGACCATTCAGCTCCAAAGCAATTGGTTGGCGTATGTTGGCAAGTGGTGATTGATTGCCTTTTCTTCGCAATCCTAGCTTCTGGTTTATAAATTATTTAAATTGTCTTAGAGTCCAGTGAATGCCATGATAAGCGGAAAGAAACATCAATATGGCTGTATATCGATGCCCCTGCCTCCAATACGCAGCTACGCATTCATCGACTGTATTGAAAGTTGCCGTGCAAATACAATCTGGTAATCCCACAATATCAACCACATTTTGAATCAATAATAATAATATTACTATAACTGGTAATCTCATAATGATCCGTGTCAGGCAGCTTGACTTGACAACCAGGCCTCCTTTGATTGTAAGTGCATTCTGGGAACTGTTTTTTTTGGGAAGCACTAGGAAGTGTTTTAGATTCTGGGATGTGTTTTGGATTCTGGGACGTGTTTTTGGATTCTGGGACGTGTTTTAGGATTCTGGGAAGTCGTTTGGATTCTGGGATGTGTTTTTGGATTCTGGGAAGTGTTTTTTGGATTCTGGGAAGTGGTCTGGATTCTGAAACGTGTTTTTGGATTCAGGGAAGTGTTTTTGGATTCTGGAAAGTGTTTTGGATTCTGGGAAGTGTTTTTGGATTCTGGGAAGTGGTTTTGGATTCTGGGAAGTGTTTTGGATTCTGGGAAGTGTTTTTGGATTCTGGGACGTGTTTTTGGATTCTGGGACGTTGTTTGGATTCTGGGAAGTGTTTTTGGATTCTGGGACGTGTTTTGGCTTCTGGGAAGTGTTTTTGGATTCTGGGACGTGTTTTGGTTTCTGGGAAGTGTTTTTGGATTCTGGGACGTGTTTTGGATTCTGGGACGTGTTTTGGAATCTGGGAAGTGTTTTGTCCTTATGAGCCACCGTAGTGTTTACTTCGAAGACAACACTGAGATGTGCAGGCCGAGCGAGCGAACTCGTAAGTGACAAATTTATTTGTACGTATTTAGGTCAGGCAAATCATGTATCTTTAATATAGAGGAAATGAACTTTATATGGAAAACAGCTGTCGCATCGGAATCTCTCTTTTTCCAAATCTAAACTCTGACAGACACTCGGACTCGGTCAAGTCATTCAGGTTGAAAGTTGAATAACCTTCGTACGGAAAGCAGAGATTTTTCCATTCGAAAAGGTCAGACAACACTAAAAATTCTTCATAGTCAAAGAAAGTAGACGTACGGCTTATAAAATAAGATCTTGCATCGTCTTAAAAGACGCCTTTGCGAAAAAACTTTGTTGCGAACGAACATCACAGTTGTACTACTTCTACATGTTTGTTTACATTTAGTGTTGCCGTCGTCGACCTATCGATCGACTGTATCTTAAGTTTCCTTTTTCCCACCGAAACTGACGTTCTCGTTCCAGTCCTTTCCCAGTCAACAGACGTCGTCGTCGTGAACTTCGTCGTGGTTCTTAAGTTCCCTAGTTTTGATAGACGTGTGACATGTGAATAGCGGAAGTCCCTTGTCTTTTCCGGTTTGTTCTAGTCGGGGCGACTCAACGAGATTTTGTGGGCGTTTTTAATAAAACAATTATTCCACTCGGGCTTGTTGGATATGAAATGATTATAGCCAACTCGGCGCTATGCGCCTCGTTGACTATCTATCATCTCATATCCAACGCGCCCTCGTGGAATAACGAAAATTGGTTCGAGTTAGCGGGAGTTCGAGTTATCGAGGGTTCGAGTTACCGAGGGTAAAATTACAGCGAATGTATGACGGAAATCCAGGGGAAATCGATTTTGGTTCGAGTTAGCGCGAGGTTCGAGTTAGCGAGGGTTCGAGTTATCGGGAGTCGACTGTATATATATACAGAGTCTGGGCCGCCTGTGGTTTAGCTTGGGAATTGAAAGTCACCCGGCCGTTAGCGCAAAGGAGCGAGCCACGAAGAATTGGGACGTAACCGTTTACCTCCCGATTCTCAAATGGAGACCTTCACACAGGATAGGCCTGGTTTACAAAGACAATTTTGTTTCTAGTTTGAATTGAACTACAGTGGAAGTTCTCGTAAAGGACACTGTCGTGAGCGGACGGGTCTACTTACGGTCACCGTCAGAAATCCCCGTTTCTCTCAACTCCCAAACAAACTCTGTATTTTTACATTCCCGTAAGCGGCCAGCTCCCAGTTACGGACACTTTTTTGAGTCTCGAGGATGTCCGCTTGTAATTGTAAATTGTGATTTGTTTAACCACGGAGCACTTAAGAATTGGCTGAAACGTGTCCGTGCGTTTCAAATCGAATTGGAATTTGGAAGTTGGTTTTTAAGGAGAGGAGAATACCGAAGTACCCGGAGAAAAACCTCTCGGAACAAGTGAGAGAACCAACAGTAAACTCAACCCACATATGACGTCGACGCCAGGATTCGAACCCGGGCTACATTAGTGGGAGGCGAGTGCTCTCACCACTGTGCTACCCGTGCTTTCGAGAGCTTCCGCTGTAGAGACCTATTCGGCTAACTCAATGCTGCACCCTATTCAAACCCTTTGATAATAAAACGTTTTGTTTCAGGGATTTCCATATCATTTAAATGTGAATGCCACATTATGATGCAAATACAATTCGTAAAGAATCTTAACCCCGGGAGATTTGAATTGGGTACAACATTGAGTTAGCCGAATAGGTCCATTAAGTCGAACGTTTATGTTCTTTTGTCACAGAATTTGTTGCAAGTTCTTACCGCACAGGAAATCTTCAAGGAAAGGTATTATTCAGAGGTTAAGAAGGTTTAATACCAGCGACGCTTAGCGTTTTCACACTACGTTATACTTAAGTGTCAAAGACTGTTGTGACTGCTTATTTATATTCGAACTGAGTGCTTTGCATTACAAAAGCAACATTTTCTTGAAGGACAACAACATAGGCAGGAACTAAAAATTGGAGAAATATGTTATTTTCAGTATGCTTTCAGACAAGATACATGTAATGTTAAAGTAAAAATACTCCTGTTAAACTGCGTGGCATGGCATTCGTGCGATATACATCATCATTAGATAATATTTAACAATTATTCTTTGAAATCGAGCTGAATAGTGGCTAAATATTTACCGAAATATTCCCAAAGCCACTATTCACCGAGATTGAAAAGAATTGGAGTTGAGCCTGCGATTAGTTGAAAACTAGTAACTTGTCAGCGGAGAACTTCACAAAACACGTAACCTTGATGAGTGGACTCTTGAGCTTGCGATATGGTCATGTGATACTGGTTAGTTGATACCCTGTTTTGACCGCTGTCGATTGACCACAACAACGTATGCAATATCAAGTTGCAGGCTCCCAATCCATCTAGAGAGTATGACATTTCGCCTTGGTACGGGCGGAGGGACGAACGGGCAGACGTACGGTCACGCGATTACCAAATTTCTCGGGTGGATAGATTTTTCTTAGCCATGGGACTCTGCCATCATCGTTTTTAAATATTAGAAAAAATTTTGTTTTTTCTTAGTGAATTGGCAAAAATTTAAACTAATCGCTAAACTGACACCACCAAAAGGACATGTTGAGATTGGTTTTTTGACCACGTTTGGTGCTCTAAAGTTGAACAGGTATCAAGTGATGACTCTTGAAACATGGTTAAAGATCTATAGAAACGTCTGTAATTTTGTTACAGCGTCCCCTCAAACCATATAAACTCTTTAAAATATTTTTCAGTTTTTAACTCGTGGGGACGAGCGAGCGTACCACGAGTTATTGCAGGGACTACTAGATATGCAAATTAGTCACTCGCTCACTCGTAGCAGACGAACATCGGGTCGAGGTTAATCTGAATTCTAGAGTGCGAAGATCTATCGTTTCCGAAGAAGCACACGCTCCCCGAAGTTCGGTGTGATCAAATTCTTATGAGAACGTGCATCGTACGCTGCTCAGACTGAGAGTTTTCTTTGTGGCAATTTTTTTACAGTACGGTTAGGGGTCTTACCAAATTTAAGACACGGAGGAGGCTATTGATTGACGAGAAGATGCATGAGCATTTTCTCTTCGAAATCCGCAAGATCACGGGGGATAAACTGTATACAAATTCCAGCTTGCTGGAAAGTGGTCTGAAAGTGAGAAAATATCGTGTCATGCTTTTCTTAAGAACCTGTATGAGCCAAAAATGGATGTGATTTTGACCATTAGCTTCAAAGTAACAGCGGAAATCGAGATAAGAAAACATATGTTTTGCATCATACTTCGCAGACGAGGTGTATCGGCTTTGTAAAGCATACAATGTATGTTCTTTCATTCATTCATTGCCGTGAAATGCGTTCTGTTTTTGTTGTTGTTTGTTTTAAACTGTCAGTAGCGCCGTTTTACGCGGCTCGATCATCTTTAACGGCGTTTGCCGGTGGATTTTCCGTGGAAAAGGCATTAAATAAAAAACCTTTCGCCGAGAGGACGTCTCTAGCTTTAGTGGTGTAGTGGTCAGGTGAAGTTCGCAACGAACCGTAGGTGCGGGGTTCGAGCCCTGCTCATTTCTTCTTTCTTCGTTCTTTTTTTCTTTCTTTTTTTTTTCCCGTTTTTGTTTTGCTGTTTTTCTTTAAATGTATACCTAAATACTTAACTCTTATTTAATAAAGTGCAGTAAACAGCAAGAAAAGTATTGCGTTTCCTCTTGATTAAATATATGGATAAACAATCTGAATTTCTATCATTTCCTACAATTTACTGTGGGAAAACCGGAATTGACAACCATTTGATTATTTCAAACAACGTACCCACGAGTTGATGATAGTCTTTCTTTGATTCTGTTAAACTGTAAAATTTGTCATGCATCTTCTACTTGGAAGGAACTAATTCGAAAATCACTATGTTTGCCCCTTTTCAGGAATATCACAGAAATTGTGAAGAAAATTAGGAGTTTATATGGTTTTGGGGGACGCTGTAACAAAATTACAGACGTTTGTATGGATCTTTAACCATGTTTCAAGAGTCACAACTTGATCCCTGTTCAACCTTAGAGCACCAAGCTTGGTCAAAGGACCAATCTCAACATGACCCTTTATATGGTGGTGTCAGTTTATCGATTAGTTTAAATTTGAAACTCGCCCCAGTTCCCTACGCAACTCCGAAATGGCCAATTAGCAATGATTTTCTGAAGCTCTCGTAAGCGACCACTCTCGATTGTTTTACCATGCGGTCGCTTACGAGAGCTCATTCTCGTAAGCGACTAGCTCTAGTTACAACCACTTTTTCAATTTCCGAGGTGGTCTCTTATGGAGAGCTTCGACTGTATTATGCATATTAATTACATAGTATTTGCAAGCCACTCAGCTAAGTGACTCATCATTGCATTTTATTCCTGAAGGTTGTCGCTTTTGGCCTTCCGCGATCGTCAAGTGCAAAAGCTACCCCCCTTGTTAAAAAGTTTACACTTCCATTGCCCAAAGACCCTAAGGTATGCCTTACTTTCGTCTTTCACTTCAATTTTGGCGAAACCAGTATGTTAATCATAATTATATGCTCGCGCACCTATTTTTTTAAATAAGACTTTGTGTTTCTTTAGTTTCAGATGGGAAGCAACTTCGGGCAGTCACTATGTGCAGTCGACTTGAATAATGACGGGTAAAAATAAACATACTCTGAGTAGTTTCATTCTTAGAGTGTACCATTCATCGTGTGATCCTCCGTAGCTGAATATAGCCGTGAAACCTGTATTAAGCAGACCAATAGCTGAGGGAAGTTTCAAACGCTACGTCTCATATTTTAAGTAAAACAGACACCTTTATTTATCGGACACCAGCGAAGGTCCCGTGGGTGTTTCTTCTCATATTTTAAGTAATACATATTTTATTATTCCGTGTGTTTGCTTATTTTATTTAGTCCATTTTTTTGTTCCTTTCAGGTTTTCAGATATGTTGGTCGGTGCTCCATATCACCGTCACGAAAAATTCGGTGATGAAGGGCGAGTGTATGTGTACATGAACAACCAAAAGGTACAAATTGTATAATATTTCTTATCCTTAGTTCGCACAACTACAATTCATCCTGCGTGTTCTTCCCATATTTACCGCTAAATCGCATAACTATGGAAAGAAGATGGAAAAATTGATCCTTGTTGATGTCTAATTACCTTTTTTGACTTGCAGACACCACTCAACCACATGCCAGAATTAACTTTAGATGGTCCAAAGGAGAAGGGTTCCTTGTTCGGCTTTGCCATGGCAGTAGCAGGGGATTTAAACAAAGACGGTTACCCAGGTATTTTAAATACGCCAAATGATTGTGACAAAGTATGACAAAGGAAGAGATAAGAGCTGCTCGCACTAACAGAAAAATTAAACTGAATTCGAAACCCGCGAAGCCAACCTGGAACTCGAGAGAGATCGAAATGAAGTAGGCTTGAAATTCATGGTCAATTGTGTCAAAATACCGCCCGGGAATATTAACGAGCCCAACTAACTACTTAATCAAATATCCGAATCCGAAAAGAGAGCTTAAATACGAAAAATATCTGATTATTTTTAACGATGCAGGGTGCAAAGAAGCTTGCCATTCGGGCAAGCTGTACTTAGTATGCACTAGCCTAAAAGTCATTTCGACTAGCCCTAAAAGAAAGGGTTTTTTCATGAACGGGATTGATTATAGTTCTTCTCTGATCTCTGAACTTCACTTGCCAGTCGGGCAAGTAAAAACAGAATTCAGCAGCCTAGCAAAATCCACTAGCCCAGGGCTATTGTCACTACTTTCTTTGCACGCTGCGAAGGCGTTTGATATAGTGACGTGAACACTGAGTTTTTTGATGAGCTATCCAATATTGAACTCGTATTGAGTTTAGAAAAGTCACATCACCGTATTAGTGCGAGCTTGTCGGACAGCATTTTGCCTATTATACATTTTCACCTTAAATGTTGTCATCTGACTCTTAAAATTTTCTTTAACCAACAGAGGTAGCAATCAGTGCACCTTATGGAGGCAACGACAGGGGAGGTGTAGTTTACATATATTTTACTACAAAAGATGGAATCGAGACTTCGCCTAGACAGGTTTGGGGTTCTTGCTCGCAGTATTTCGTCAATTTCCTACAATGTTGTCATATAGTGACATAATTACTTTAGACTTCGAGTAATCGTGATGAAGGGCCCACAAAATGCGCGAGCGCGCGTGAAACTTCACCCACGATGAAGGTAACACGCGGAAGAAAAAGACTCTCCTCTCGCGGGGCGATTTCTACGCGCGCAAGTCCGCGCGCGCGTATTTGGTTCAAAAATGTTCAATATACTCCACTAGGCTCCAGTCGTCAACCACTTGAGTCTACTAGAATCACCGGAACTCTAGTCGTAAAATACCTCTGTACGTTTTTACCTCCCACGGATAGAAGTAAGCAAAGAATCGGTAGAATCTATTTGTGTTTCCAATGGAATATAGTCATGTCCGCGTACTGGACAACCCTCAGCTAGTTCGCTTAACTGTCCCTAGGGAAATAAGGGACAAGCCGTACTAGTGTAAATTTCTTTTTTGGGCATCGAGAACATCACTAACGAATATTTTTGATCCCGCCGAATGCTCGGGAATTTAATATTTGCCAACTTTCTCAGGCTAAGTAACTCTGTTAACTCCTTTTCGTTTTCAACAACAACCATATAAATTGGCGGTAAACACGTTTTCTTCTTGTAAAGGAGACGATCTTACACAACGTCGATTTTTAGCGCAACAGCCGGAGTGGTGTAACGTTTTTGCAACTTTGTTTCGATTGGTTGCTTCATTTTTCCAACATTTCAACACTGCGTTCCGTTAAAAGTCGTCGTTGCAATTCGTCCCGTATAACATCACCTAAAGTTTTTTATTCGCCAAGTGGTAGGCTGATACCTTGGAACGTGCGCACTAAAATGTGACGATTAAAAAAAAAATACTTTCCCGTTCTTTGAATTCTTTTATCGCGGTTGGTTTGTCACTGTCACATGTCAGTTTCTGGCTTTAAAACCACTAAATACCTTTCCTCGCATTTTTGTTCCTGATATTTCTTATTTTTCAACGTTCAGATAATCGAAGCTTCTCAATTCTCCTCTGGTACAAAGACTTTCGGATATTCACTTGCTGGTAATTTGGATGTTGACAATAACGGCTATCCAGGTAGAGGATTGCGTTTTCTTACTCACTCCCCTTTCCTCGCTATTTCCATTCCTCTCTCCCCTGTTTCATCTACCCCTCCCTCCCTCCCTTACTCACTCACTCAATCGCGCGCTTGCTCAAACAACCACCTACCCGTCCACCCAATCATTCAGCTGCTCACTAACTAACTAGTCACTCATTCATTCATTCACCCACTCACTCTTTCATCCACTGCATCCAGCTTTCAAAAACAGTACATCACCACTTTAAACGTTTTCCAAAACCTCTTTCTTGTTTTGTAATTATGAACACGCCGCATCATTTTGTCTTATTGCTGAATCATTTCCTTTCTTCCATGGTAGATCTCGCCATTGGTGCATATTCATCAGACCAAGCCTTTCTTCTGAGGTTAGAAGTACACTATAAATTGATTTTAGACCAGATTTTATCACTGAACAAGTTCTAGTTAGTGGGGGTGACACCAAGTCATTACAGGTCAGCATTCTGAAAGTTTCAAGTCAGTGCTCCTGCGCGATCAATACTGAGCAAACATAATGAACAGGAGTCTAAGAAAACAGCCCATATTTCGCGGCCCCACCACTCATTTCCCCTTCGTCTGAGAAACGAGAGCAGAAATTCCATACTGATGACGTATCACTACCCAGATCTGGGTAGAGCATCTGATTTGTCGTGCCGCAAGGAAAATTTGTTTTTCGCCAACCAGAAGCACAAGGGTACTAAGCCCACAACCGCCAAATTGATCGAGTTGGAAGAACGCGAAATAGTCTCGGGGAAACAAGCTATTTCTTTCTTACGTTTAACGCGTAGTTACTTTCATTATTTTTGGGTCGTAATTTTTTGTTCTATTTTCTCTACCTGGCAGGTCGCGGCCAATTGTAAACATACCAATTGTAAACATGCAAAGTCAAATAATACTGAGTACTACAGACATTGCGCTGGAAGACAACAGTTCATTGCAATTAGCAAGTGATGGTGTCTTTCGGCAAAGGTAAGGTATTTTAGTTAACAAAAGCAAGAAAAAAACATTTTCAAGCTGAAACTTAATTGAACGACCCACCCTAGGTAAAATGGCCATCATTAAAGATAACGCCTGAGTACCAAACAGTTTAAAGGGCACGACGGGATAGAAAAGCATTTGAAAATTGTTTTTGAAAAGCTCAAAATGGCGGGAAATTGGCCTTTCGCGTCATGGTCCTTAAAAAATATTTATTTGTTACATCATTCGTTGAAGTTTAAATTATACTGTTAATCTTGTGACGTCATTTTCCAGCCAAAAACCGTTAAAATCGAAAAACGAAAAAAAAAAAACGATTGTTTGGAAAAAAAGGTCTACCATCCAGCAGTTCCTGGAGTGCAGTTTCAGGCGTTCTGCTGACCCAGCGTGAAAGAATAGAGAAAGCCATTTGAGATGCTTCTTTATTGAATAGAAAGAGTGACATGTCATAGAGCGGTTTTCACTTGACTGTCGTAAAACCAAAACCAAAGTAAATACACTAGCCAACCAAAGGGCGTAGTAAAACCAAAACCAAAACCAATCCCTTTCGACAGTCAAGTGAAAACCGCTCTATTACCATAACTTGGTCGAGGTTAGGAATGGTACCCACTGCTTTATTTACACTTTCTTACCTTTCAGCATCAACATAACCGTTTGCTTGAAATTCGAGAATCTATTATCAAATACGTCCTTTGGTGAGTAGTACTTTTGATGTGTGGCATACTAGACTGTTCCTAGTACCCTATTTTTTCGGAAGACCGTCGGGGTGGAGCGCTTACAGTTAGGTAAACACTTGTTTCCATATCTCAAACCGCCCTTGGATACGTTGTGATGCCTACACAAATTAATTTCATATATATGAGTGAGCCTTGACAATAGTGATTAGGGTTAAGCCCTAACGATACTGATTAGGGTTACAGTTGTGGACGGCCCGGCCATCTTGGTTTCATCTGTACCGAGGGGGTGGGCGTCGAAGTTTATAGCAGTGAGAGAGGGGAGGAACCTCCCAAACCCCTAAGTAGTCTTGACACTCATCTCCGCAAAGCGCTCGTCTCGACGATATTACGGATTAGTAAAATCCAACTAGTGGTCTATTATCAATGCTGCGTTCTGATTGGATGAGCTGCTACTAGGCTAAATGTTGTAGCCCCCTAGTAGCGAAAAGCGTTTTGCTAGCCAATGTTGTTTTGTCTCGATATTTTTGACCAACTAATTGGATTTTAGTTAAACAATTATTCCTCTCACCCTCATGGCCTCTGAATCAATAGCCCATTCGGCCTTCGGCATCATGGGCTATTGGCTCAGAGCCCATTCGGGCTCGAGGAATAATTGTTAAAAAGTAGGGGTCTTTGAATAGTTTAGTAGGATACAGTGCTCGATCCAGACCTGGAGATAAGGAGGGGGCAGTCATCCAGATCCTGAGGTAAGGAGGTGGGGGGCGGTCTCCAAAATATGTCTTCGGTCCTTTGGGACTCATTTTGATCCAAAAATATAGGGGACGCCCCCGGGCCTCTCCCCTGAATCCGCCACTGGGATATCAAAACAACAATTTCGTTTTGATTTAAACCAGGGTGCCCAGCCAGCCACATTTATATATATATATATATATATATAGCAGTATTTGCTTTTATCATATTTTCAGGTTCTGCGAACGTCACTTACACCATCGAGCTTGAAAGAGATGAAAAAACCGCTAATTTCCGCCGCAGAATGTTTTTCTTGGATGGAAAAAGAGTCTTTTTCGCCATCACGCAGCAAGTCACCTTGGCAAAGGAAAATAAATCGTTCTGCGAATTTAATCACACTGTTTATTTAAGGGTAAGTTCTTCGACCTTTCCATATTTCCTCACCATCTAACAAATGCTCAGTGGTATAGGCGTTAGTGTGGTATACTGGACCTTCTGGGTCGTGGGTTCGAATCCTTCTGCCTTTCATATCATTTTTTTTTTCTTTTAAATTGAGGAGACTTGCACTTTCATGAACATTTCCAGCTTGAAATATCATCTAAGTGTGATATAAAAGGAGAAAGCAGTTCTACGTTGGGTAAATTTCGTAAGGGGAGAAAAGGGCTACGGCCGATGGGATCTAATGCTGACCGGTAAATAAGACATCACCTAGCCACGTGTTAGGTAGCGAAAGGTACAGGGGATGAAGGGTAAAGGGAGGAGGAAAGGGAAGAGGTTCGTCCCCTCTCCTCTCCCTCTTATTTTTGCGCCTACCTCGGAGGCGAAACATCTCTAAGGAGGACCTCAGTAAAACAAAAATATTATGGGTTAACCAACTTTGTTAGTCTTGTCATGATCCGAGTCATAAAGGAGACGGCTTTGAAGCTCAGTCAGAAAAAGAAAAACAAGTCGTTGTGTCGTTACATTTAGCATGAGAGCTCCACTTAAGTTTGCCTAATTCTTTATATTTTAATGAAACGGGTTTTAACCTGAGAAAATTCAAAAGAAAGGTTTTAACGGAACCACATGATAACTTTTCCCGAACAGACTGTCATGTAGGGGACTACCAGAGAGTGCGACGGAAATCGAGCCTACTGAATAAACGGATGCAGGGATGCACACTGATACATGCCTTTTTTTTCCTCGTAGAAAAAGGATGAAATTCTGAACGTTATAGCCCCGTTAACATTTGACCTGACCTACGATCTCGTCCATTCTCCTTCTTGCAAACTCTGTCCCATATTAAATAACTACCATGACCCTGATCAGCGGTCACGTAGAGGAGAGGTAAGTCCCTTATGCAGGGTAGCAGAAAATGTCAAAGTTCATGTTTGAAAATAAATGCTAAAACGTTAAGGAGACTTGGAAATTGGTGGATCATTGATACCAGAAACTCTTGGAAACGTTAATTATGAATTTCTTCAAATAAAGAATGGCTGCCGAAAAGCTTTTCAGAAAAATTATAAAGCCCGAAAAGATGGAATCAGAAGATCAGAGTTTGAAGTTGGTAGGCAAGGCCTCAAATGTCAACCTCCTTCTCTAGTTTTGGATATTTTGAAACTGAGAAATCGCCTACTGCTCCGCGATAAGTTTATCATAGAATGTTTACTGACGTGTACCCTGATTGTTCCCTTACCACAGGCTAATTTCGTTAAACAATGTGGACCTGACAAAGTTTGTGAGCCTGATTTATCTGTTACAGGAGAAATAAAAACATTTGGTGTGCATGGGTGAGTAATCTACTGTTGTGTTCTTTTAGGCAATTAAATGTTTGGCTTTTTGTTTAGCCCCGTGCAAACGGACGCAACATTGACGGCCAACAACTCCCATCATTGTTGCCTGTTGCGTCCGTTTACACACCCTGTCGTGTGTTTTGGGTTTTGTTCGGAGTTGTTGGGCAAGGTTTGAAACTGGGGTCAATTTAGTAAAACCTTTACACTTGTAATTTACAAGCAGGGCCGTTGTATTTACAAGCCTAGGTGAAAAAGATTTGAATAAAGACAGTGACAAGTGCAAATTACATGTGTCCGGCCTGTAGTTACAAGTGTAGGTTTACACATCGTCATGTAAAATATGGTAGAAGTTTTTGCGAAAATCCGACTTATATTTTACACGTGTCCAACTTGTATATCGCAAGTGCAAATCACAAGTCGCAAGTCACTTGTAAACATTGAGTCCTTATTTTGAAAAGGATATTTCTGCGGAAAAAATGTCTTCCTAAAGCGAAGAGGAACTTGATGAACTACTAAGACGTCAAATTGTACGCCTACCACGAAATTTCGCAGAAGGACGGCCATTAGACATTGAAAATCCAAGAGAGTTCCCAGAGAAGTTTCGTCTCCCTGTGGATACCTTTGCTCATCTATTGGAATTAATAGGCTCGCAAATGGAGCACAGAACGAGGCACAAAGGAGCTTTCACTGCAAGACAACAACTTTTAATATTTCTTTATTTCCTTGGAACAAACTCATTCTATCATGTTATGCACTCTTGTCACAGAGTCTCCACTTCAATAGTGTGGCAAATCATTAGTCGTGTTGTCCCTGCAATATTAGGCAGATATAGATACGGGAACGTCAGTTGACGACGGCGTGCGCAAATTAAACAACTGGCTTGACCAATGGCAGAGCGGCAAATTGGGCACATGACCACAGCAGCCGAGCTTGTCATGTGTGCCGTTATACTGCACAACCTTTGTGTTCGATTTAGCGATAACGGCGAAGATCTACAAGACGGAGCAGATGTTAACATCGTTGATGATAATTTTGCGATCGAACCGGGAAGAGTACAAGACGGCAGATAGCAGCAGCTGCTTATGCTTATGCACTTTCTGTGAGTGTGGAAATGCACAATTTAAATCTACAGCAGATCAAAAGGCATGTTTTGATTGCATTGACATTGCAATCCAATCAGTATTTATATTTATTTATATCTTGAAGCAAAAGCCAATAAATCTGGAACAACCACGTGCAATGAGGAGTATCATGATTTTATTACTATAGCCCTCTACGCCGTTAATGTCACTACAAATCTTTGAATTTAAGCAGCATTTAACTAAATTAACAGCGCTCTCTAGGTCCTTTTTCACCTTTTTAATTTCCAGTCGAAGCTTGATGCATTCAAGCCAGAGCTTTCTCTTTTGTAGGCGTAAAATCGCCCCTTCTAGTGACTGATTAGCCCGGTCATTTGTCGTTTTTCTTGATTATATATGCTCCTTCTTCTTCTTGAATTTAGTCTATTTTTTAAATGTTTTAAACTAGATGGCCCAAATTATATCTCCCAATTTTTTACACCTCGCTTAACTAAATACAATCTACGAGACAGTGGCTTAAATGTTGTGCAGCCTCCATATAACAGCCTTGTCATACACAATTTATACATGATTGCCCACATGTGGAATCAACTACCAACTGTCACCAAATCCTGGAGCACTTTAGCACAATTTCGTGCTCGCCTGAATAATGTTAATTTCACAGGGTGCCAGTGTATGAACTGTATATAATTTATCTATTTTTACATTTTTACATACTCTTGGGCCGGTTTATATATATATATTTTAATATTTTAATCACTTTATAATTACGATTAGTCCATTTTAAACTATTTTTAATGCATGTACTTAGGTTTTTTAGCTTCTTTCCAAAAAGTAGTTTCTTAAAAATTTTTCCCAAAATTACGATGTACTTAATGGGTAGGTTTTTTATATTTGTATATGCATAATTCACATTTTATCTTGTTTTGTATTTCTAGTCTGTCGAGCGTTTTTAACATGAGCTTCTGGCTCGGCAGATTGTGCAAACACTTCCCACGTCTCCGACATTAAATAAATCATTTCATTCGATTCCAATATTTGTACCGACGCTGTTTAACTGCGTACGAATGGTTTCCCATGCTTATGGCTTTTTTTTGTCACTTTCGAAGAAAACGGCGCCAAGACAACAGCCTTGTTGTCTCTTACTAGCTGAGCAAGAAGCAACTTTTGTTCTTCAGATAACATGCTTGAAAAAGAACTTATTTACCCAAGGAAACACATCGAAAAACTTATGTCCATGAGCTACTGCAACGTGTTTATCACTACAAGTGCGTTGAGTACAGAATTTACACGTGTAATCTACACTTGTAGTCTGACCCGTGCTACAAGAGTTAATTCCGGGGTCAAAATTTCCTTTATTAAATCCGTGTATTCACAAGTGGGACAATTGGAAAACATACAAGTGCAAAAATTTTATTAAATTGACCCCTGGTCAAACTTTTAAGCCAACAACTCCTAACATTTCTTTTGTTCCGTGATTGCCGAAGGGTAGCATAACAATGTTGGATCCAATTGCACAGCGCTTCCGACATTGTTTGGGCCACTCACATGGTTTACTGACAAAGTCTTATTGGTTGTATTCTTCCGACGTTGCACTGCAGGTCCCAACATTGTTGGGAGTTGTTGCATCCGTTTGCACACCAGTGCCAACACGGACGCAACAACTCCCAACATTGTTGGCCCAACAATGTTGGGAGTTGCATGTAGCTTTAGTGTGTCTGTAGCCTGTACACAGACGTTGTTTTATTTTTCTTTTCGTTCTTTTGGAAAACATCGGCGAGCTCGCGAGGGAAGCGAGCGCACGAGAATGAGCACGGAGCGCGTGAAAGAAAAGTAAAGAACTATTTTCTATTTTCTTCTTCACCCACCCCTACCCGTTTGCGCTGGCGGTCAATAAATCCCCCGTGGTTTATATTTTATCACCCGCCGCGCTCGATGGAATTTGAAGAGAAAATAGAGGGCCTGTGAAGAGGCTAGTGTGTCTGCACATAACATCTTGTTTGCGGTGTTGATGTACCCGTAACCTCGATGCCAGTGAAATGACCTGTAGTTCAAAGAACAAAAATGAATCGCACTTCATCTTTATTTCAAAATTTCGTTCCAGCGATGAGCACAAAGAACTTCATGTTGGCGATGATGACCAAATGACAGTCTCAGTGACGGTGATAAACAAAGCGCAAGACGCAGCCTACTCTGGAAAGGTCATCGTGACCTTCCCTTCCATAATTTATTATGCAAGCAGTGGTCAGGTTAGTTGACGCACCAAAGTGCTGTTGAGACTCGCAACTGTGTGGTCTCAACTCTTTCACTTTCTTTGCTGTCATTGTACGACTACGACGTAAAACTACCAAATTTCATGTTTTCTGCAGGACGTGGACACAAGACAACGATTTTCTAATTCCTTTTTAAACTTAGATACAGTCCTTTAGAATTCAACTCCAGAAAAATTTTCACCAACATTTTGAAAATTTAAACAACATCGAATAAGGGCGATGAATTTTGAAACAGCGCGAGTTCACTTTTTAAAAGACGTTTTTCCCACCGTCCTCGACGTCGTCGTTGCTTATGGCTGCCAATTATCATGACCGGCGTCAACGTCATTTCCATCATCAACATATCCCCGTCCTCAACGGTATTTGCCGTAGCATCATTTACACGTCACGTCATCATGTCTAGCACATACGTCATCATTAGTTTTATCATCATCGTCCTCGTCATTAACAACAGTTTCATCATCATCATCATCATCATCGACGTCCAATTTAAATTAGTTACTTTTGAGACGGCCCCTGGGACTTCAACCACCCTTCCCAATCCTTGAGTGAATAACATGGTTCGCAAACATTTTTATCTTAGGATGTGAGCTGTTCCAAAGTACAAGAAGATGAACAATCAGTCAATGCTGATGAAACGAAAGTTGACTGCCGTCTTGTAAAAAACCCCCTCCACAAAAACTCTAAAGTAAGTTCCTTCTCTGTTGTTCATTGTCACAAACGTTGAAATGAGTGAGTACCTGAGGCAAACTTGCGGTATAGTTCTGTCGCGTGCGTTGAGTTAGACCAAAAAACGAATCGTATCGTCTTATACGAACGCGCCCCTGGCGGTTTAAGACAGTTGCGAGTTTTATTTTTGACCCGTTGCATGCGAAAGCTCCAACGTCCAAATCGGTAGCCTGAGAAAACAGCAGAGGATTTCGCAACGCGATCAATGATTTCCTCGTGAAATGACGTCTGGGACAACTGCTGCGGAAATTCCATACTGATGACGTTTCTCCACCCAGATCTCGGTGGGTAGTGCGTCTGATTGGTTGCGCCGCAATGAAATTCTCTCTAGCCAATAAGAAGAAGTGACATCTTATCCGTTTGGAATTGCTGCGCTCGTTCCTCTGACGTCATTTCGCGGGGAAGGTGAACCAGTCGGTTGTCTTCTCAGGCCACCGAATCGGCCATCAAGCAATTTTACAAAGTGTGATTCATTTGAAATAAAGAGCGTTTTAACGGTAGTTATTTTTTTTCCATTCCTAAACAGTTCGATATCAAATTTGACACGACTCGAGTGACAGGAAACATAAGCGAACTTGCCATCCATCTTGAAGCAACAAGGTGAAAATATGTTTGTTCATGTCTTTATGAAACTAAATAAAAGGATGGCTGTTACTGTCAGAAAGTTGGGATCTTGTGTACTAGATCGCGGTCGACAATGATCGGTAATATATTGAATGAGGATCGACAAGTCGTCTGTCAAGTGTCGAGTCAAAGAGGAGGGAATATCTATCATCATATCGACCGATACTCTGATCAATAACGAACCATAGTCGACGGATGTGTCCAGTGAGATGTCGTTTGTATGAATACGAATTCACCCAATTCCTATACTCTACCGAAACACAACCTGTTTTAAGGATCAGTCGGACAGGAGACCGAGAAAACAAACAATGTAAAATAAAACAAACGAACAAACAGTGCTGCTTTGATGGAAAAGAAGGATTGATATAATGGAGTGATTATTGAGCAATTTATTATTAGATGAGACTGAGTATGATCTGAAGAATTATTCAGATCCACGAGGCCGTCATTTCGTCTTCGAAAAACATGTGAGATTTTCCACCATTTTCTCCAGCACTAGCAAAACAAATGAGCTAATGCAAACCCTTCCCCAGGGCCTCGGTTGCCATCACTTTTCTGGTGACATTCTGCATTATTGACGTCATTCTACTGGATGTCGCAAACCTCTTCCAAATTTGGTCAACGCTTGCTGGTTTTGAAGAATTGGCCAGAGGATTTGAGCCAATCATAAAACGGAGAAATATTTTGATAGAAAAATAATATTTGTTCTCATAGAAGAGTAATCGTTTAGATAAAAGTTGATCTTTGTGAGTAATGTTTGTTTTTATTATTGTCGAACAGTCCCAGTAAAGATCTTGATCCATCTGATAACAAATACACCGTCAAAGTTGCCGTCAAATTCGAGGCAGATCTCAGCGTCGAAGGGTAAGCTAGACAGTATTTGAAACATTTTATCACTCAAAACAACTTATCACAGTTTAACCTCCTTAATGAGAAAACCAAAGGGACAGAACCAAGTGTAAACATCAGAGAGAGGTAGGGATTGTATGAAGTTTGGAACTATGAGAAGAACCTGCAGTAAAGTTGTCTGTATTATGAAGGTGTCTCTGCCCAGAGATGGACGTAGACGACGGGAACAGTTTTTTAATTCTGAAAAGCGTTTTACGCTGAAAGAAATATTTGGCAAACTGTGGCAGTCTGTTGGTTTTATTTAAAAGGTCACTTTTGAATAAAACCAATTATAGTTATAACCGCCTTCACCAGTGTAACATGGAACTTTACATAGAGGAAAATGTTAATTGGTGTCCTAACCAGTGCGACTACCGAAGTATTCGTCGGCGTCGTTTATAACAACATTTTTTTCGACATGTGGATTTCACACTTGTTGCGGACCTATTCAGTGGAAGGTTCTAGAGTAATCTTGTGGTTTTAAACTTTTTCAGTTTGTCTATACCGGATCAAGTGGCGTACTCTGAAAAAACAATTGAGGTGAAAAACCTCATCGATGTTGGACCTTCTGTGAAGAAAGTCATAACGGTAGGTAAAGGATTCAGTTGTAGAGCATGCTGCGGACAATAGAGACCTCAAGATCGAGGTTTTATGGTATTTCCCGCGAATCGCGAACGTCATTAACGTTAAGTCATGTGACTAGGGCCTTGCCGTCAGGCTTGCTCTTTGAGGTTCACGTTTGGACGACTAGACCACGCTAAGTGACCAGGTGAATGATTTACCGGGAGTTTTTTTGCATCCTAAAACATCACAATTGCACGTTTGAGAGGAAACGCTGCTTTTTAGAACTCTTTCGCTGATTAATTATTAAATTCTTTTTGAAGATGATTTCTCAGCTAAAATAGAAGTAAGTGGATAAACAAAAACAAACGTGGCAGCCGCGAGCTACCACTCGCGAATCTAAGTCCCAGATATGTGATTTGCCGTTTGCAATAAACCTTGGTTTTCACTAGCGCATAAGCATAAGCACAAGCACATGTGTATTGCAAGTGAAAACTGGGTCAACATAAGCATAAGCGTAAGCACAAGAAAAACGGACAAGTTCGTTCTTCTTGTGCTTGTGCTTACGCTTATGTCGTAGCTTTGACTAGTGAAAACTGGGTCGACATAAGCATAAGCCGTGGACTAATCATAGGCCACTTTGACCCAGACCTCATGCGAACATATCAAAAGCAATATGGCGAACAAAGCGTCCGCCATCTTGTTTACCATCAGGTTGAGGAGAGCTGGTATCGAGAATTGAGTCAAATATGCTATTCTGCGCGTGCGTATGTCCTTATGCTTATGCTTATGCGCTAGTGAAAACCAGACTTTGACCAAACCTCGATCTTAACGTCTCCAATTCGTTTGGAGATAGACACTTAAGACTGTAAGTCCCGATGGTGACAAACATCAATTTTCTCCTAACAATATCCATATGTTGCCAAGAGAAATGACTATGAGAGTTAATAAAATTATCGGGGCTTAAAAGGTTAACACTGTAAATGATTTGAACCCAGGAGTCATGTTATCAGTAGGTGGAACATGAGTGTAGGAATCAATTCAGGTTTCTGGGAAACTGCCCACCTACCCCTCCCCTAAGCTAACATTAACACTTACTTCTCACTTGGGGCAAAATGATGACTTAGGGAAGGGTAGGTGGGCAGTTTCCCAGAAGCCTAAATTGATCCGAGTACAGTCTTGAATGTTGACAATGACAGTTGCCTCGACAACCACTGCTTACGTCATCATCAGAATCAAAGCGAGGCAAAGACTTAAGCTGCTAACTCCATTCTAAGGATTAGAGTCCAGCATTTATGTTTGCCTCAGATACGCGTCCGCATTACATAGTGTGTCCGATTCAAGGCAGCTGACTTGCTTTGTTAATTCCGTCTTGTTTCTAGGTAAAAAATAACGGCCCCAGTCCAGTTGATTACGCTGAGGTCACGATCCTGGTTCCAATCAAAAATAAAACGCTAGAAGAACCAAACTATGTTCTTTACTTGGTGGATCTGCAGGTGAAATAATTAGTGAAAATCTTGCTGTTGGCTGTCGCGATTGGCTGAAAAATCTGGCGCCACTTTTTTCTAACCAATCAGGGGTCAGACCGAAACCAATGGTAGTGCTTTCCCGCTCTTTGCGCGGGTTTCCTGTAATTTTACTTCACGGGCCGGCTAAATGATTTACGTCTCTGCGTTGTGATTGGCTAGAGTAAGTTGGTGTGTATGACACTTGATTAAAACTACTCTCATTTACAGCAAACATAAAAATGAAGCACTGCTAAAATTAGGATGCATGAGTAAATCTTTTTGTTTCTTGCCCGTTTTTAGAAAACGACATTGTAATGACATTTCTTGCTTTTCTTTTAACTTAGGTTCTTAAAAATGCGGGTAGATGTAACGTCAAGACCAATCCTCTTAATCTGAAGGTTGGTATGCTAATTATTGGAAGTTGGTGTATTATAAGTGTTTGGAGAGGAGCAAACACTCCTATTGGTGGAAATAGAGAGAGTGTTACTGCAGAATAGTGTGTGTTTGTGAGGGTTGGGTGAGTGGGGATTTAGTATGACACTGTTTCTAATTTCGAATTGAGGACTCAAGTGTTAAGAAGTTGTCTTACGTCTCATTTCACCATATTTAGGATGGAAATAACTCCACTTTACCAAACCAAGGTCAGTCTGTATCTACAGAGGGAAAACCGGCAGCCATAACGCAGGAACTGGTAATGAAATTAGAATTTTTCATTCTCTATCTAGTCTCTTACGCAGCCGTTTTTTTGATTACCCAAATCAATGCTCCTCCTCCGTTTGCGGGAAAGAGCATTGTGAGTTTCATTCATTCATTCATTCATTCATTCATTCATTCATTCATTCATTCATTCATTCATGCATGCATGCATGCATGCATGCATTTATTTATTTTTGCCATTAAAAAGAAATACAACGACAGTATACAGAAATTTATAATACATTAAAGATAATATACAATATTCTAACAAAATTATTTAACTTAAATTGGAAAATTTATTTATTCTTCAAGAATGTTTAAAGTGGTAATGGAAATGCCTATATAGAAGCCGGGGCATACAAAAGCTTCCTGGAACTTTAGTTAAGGGTACGGAATTTTCGGGAAAATATCTGTTCGGAAGACGATTTGAGAACTAGAAAATTTGTTGTAAAATTTCTTGCTTGCCCGCCTCTACTAGGATTTTCGAACATACAAAATGGTATAATTACCCATTTTAAACGGATATTTACCCTAAAAAACGGCTTCCTGGAAGGCTGAAATTTTCGGAAAGGTTAGTTTTGATCCCTATAATTTTCGGATCACTAGAAGCTAGGAAATCCGAACAGATGAAAAGTTTTTAATATCTACCGTTTAAATACTAAAATGAAAATTTGAATAATTAAAAATTTGGAATAATTAAAAAAAAGAACAAAGAAAAGAGAAGAAGAGAAAGAAGTTAAATCATACTTAAGGGCCTGCATCGGAATCCTTTAATAGACATTATGTATGGCGAAGTAAGACTTATTTCACATGCGTCGAATCTAATGCATATGGGCAAGAACAATAGATTTTCCTTATTAGCATTAACCCTTTAAGTCCCAATATCCACATACAAATTCTCCAAACTGGTCTCCATACATTTCCTTGAAGAATTATTTAAGAGAATTTGGTAAAAGACCAAATATTTTTCTCTTTGTGATCATTTTGTTAATTCTCATAGACTTTGCTCATGATAGTCTATGGATATCGTTAGGAGAAAATTGATCTTGAGCACTATTGGGACTAAAAGGGTTAAATTCTACACATATACAGCTATTTCTTGAAAAGTTGTCGGAAAAAATGTGCAAACGACAATCCCGAAAGGTAACATGGGATATGATCAATGCACTGTTCCTGACACTATAGCTGTCGAACCTACTTTTGTTGCTTTCTTTTACCACTCGCAAACATACGGTCCATGGCCTCTCGTGTCATTCTTTCAGACTTCTTTGAAAAACAGTGAATTCAAAACCGCCCACAATACCTTTCGGGGATTGTCGCGTGCAGTGTTTCCCACAACCTTTCTCGAAATAGCTGCATCTGAAATGCTACGTTTGAACCCGGCCTTAAAAAAGGACAAATAAACGCATGAAATGCGCATGATCTCGTTATAAGGTACATGCAATGGGTACACCGGCATTAAATGCATAAATAATTATGCAATGCACATCTTTGTCATGTAGTGCGTTCTTAATGAAGTACGTGCCAGTGTCAACAGGCACATGTCACCCTTCATGCAGACAAAATACATACATAAAGTTTTAGGTATGCCATGCTTACATAGTTACAGTGCGACTACTACAACCGGCCCACCTACTGGTACATAAAATTGACAAATCGGATTACAGGAAAATAACAATACATTTCGAGAAAGTTAGTTGTCAATCATAATTACCCCGAAACGAAATAAACAACATGGATCGAAATCAACCAATCACAACCTACAGACGTGACCTTTTGAATCCGCTGAAGAATGCCGATTTTTCCTTAGAGGTCCGTTAGAGTGAGTGACGGAGGCGAAAAGCGTAAACGTGAATTATAATTTGACTTGAGGTCGCATTTTATTTCAAAGCACGGCAGTGGTACCAAAGAAATTGCTGGTAGATGACAAAATACCAGCTTGTGTCAAACAAATAATCCCTCCTGGGTGTCATATGTAAAGTTTCGAATACACAAGCATTGTCTTTTGATATATTTTGCATTCTAAAAAAACATTTTCTATCATTATTTAAATTTTGCGTGTTGTGCTTCGAGTAACTTAGTGTTTTTTTATGAGCTGCTGATTGGCCCACAACCAACTTTCTTGGAATTATATTGTTATTTTCCTGTAATCCGATTGGTCAACTTTGTCTAAGTGGCTCCGGTAACAGTGGTCGCACTGTAACATCCTCTCAGGACTTCAAAATCATCTAGCTAATCTGGCATCGATTTACATTTCACAGGGTGTCAGTAAAACGCGGGGTCGAGGCTGGGGTCGAGGTCTATCTTTTTACAAAGAATGCCATTTTAGGGTAGGGTTGAGCTTAGAGTTAGGGTTAGGGTTAGGGTTAGGGTTGGTGTCAACCCTAACCCTAACCCTAAAACAGCATTCTTTAAAAAAAAAAATAGACTTCGATCCCGCGTTTTACTGACACCCCATTTCACGCCCTTTCACTGCTTTTAATTTCGAATGCCAGTCACAGTAACCACTCTTGAATTTGCTTGTTTGTTGTCTTTTGGACCTGTAACTTACGTTAGTTTTTTTCCTCAGCCATGCGAATATGACAGTTCCTTGACGTGCCTCAAGATTCCTTGTTATTTGGAAAGAATGAAAAGAGGCGACCAAGTCCAAATTCAAGTGACATCCCGAGTCTGGGAGAGTACCCTTGTTAAGGTACTTGTTATGAAAATAAAATGACTCGCCCCATGATCCCCATGATAGGGAATCCAAAACAGTATTGGATTCTAGATTCCAGGCCGTAAGCCACGGATTCTTTGCCGGTGGTTTTTGGATTCCGGATTCCTCAAGCAAAAATTTCTGGAATCCGGAGTCCCTGACACTTTGCAAAAATTAGAGTTGTTAAGCTAAAAATTGGCTTGCTATACTGTGGTTTCTTTTTGTTCTTACCAATTTTGGGTTTTAATGTGAGCCATAACTGCATTTGTGGACAGAGAAAACTCCATTCTATATTACAAACGCGTTCCTTTACCTTTCGAACGTCATTGGTGTGGACGGGCGGTCGGTCGGTCAGTCGGACGTACGGTCACGTGGTGACCAAAATTCTTGGACGGGTAGATTACCACATTTATTAGGTATGGGGCTACGCTTGCGCGCGCGTAGAGCTCCGCTATTAGAATGTGCATTAAACATAACTTTCAGAAACGCACACGCTCTTGCTTATAATTAATGTGGGTTTAACACTTTTGTTTCTTTTTATTTATGATTATTGTGCAGGCCAAGGTTGGTTCGGTCAACATAACAACCACCGCTAAAGTCACGCCATCATCTTCTGTTCCTGAAATTGAAACAGACAACAACGTGCATAAGGTTGGAAGTCCCGCGCGCGTGACACGAATACCCAGTATTGCGTGACGAACCGAAAAAAAAGTCTGCGTAGAATACTAGCACGCATTTGAAAGGTTTCCCTTTGAATGACAGTCAAAAATGGGATTAAGAAGAGACGAGATTATGCAGAGATGGAAACACTCGATATTTTACATTTATTTGACCCTCGCTATTTGTAATTTATTCAGAACTCAGGGTAGACTAGAAAGGGAGATTGGGGAGACAGGCCAAAGGACCTTCTCTTTTTTCCTCGTCGATCTTCTTATCTTCTTTCTGTGTCCGCCGCCCAGGATATCCATAGTTTGCCACTTTTGATTAAGTGAGAGCTTACTTGTAGCCAATCTCGTTCCCAGAGGCCGCGATCCTTTCGTACAGCGACGGGTTGCCCCATCCGCTGGACAAAAGTAACGGAGGCTCTGGGAACGAGATTGGTTCGCAGGTAACTCGCAGGTTATATGTCAAGATTTCTTAACCTAGAACATTTTTTCATTTGCATATTTCTTGGAAGTTTTAGCTGAATGGGGAGCTTAAGCAAAGGCGTTTTTGAGTGACGCACGTCAACCGGAAGTGGATCTTTTGCATTCTTGGGCAGTGGTTTTTTCCACATTTTCAGGCATATTGTCTCCATAAGTGTAAAGACACTTCGCAATACACATTTGGTAGCCTCAAGGCATATTAAAAGATAGCCTGCGAACTGCAGACGCATTTCCGGTCGTCGCTTCTCTCCCACCGGAGGGAGAGAGGCGACGACCGGAAATGCGTCTGCTGTTCGCGGGCATATTAAAAGGGGGAACAGGCTTTACTTCCGGAACACGTGCATCGCTCAAAAACGGCTTGAACTACAACACAACAAAAATGTTTTGCTCTAATAGCTCATTCATTTGAATTGTCTCAATACACACGCCAAACTTTTCTGCCAAATTGGTGATTTTCAAATGTTGTTTTTAAAATCCTTGAGTTTTTTATTTTTATTCTAAGAACGGTTTCTTTTGCTCTTGTACAGATCCAGCTACTAGCTAAACTAGCAAGCCATGTTACCGAAAAAGGAACCGCTGTTTGGATCTATATCGTGTCAGTTCTCGGAGGCCTCGCTCTTTTGGCCCTTGTAGGACTTGCCCTTCATAAGGTAGGTGCTCATTATTCTAGAGAAACAGTAAGGTTGAAAGCAAAAGGGATGCAGGGCCGAGAAAGGGGATACTTCTGTCAATTTGGGACAGAAGATTTGTATCTGTTGGGTGAACACGTAAAAAGTCTCTTGTTCTAAATGCTTTTAGCTTGCGAATACAGCCGTTTCTCCTTGCTCGTCGCTGCTAGGGATGTTTCGCCAGGAGGAAAATCTGCGCCTCAGCGACAGAAATTCCATACTGATGACGTAAAATCTGTCCGGAATCTGGTCAGGAGCTCTGATTGGTCGACATAGTAGTGGTATTGTTTTAGCTATTGTTTACGAATGACAGGCCACAAAGGTCAAATGTAAACGAGTTCGTAAACGTGATAACATGAGATCAGGCTCTATTTTCGTTTCTCTTTGGGACTACGTAAGAGAGAATGTATGAGAACTGCTAAAATTGGGCCTGATCTCGGGTTGTAAACGTGATGAATTTATCAAAAAACAGTCAATAGTCCTGGAATATATATTGTGGTTCAATTTGATCCTTGGTTTAAGTTTTATTTGCCTTTGTGTTGGGGTATGGTAATGTGTGATAATGAGTTTAAAACAGGGGGAAGTAAAATTTAAACCAAGGATAAAATTGAACCATAACATATTCCTCTTTAAAAAAAAGCATCTGAGTTTTGGTGGAGCTCGTTCGCAGTAGAACACAAAACTTTACCATAATCGACCAGGAGAAACAGAAACCTGACAGAAAGTCAAACGAATTTACATTTGGAACCCCATGACTACAGGATTTACTGCGTAAACATTGATTTACGTCATCAGTATAGAATTTCTGTCGCTGAGGCAGTTCCTCCCGGCGAAACGTCCCAAGCGGCGAGAAGCAAGGAGAAACCCCGGGGGGGGCCGGGGGGAGAAACGACTGTATTCGCAGGCTAAATTACTTTTTTCTTAATGCTAAATGCATTTACGAGCCTTGTTCGTGTTCTAAAAAAGTTGCTAAATTGGATATTGCTTTCAGATTAGTCTAAATACAAAGTAAATTGCTTGAAAAACAGAAGAGTTTGTGACGCGTGACTGTTTCGAAATCACAACCGGATATTAAAACTGTCAAATTTTCCCGCTCCGGGATACAATTTTCTTAGTTATATCTCGCTTCAATGAAATCGCCCTGAACTGAAACTTCGCATACAACGTTAAGTACTGGCTAGCTTCAAGCTGGTAGAAAATCACACGATTTTGAGATGGTCACGTTAGCCTCCGGTACCACCTTAAGGAGTGTTTTTTTGTTTGACAGTGTGGCTTCTTCAAACGGAATCGCATGGAAAAGCCAGAGCATACAGAAGAGGAGTTAGAACCCATGAGGGCGGGGCCATCTACAGCGTAGAACATATGGAAAGAAAGCCTTGAACAAGAGAGGAGCCCTGGATCATTTCGATCCCAGATCAGACCAGAGCAGAAAGTCAAGAAAATTTTCCAAAATATATTTTTTAAAATTCTACTGAACAAAATAATGATACCATATAAAAGTACTGTCAAAGTGGCTTCATTTGAATCGCGACACTACAGGATTGCACCTACAGTCTCAAAAGTTAAAAGAAAAAAAATTGATCGTGGCATATGTCACAAAGTCCACTTAACCAGAACTTCAGTAGGTCGCGTTGCTTTTCTCTCGTGATAAAATCTTCTTTTACGTACTGCGCGCAGTGAAATGAAAAACAAAAACAAAAACGTTTCCGGCCAGAGGGAAGCAGCTTTTTGGTTTGTTTGTTTGTCTTTTTCATTTCACCACGGTACGTAAGAGAAGATTTTCTCACGAGAAAGGAAAATTAAAACAAGAATTATAAAATAATGTCACTTATGTCCGCTCAATCTCAGAATTTCAAGGTTGGTAGGTGGCAAAAGACAATGAGCTCCATCACTTTTGAACATATTTTGAGAGTAACATAATTATTAAGAGTATTTAACGTATAAAGGCACATTGAAAGTTTCAACTTGGGTTTTACGGCAAGTTACGAGTTAATAAGGACCATAATTTCAGTTTGGATTTGATATTTTTGGAACTGCTCCTGAGCATTAGCAGTTGTTTTCGCTAGTTATGCTAGCGTGGAATATTTTATTTTTGCTTTAAGCATTGAGGCATCTTGTTTAAGTTGCTACATTTTTTTTATCGGGCTTTTTTATGCTTGGCCACATGTGACCAGAAGATTTTAATAGTTTCTGGGAAAAGAAGAGACGTCCCAAAGGGACGTTCTTTCTTCTTAAAAAGAAACAACCTCTCTTTGGTCCCCATGTTGTGTTTTGTCTTTTTTAAAAATTTTTATACAGACTTCAACAACGAAGAAATTGAGTTGCTTAAATAATAATCTTAACGTATTTGTACCATGGCTTCACTGCGAGTAGGCCATTTCCGAGTTCCCACGGGCCTCTGTATGAAAACGAGGTTAAGCACTCAACCTTTGATATGAAAATGATTTTTCATTCTCAGGCAAATAAAACTCATTTTCACAAGAAAGGTTGTGCACTTGGCCTCATTTTGAAAGTGAGGGTTTTTGGAATTCGGAAGTGGCCTATTCGCCACTTTATAAACGAGAAGGGAACTGGGGCCGATCGAAATGCGACCCGCAACTGTTTCTGGGATTGTTACTGGGAACGGGCTGGTCAGCCATTGGCCAATTTTTTTTTCCCGTCCCTAGTTACAGTCCCAGAGGTCTTTTCGAAAATCAACTCGACCCAGTTTCCTTTTCGTTTCTTAAGTAGAGAATTCGCCATTTCCCCATTTCCCATAATACAATATTTTTGCGTGTTTCTTGCCCGCCAACACACGCAAACAGTTTTGCATACGCATTGTTTACATTTCTCTCGGGACGATTGAAAGTCTCAAAAGAAGATGAAGACAATGCTTATGCAAAACTGTTGGCGTGTGTTGGGGGGCAAGAAACACACAAACAACGTGTATTATGGGAAATGTGTAAATGGCGGGTGATAACAAATAGGCAGCGAGCGGTCACGCGCGTGGTCATTCGCGTGTCTCGCACGTGTCCCTCGACGGACTGAAAAAGAGAGACTGCTCGTAGTCTAGACAATAGAAAAAAAGGAAATATATCTACGAATTGTTGACGTTTTGGTAAATAATTTAATATAACAACATACGGCAGCTGTGACAAAATTTCGTTGAGTTTTTTTCCACCAAAACAGTGAGGTACATATTGAAAATTAAGGAAAGTATTGTAAATTTGAAACAGAACATTTTATTGATTGAATTAAGGAAAATTGAGCTTAAATATCTAAGGTTTATAATTGAGCCTTGCGATAAAGAATGTTATTATTTAACAGAAATAAAATTTAAAGTTCATAAATACCTCATCGTGCAATGGAGTAAAGTTCCCCCTTTTTTGCATCATTTCAGACCATGTGATATAACCCCAGGGAATTGTTTCTTTCAAATGAATTCCTATCCACGTACATATTAATGCCCAATTTCTAAAAAGACAAAATGCAAATTCCCAGAAGAACACTAGCACGTGCTCCGAACTGAGAAAGCAAAAAATGCAAGCCGAAAAGATCTTATAAACAGGAACCAGCAATTTTGGGTGCAAGCGGCTTATAATTAAGGTGGGCTGAAAATTGGGAATTTGCAGCTGTGACGCAGAGACAAGGTAAGTCTATAATCTTTGAATATAAATTTTAATTTTTTTTTGCTTTTGCAGCGAAAGTTATCGACCTCCGAATTCTTTTCAGCGTTGTCGCCCTTCGAGACAAACACCGCAATACAATGTTAAAATGCTTCAAACTAGCCGCTCCTGTGAAGCCAACGAGTAACTGTATGCATCAACGAAATAAGAAAAAAAATAACATAGTACTTTGTAATTCGATTTCTTTATTGGCAATACGTGAACGTCTGTCACAATTTCATAAGAACTCTTGATATTTGGATATTATTTTGCAGAACGTGCAACAGTTTAATTTATGCACTCCTCCCATCATCAAATTGGGTTGCCTGTGGTTGTGTGGCACGCCGCACCACAACTTAGACCAATTTTCATACTTGGCTCCGAAGCTTGGGGGAATAAAACAAAAGAAATATATTAGTCATTGCTGAGGCTCAGGATGATTTCTTGTAGAACCAGCATTTTCCCAGGTAAGCCTAAAAAATAAGCACAAATTTAGGCTATTTAGATTATTAAATAGGTTCTTACGTCCAGAAGGAAAAAAATACAGTGCAACCAGGAGCTCCTGAGTGCAACTAAGAATATTCAGTGGTATTCAGCTTATTCCTCATTAAAAAAAACAAAAAAACAAAAAAAACTAGCATACCATTACATTGCAGTTGGAGTGATAAAAAGGATGTATGTCTCCAAAGTTGACTTACTATTTGCCCAAGTTTACAGAATTTTTTTAAAATAGATTTAATAAAAAAATAAGAACCTGTTTCAAATTTTAGGTTAAACAAATTCTTGTATAGAGGGCGCCTAACTAGCAAATTTTAGCCTAACAGGTTCTTAAAAACAAGATTGTTAGTCGCGGATTTTTACCGTACCGAAATTGGTCTATTCGTGAGATTCCACCGCAACAGACCTCTTCAGCTTCCCGATGCAGGTCATGTGATAACACTCCGGTAGAGATATGTTTCTTTTAAAATTTGTCTTATTGACGTGCATATGTATGCATAATGTACGTAAAAGACAAGGAGACAAATTCCCCTTGGACCATTATTGACAAAAAGAAAACATATAAGCAAGAGGTATGTTTATTAACGCGCCAACATTTTGGACGTCAACAAATCGTACTGTAAAGGAGTACAGCCTAGTTTCAGTTGCTGGTTCGCAAGTGACGTCATGCCAGCCATGTTGGTGGCCAAGAACAAAACAATTCTTTCCTCTGGGAACTAATCTCTATTTTGATGTAAATTCTTTGAAATAATTTTTATTGTATTGATCACCAGCATGGCCGCCATGTCAAGTGGTTGCAAACCAAGAATATGTTTGCTATATTTAAACAATAACGACTCAAACACAAGCGAACCTTGTTCCGTCAACGAATGAAGTAGACGCAAGCATTAGTGCATGGATAAAAATTTTTCCTTTTCATTTGCTCGCGCGCATGCGTTGAAACAGAGTCTCTTCGCGCCTGTGTTACCAACGCATGCTGATGCGTCGCTAGTGACAACCAGGACAATACACCAATTTCGATATATTTAAAAATTCATACCTGACTGTGAGACTTGGTGGGGGGGAATAAAAAAAAAGAAATCATCTTGAGTCTCAGCAGTGAATGATACATTTTCTTTTGTTTTATTCCCCAAGCCGCTTAACTAAGAAAAGGTTCGTGAGCCATGTAATCCCCGTACTGATACTATCCTATACTGCTAGGTAAGCACCAACACAGTTGTAAATTGATACTCACATCAGTTTGGTTTCAAATACCATCTTTATTCACTTACAATACTTACTCTGTATCAATTATACTTTTATAACCTATATATTTGAATTATTTCGTGACGACCTTAAGACCTGACATTGATACCTTGTCTAAGTGAAATAATCCTAAATTTATCGTTCACGAATGTCCGCCAAAGTTCTAAAATCTTTCTTTTAAGATAACGTCTTTCTTTTAACCTTATTAATGTATCAAGTCGCGGACAGTGTCCTGGGTTCTAGAATCCAGTCTTTTCCGTACATCGCTATTCTCATTACACTCCGCAAAGACAAAAGTCTCCGCAGTGCAGGACTTATTTTTACTCCTTGAGAGCACCTTGAATTTTCCTCCGAACGAAGCTTTTGAAATAAATGACGAGTTTTGAATTTTCAGAAACCAACGCGTCATATATGTACAAAAATAAAAACTATACATGCACAAATTCTTAAACAAAATATCTCATTTGTGACTAATCGATCCGGTTGAAGCAAATGCTTAGTGCTTGTAACTTGAGGTGTACAAATTTTACAGTACAAGACAGTCTCGCGTGGGCTAAAATGCTAAAGTGTTTCCTTTTAATGGAAGCTGTCGAACAGTCTATCACTGTACAACTATTCATTTTTCAACAATGGGAAATCAACCATGTCCTTTCAGTAAAAGAATTCGCCACTGTTCTCCAAAGGATGCCTAGAGAGCTGGGGAGAGCTCTGCGCGGTGCCGTCGCGATTTACAAATACGAATTCGCGGTCGCTCGGCGAATCGGTCCCGAAGAGCGGCGAACGCCAATCGGTCTCCCTTTTTCCTCCAAGAGCATCGTTATTCTCGTCTCCAGTTTCTTTTTTCTCTGACGCGCCTACTGACAACTCATTAAAAACGTCAAATAAAGAATCAGTCTGAGTTACGACGCCTGAGCTATCTTCACCGCCTTGAACGTTCCTTTGATCTGTCGTACTTTCGAGCTGACTAACCTCGTTCTCGACTGTAGGCTCAAGGGCTGGAAAAAGTGGTTCACTTGTTCTGTTAAAATTATCATTAAACTCCTCCATGTTTTTACTGGAAATATCTTCTTCGCCAAATAAAGGATTTGAACCAACAGAGTCAATACTATGGTGTAAATCCCCAATATTCAAAAATGGTTTTCCATCATCTGCTTCAAAATCGGCGTCCTGATCAGTCACATTCTGCGTCGAATCTCCTCCTAATTCCGGATTTTCCGAACTGGCTTTGGAAACTCCAGCCTCTACGTTGTCAGTTCTAAGTTCTTCTTCCCTCTGTGCGTTGGCAGGTAACAAGCCAGGCGTTGGCTCGTCCGCCGATGCTTCTGTTTCTCCACTCGCGTTTTTATCTTCGTTGGTTGTCATAAAGCTGCTTTCCTTCTCATCAGTCTCCTCGAAGTGGCCAAAATTAGCGAGCATCGGAACAGGAAGGCTCTCCGGGAGCTCACTGCTTTTCGGTCGTTGTACCGATGAAACCTGTAAACGAGCCGCTATGTTGTTGTCAATCTCCATAAAGTCGCATTCGGTTTCCATCGTTGATCCACGGAATGCTAAAGTCCCCTTCAACAAATCTCGCACCTGTAGAACATTATCATAATTGTACTCAAATTGTTGTTCTTTGGTTTAAGTTCAAATGCTTTTTATTGAACACTCCAAAGAAGGTTTGTAAATAAAAAATAAAGAAATAATGAATTGGAGGTAGCACATCCATAAAGTGGTTTTTAGTGTACCTGATTCCTGGTCGAATTGTAATTTGAAAATGTTGGTTTTTGAGGAGAAGGGAAAACCGGAGTACCCGGAGAAAATCCTCTCGGAGCAAAGGACAGAACCAACGACAAACTCAACCCACATATGGCGTCGACGCCGGGATTTGAACCCGAGCCACATTGGTGGGAGGCGAGCGCTCTCACCACTGCGCCATCCCTTGCTTCCCATGGCTGTGGCTTTTGCGAGTTTAAGACCACGTCTCACTGCATCTTTTTGAAACCGCTCTCCAGAGTAGTTTAAGGTCTCGTCCATACGACGACGGGAGTAAAATATGCGGTTTCAAAAATCCCAGGGGGGTACTCCGGATTTCAAGTGACAGGGATGATCGATTGGGGTCAAAAATCAAAACCTAAAAAAATCCCTAGGGCTTCCAGCAAAACCCAAACAAATCCCTCCACCAAAATTTAACCCCATAAAAATCCCATGCTGAATTTCCAAGCCATAATTATAAAAATTCCAGAAAGCATTAAATGATATAACACGAAAAATAGAAACATAAGTTTTGAATACCCACAAAAATCCCTACTTAAATCAAGCTAGATTAAAAGATCGTCACTGTCAATTGAAATTCGGAGTACCCTCCCCCCCCCCCCCACCGGGGTCAAAAGTGTCCGGATTCGTCTGTGGACGGGGTGGGGCCTAAGGTGCCACGACGTTGACGGCGACGGCAGCGAGAACGTCAAAAAAAGTTTAGATTAGCATAATTATTTTTTGTACATTTCTTTGCAGTCACGACACGACGACGACGTGAAAATGCCAAATATCACGTTTTATCGCGTACGTAATCAAGGTTCGACGACGTTTTCTTTCTGAACTTAGATATGATTCTTAGGAATTCAAGGCCAGAGGAGTTGGCTTGCATGTACAGTAACAAAACAATCCAGTTAGAATGATCGAGATAGGGATTGAAAGAACGCCAATCACTTTTTAAGCGCCGACGTTTTCTTTCTCCAGCAAAAAAGAAACGCAATACCTAACCTGTTTTAAGCCCGCCAGGCACAAATATACAACATCTCCTACTCGATCTTCTTCCTTCGTCAGTTCATCTTGAAGAAGGTCTAGAACAGAAAATGCACTGCTCAATTTAAACTAAATCTGGAAACTAGAGATAATCAAAGACAACTTTTCACACAGATTCAAGTGTAAAGATTGTCTTTTTAACGGGTTTTAAAACACTTGGCTTAAAGTCAATTAACCCTTTCACTACCAGAGTGCTTCATGGAGTTTTGTAAGGTGACTCTAACTTTTGAGTCTACAGACGAAATCCTATGGTGTTACCATTCAAATGAAACCTCTTCAGCAGTACTTTCACACGGTACTATTTATTTAGTATGTTTTTCTAACTTTTGAGTCTATGGATGAGATCCTATGGTGTTACCATTCAAATGAAACCTCTTCAGCAGTACTTTCACAAGGTACTATTTATTTAGTATGTTTTTCTAACTTTTGCATCTGTGGACAAAATCCTATGATGTGACCATTCAAATGAAAGCTCTCCGCCTGTACTTACACATGGCCCTATTTGTTTTTCAAAATTTTACAAAATGAAATTTGGTCCAAATTTGCCTTTGGCCATATTTGGCAGTGAAAGGGTCAAAGAGAAATCCTTTGGAGGAAACAGTTGATTGAGATCAGTTATTCTAATTTTCAAAGGAATTTAAGTCGAAGTCATTAGCAAAGGCTTCAATAATTGCTACAATAAAACCACTGCAATATTACCGGCTTATTAAAACAAAACAGACGACACCCACCGATATACGAGTCCATTTTTCTTCCACAGTACAAGTACATCCCTTGCACTTTATCCAGTTCGGATTTAAGCGACGATACCTGTCGCTGAAGTCGCTCGTGATCCTACAACAGAGAGCGAAAACAACAAACATTTGCAAGAGGAAACTAACCGAGACAACCGGGCTGGACAGACAGACGTGCAGATGCTAGTCTGAAATGTCATCCGTCTCCTAGCCCAACCCCGTCCACTCCCGGGCGGGGCGGCAAGGCGAGAGAGACTCGACTTGTCGCCCCGTTGGGGGTGTGAGGTGAGAAGCTGGATGACATTTCAGACTAGCAGTATGCCTGATGTAAAATGATACTGTTTCTAGGTGCAGTGTAGTAAGACCGTTTAAAAGCCGTCGTGACTAATAGGTTGTTAGCAGGCTCCGTTGAGTTGAGATAACATCATGATATTAAATTTTAGCGGACGTCTCGGAGGCCTAACTTCCGTTTTCACGGACTTCTAAAAGTACACATCATTGAAACAAACATTTTCGGGCCAACTCTCTCAGTCTCCCCTTCTACACTTTCTTCCATCTTTTGACTTTCGCTGTGTGAAATTCAACTCACCATGTTGGTGGTTTTCCACAAAAAAAAAAAAGAAATTGAGACAAAAAGATAGATCTAAATTAAGAGTAATCTTGTTATATTATTTAACCTGAGCCAGTTCGTCGTAATCCACTCTTGATCGAGTCCTGGGTCGAGCCATTAGTTTCCCCTTGATTGATTTCATGCCTTTCGCAGGATTCGTTGGACTGTTGGATTGGGGACCAGTGTCTAAGCGGTCTCTCGCTTCTAGAACTGGGACCGAACCGGGCCTGGCTGGCCGAGATCCTCTGGAGACGAGTTCCTCCACTAAAGACAATCAACAGACATAAAACTTAGTAACAAGAAATATATGCAACAGTGGTACTGTTATAGCATAATTTATTAATCCTGGAGTGCTGGAGGAACATGTCATATCTGCGACCTGAGTTTCTTTTAAGATAAATTCAATGTTAGTTCCCTAGCAACTTAATTCAGCTTTGTTAAGTTCGTATTCTTCTGAGCTTTTTAAATTCCATGACTTTCCATAACCTTTTCAAGCTTTCCATGACCTTAGTTTAACCTGTCAACTTCGAAAATTTTCAAAACTTTTCTTGTTTCAGGGTATTTTTTGACCTAACTCAGTTCGACAGACACAAACTCTGGTGTCCATCAAAATGCGTGCCGTTCGCGCTCTCGGTTTAATTACTCGTCTGTATCATGCTTTGTCCTTGCTTTGGCATCTGCAGACACTAATCTACCATACATAACTTTAATTTTCCATGAATTTCCAGGCCTGGAAAATGAAATTCTTAAATTTTATGACTATCCCGGTTTCTCGCGACCTGATTGGGTTGAGAAAAGTGGTAGACATGACTATCAAAAAAATGCCCACCATGGCTTGTGTCCCTAACAACTTGCTGAGCTTGCTCCTTCCCGGCAGGCTTTGTGACCGTTTGCTTGACTGGTTCTATAAACTGCTGGTAGCGTTTAGTGAATGACGTAAACGCGGACTGCGGTCTCTTTGGTCCAAGTTTCTATGGCAACAAAAAAGACGGCGATTGTGAGTTGTGACGTAAATATCGCTTGACTCGAAAGTCAAACATGTGACTAACCTTTCTTTGTGGAAAGGTCCCGGATGCGTGCGTGGTATGAGGCGCTGGATGGGGTGATGTACGGGGACTGGATCGAGTCGAGGATGGCTTGTAAATAAAACAAATATGAACTTTATAAAGTAACAAAGATAAATACATGCGATGCAATTAACTGCCAAAATAACCATTTAAAGTTCGATAATGATCAACGTGAAATGCCTTCTAGTAACATGGATGCAATTCTAAAAAGATAATAATAAAAAATAAAACAAAGAACATTTTTTGTCATCTAGATGCCTTGGATGTGAATATTTGAAATGTAAAGCGTCTTTTATCTTATTATTGAGTATTATTTTCCTGGCGCTAGACCAAACTACAGAAAACTGACAAAAATCACTTCATTCAAGTCAAGTGCCACAGATTAAAATCGCCGTGACACAAAATAACCAATTAACTCTGCTCACAGGATAACCAACCAATAGTTAGAAAACTGACATCATCTATCATTTTTACCTTGTTCTCTCGCATTATTAACGCAGTTTTGACGTAACGATACACGTCATCAAAGCCGCCGGGAAATTTCATCAAATAACCCATGCACGCGGAGTAACTTCCTGCAAGTACTAAACAAGAATAAGATAGAATTATTCCCAGAGCAAAAATGGGTTTCTAACTCGTAAAGATGGATAGATAGTACACTTCTGTCAGTCCCGTAACCTCCGTGACTCTACTTGGTTGTAAACTCCCCGTAAATATGCATAAATTCAGGTTACGTTCACCATTAAAGCGGATGCCTATCCGATATGTGACTCTCCACTTTAGTGACAGTGGCAGAGCAGCTTCGCTCCGTTACAGATATCGCGCCGAAATCACCGTCCTTATGTGTGAAGAGATGCCTTACCAGGCATAGTTTTCGTGCTGGCGTAAAACCTAACCAGTATAGTGTGAACAAAGCTTCAGTTCCCCCACCAACAAACTCCCCCACGGGAAAGACAACTAAGGTCCGACCCCGATTGATTACTTCTCTCAAACTATACGCTTCTAGCAATTAAAGAAAAAAAAGTTGTTTCTCACTCTTCATCCGCTTAATGAGACGCAGCGAGTTATTAATAATAATAATAATGGAATTTATTTAGCGCTTATATATCGCTGTTCTAAGCGCTTTACAATGTAAAAAAGGACATAAGAACATCATCAACCACAGGCTTACATATAACCCTACTGTACATATTGGGAGTTAACGTATCTGGGAGCGAGACTATCAAGGGGGAGTTTGCATTTGCACGAATCTTTGGAATTGTTTTTTTTTCATGAAGGACAAATACGCCTCTAGACTTGCCACGTTACACGTATCCGTTTTTGTTTGAAAAGGGAGATTTTTTTTAATCAATTTAGGTTTCTGGGAAACTGCCCACCTACCCCTCCCCTAAGCCAACATTATCACTTACTTCTCACTTAGTGCAAAATGTTGGCTTAGGGGAGGGGTGAGTGGGCAGTTTCCCGGAAACCTAAATTGACCGATTTTTTTTCCTCCGGTTTGGCCTACCGTCCACGCGTACTCGGTGGAAACGGTCACCAAAAACGCATCTTTTCAAAAACGCTCCCCTCCGGTGGAGATTTTCGAAAACGCCGTTTTGCTGTACTCGTCTGGATGGATAAAGACGGAGGTTTTTGAAGATTTGGATTCCAGTAGATGCACACGCTCCCATCAAAGATGGTACCATTGTTAGTTACTATTGCGTTTTATTGTGGATGGAAAAAAAAACGATTAAAAAAACGCAACGCGTGGACGAGGATTTTTTTGAGAAAGGAGAAAAACTCTCCGTTTTGATACAAAAATTGATACCTGCTGGGACCTTACTGCAAATATTGTTGAAGGAAAAAGATACGTACGTCGATCTCTTATGGCTTCCAACATACTGATGTAGATATAATCGACCAGGTCTAACATTGGACCATCCGCAAAGAGCGCATCCCACAACACCAAGACATCAACCATTGGAAACTCTCGACCAAATAATAAGCGAATCCAGCGACTGTGAAAATCAACACCAAAGGACCATCAGTACAAAAAACACTTATCTCCTCTTAATCGAAACCTTTTAAAATTACTGATACTGCACACCCGTCCCGCGGTCTTTCAATCGCCACGTTTTCTTGTTCTGCCGTCCAATCTATTTACTCAAAGCTTATTAATGAAAGCCGAAATGGGCAATTGTGGAAACGTTAGTCTTCAACAAATGCGACGCGTCCTCGATTCCCTGAATTCGACTTTGCAAGTTTCCCTCGGGTAACGTTAAGCTCACAATAATCATGGGATCGCTTCGACTCATGTCACGCGGCCTCGATTCCTGAATACGACGTTGCTAGTTTCCCTTGGGAAAGGTCAAGGTCAGAGTAACTATGCCAACGCTAGTCTTTAACACATATCCCCCAGCTTCGATTCTCAAATGTGACTTTTCAAGTCTTCCTCGAAAAAAGCTAAAACCAAAGTCACGGCGCAATCTTACGATCCAACAGCGGCGACGCCCATGAAAACGTCAGTGAAAAATAGACCTCGCAACCTTTCAAACTATTTTGCGATTATCCAAAGTAAGGGAATTTAGGTCGGAGCCGAAGCGAGGGTACCGAGCCCGAGTTCAGACAGGAAAAACGTATTATTTGCCTTATTGTAATTCAATCCAGAGATTATAGTACATCTACCATGACTAAAGGCTTGGTAACCAATGGTGGTATCGACCGTTAAAAATAGCAACGACCATTTACGAAAGGGGAATAGGCGTCGCCGTCGTAGTTTCGGAAGGTAACTATTGTCGTAGCAAGGTCACGACCCCAGATCACGCTTGCTTTTTAGTGAAAATCTTTGCGCACGCTCTCTACAACGGATAGGTCTGTTACCATATTATTTAATCGCCACTTACAGCCCATACACTTGTGGCGTGATTTCCAGATTTTTCATGTGGATCCACAATTCTGGGTCGTATTTTCTTAACATATGCTCTTGTATTCTATTCAATTTCTTGACGATAGCAGTTGACTAAAAAAAAAAAAAGGAAAGAAAACTATATTGAAAACCCGCGTTTTTAACGTGTTACTTTCATCCTGATTACTTTGGATGAAGGCTTGAGGTTCTGTTCAGAAAGGTTCAATAGAACGTCTCTTCAGTTATTTAGATAAATAAGGTGAAAATTATTTAAAAGATCAATAGACACTGGACAATACCCACACAAAACAAAAGCGAACAAATGACAGTTCCACAGCACCAAGAAACAACCGAAGTTTTCCATGTAAACAAGTAAACATGTATATAATTATAACCGTAAACATATGCTTGCATGCTATAATAGAGTCGTTGGTTTGAGTGACGCTTCACTTACGGGTACGAGATCTTGATCAGCAAATGGTTCAGCATGCGGATCTAAAAACTGTCAACAATAAGATGAAAAAACCCGTCTGTTAAAATAAAAACTGTCTCGTGATGAATAAAGTGTGAGAAAATGCAGTTAATTACCTCTTTTGGTAGCAACGTCGCTTTTTAAAGTAACGAAGTGCAAACGTTTGAAGGAAAGCGTGTATGGTTTCGTCGAAAGAAAATGCATTACCAGTCATTTGTTTGTTTGTTTACTGCCTTTCGTCGAACGATCAACAAATGGCGGCGTCTTCAGTCAGAACAGCGTGAGAGCAAGACTGAGCGAGTGTCTGGAGTGAGGAACTCTCCCACTTTATCTAATCCTTCACTACTCGTATCAAGCATGGGAACGTTGAGACACTTCTCCAGAAGATAATTCTACTCAATTCAGGGCGGCAAACATTTTTTTGGCGGTATGAGAGTTGCTACCACCTAAATATCAATTGTGTGGATGGTAAACCTACGCTAAAACGAGCAATATTGCTGCAAAATGAGTTCAGTTGAAAAAAGTAACGCTGCGCGCTTTTCCACCCACGTTCAAACCTGTCAATGTTGCAACAAATCAGGTATTTGAAAGTTCTCTGAATACTGACTTATGATTGGATAAATTTCGTGGGAGTGACGCCATACACAGGAGTTACGTCACTTGCTGCAAAACAAGCCTTGGGTCGGTAAACGCGCAACATGTACTGATTTTGTTGCAAAAGTAGAACTACTCTCTACGTTCTGCAACAACTTTTCGCAACGTGCAACAACCTGATTTGTTGCAAGACAGGTTTGAATTTGGGTGGTAAAACGCGCAGAATCGCTATTCAACTCGAAAAAAGATACACTTTTTTTTTCTTCTCATTTTACTGTACCTTAATTCACAGGTAAATACACAAACTACAACAACAAACAAGGCACAGGGATGCTAACCTTGTTTCTCTCTAAGAGACCTGGCACAGGAACCTGAAGGTACCATGTCTCTGTTTGATCCATGAGCTGGACAAACAGAGCGCTGTTTGACAGAAAAACCAAGGTTACAATGAATCCTAAACCTTTTGTTCAGAATAACTATAACATCGCTAGCCTCCAACTTGAAAGATTGGTCGTGTTATTGGTTCCGGTAATTTTATGTAGAAAATATTGTAACATCCACGCGGTTGCGTGTATGACCGGGCGGTTAACACCTCGGACTTCAGAACTGGAAGTCCGGGGTTAAGGCCTCACCCGTCGCGTTGTTTCCTTAGACAAGGAACTTTACTCCACTTTGCCTCTCTTCGCCCATTGTCCCTCAGGTGTATAAACGGGTTGGCACAAACCGCTGGGGAGTAACCCTGCAATGGGCTAGCATCTCGTCCAGGGGGGTGTAGCAATACCCCTAGGCATGCTTTATGCTAAGGAAACCGGGATAAGCCCTGGCCATTAGGGGCTTCGGCTCGAGTGCGCCTTGACCTTAACCTTGCTACTTTTATCTAAGGGTGCTTATAAAAGTCAGAACTGGCCGAATAAACCGTTAGTTTGAAAACAAAAGGGGCATTACCATTTTTGGAGAGTTAACGCTAAAAACTCATCACTGCCGTGCACACCACTGAGAAACAGACAAATCTATCTAGACAGTCTGAATTAACAGAGGAATTCTTTTAACGACAACAGACTTTAACTTTACTGTTATATAATCTCATGTTAGTGGTTTAAAGCTTGAAGGTACTTACAAGGCATCATGCTCCAAAAAGTTTTTGTCCATTAGAAATTTGGCTATTTTTCTGCGGTTGAAAAAAGTAGTATTAAGACACTCGCTTTTCTTGGCCGAGTTGGCGGAAGGTTGGAAATAAGATGTAGTTGAACCTACATTACGCGGCTACCCTCGGGGAAAAGACAAGACACCTCTTATTTCACTGACAAAATATTTTGTCGGTGGGGACTCCATTATTTAACTAGCTGTTAAATGAGAGCCGTTCATTTAACAGTTGTTAAACGACGGGAAAGCGCGATACACACGGGGGATTTAAAGAACGTGCTCCGGGGCACGCAATTTGCAAAGCTTCTGCCATTGGTGTACCCATTTTGGGTTTCATCCTGGCAGAATTTCCACCCGCAAAATGCGCGCCGCGATATTTAACCGAGTTAAATATTTGGGAGTTCTGTTGCAAATTGAGCGAACTTAAAAATTTTGTCGGTGGGGACACGTGCAAAATTATTTAACATAGTCATCAAACAAAAGGGCGGTAATCTGATTTATCGGCCTTTATAAGAGAAAGGTTCAATAGGCCGTTTGCACGATGACATCATTTTACTAGTATGACCAGATTGCAGAATCCTTCAGGGTTTTGCTTTCTCGTGCAAATTAAGGCTTTTGTTATTCCAACCTCACCGGGATTACAAAATTTAAATATGAAAGGAAAAGCGAAAAGGATTCTAGTCGTACTACTAAAATGACGCCATCGTGCAAATGGCCTGTTGTAGTTCAACAGGTCCTATGCAGCTCAGGATCACGTGACCTATCTCACGCTAAAATTATGGGATACAACCTTAAAAATGCCATAGATTGAAACAGCATAAAACAAGGTCGCAGTCACCTTTTCCGTGGTCCTAAAAAGTTATTTTTGATTGTCACTTTTTAGCATGGAGTTAAGTGGTCCTTTCACTTCCTATCTTTTGTCAGAAGAAGATGTACGAACCCTTGTTTGGGGGAATTCTTAGAGCTGAAAAGATTGTTAATGTAAACAACTTCACTTACAGATTTGATCCTTCTAAGTACGGATAAATCTTTGCTTCCTCGTGTAAAACATACACTATGGGTGCTAATAACTCATGCATTCCCTGGTGTTGAGAGAAAACAAGTAAAATCTATTACAAAAACACTGATAAACAAATAAGAGAGTAACAAATTGCAGTTGAGCTCCTAAATCCCGAAGAGACTAATGACCCCACTAAACATTTTATACTGGAACTGGGCCTCATAAGAGATAGCAGTAAGTCAGTCAGAAATAGCTTGAAATCTCAAAATAGCAAAATTTTCTCTCTGCCAGGGTGCAAATTAAACTTAAAAGAAAGTCAGTTTTACAGAATCCTAACCTTTGAGCAAGCTGAAGCTACATGTTGCATGTACTAGCCAGAGAGGTATTGTAATTGCCCCACAAAAAAATTAAGCAAGTTAAGAGCAATGTTAGCTGCGAGAAAAAATAGCTCGGTGGATATATACGAATTCTTTTCATTTTATAGATCTTCATCATTTTCAAACTGGTCAATTAGTATGTGCTGGGGCAGAAAAATCTCAATCCTAACTTTCCCTGCTGTGTTTTATAAACTGGCTTTACATCATTTTGTGGTACCTGTTTATAACCGAGGGCTTCATTCTTTTTAGCATGACAGAAGAGAATGTTGAGCATCATTTCCCTTCAAAGAGACACAAAAAAGCATCTTGCATAAATACTCAACTCCATCAAAAGCAACCACAGGCACCCCAAACTCACCACAAGAGAAGAGGGTGTAAAGTAGTTTACACGCCATAGGTGACACGTGACCTTTGTAATGGATGCATTGGTGTCGCATTACAGGAGACCATTGAAAATAAGAGACTTTGTATGAGGAAAAGAAGGCGATGTTACAGTTGTTCTGCAATTGAGCCTAAAAATCCAGTGAAATAATTAGCAAACACCAAAACAAAGTGGAATACATCACAGATAGGTCTGTTTTACTCTTTTCCTTGAACAAAAGTTTAGATTTAACATTTTTATTTAGCATTCACAGACCTCAGTATTTTATTTCTCATATACAAAGTCTCTTATTTTCAATGGTTTCCTGTAACGGAAAATTGGCGCATCCAGTACAAGCATCACGTGTCACCTACGGCATGTAAATTACTTTAATTTACACCATTTTCTCGTAACGTGAGTTTGGGCTATCTATGAAGCAACCACCACTTTAGTCAACCAAACGTCTAGAATGAAATTTAAAATTAAACACCAAATAATACATTTAACATGGTTTTCACTTACTTTATTTTTGACTGTTGGAAAAACTCGATTTCTGGAAACCTGTTGCAGGACAACAAAAAGGCACATTTGCTCAGTGACGTGTAGTACCAATGCTAAACTTTTTCCAGACATTTTTATCATGGACATAACTTTTTTTTCACACTGCAACTCATGGACAAAATAAGGAGTCCGGTGAAGCCTGGCTCTCTTAATCTATGTATTCCTTGAACAGAACTGTCTAACTTTCAATTGGAATTTGAAGTGAAGACAGGGACCATTATAAGTTTATTTAGCTTATAACAAGGAAAAATGGACTAAGAAAAAAAAAGCGTTTATACTTACAGTCTATCCAGATCTTGCTTTATTGTTGACTTGATCTCATTGTCTAAGAAGTATTGTTTCCACGGACTCTGAAGAAAAATGATGAAATTGACTTTCAATAATTTATCAGTATTGACTTTCAATAATTTATTAGTATTGAATTTCAATAATTTTTAAGTAAGCTACAATAAAGTGTGCAGAGCGAAATTTGCATAATACGTCTAAGCATTCAAGCAGCAAGCCACTTTCGACAATGTGGTTAAAGGAAATTCTACACTAATTTATTATTACTTATTTATTCATTTATTTTATTAATCTCTTTAATACAGGCATGTTGCACTTACAGTTTCATCTTGAGAGAGAGGATTAAAAACTGTCAAGTCCAGTTCTTGATTTTTTCCTTTGTTTGGATCAAACAAACACTAGCAAGAGACAATAATATTGAAGAATAATAATTAATAAATTGCCACATTTAAATGTATTAATAGTATTCTAGTTTTTTTGAACGCTGCTGAATGGCATTTTTAATCGAGGCTGGCTACATTCACGCTACACCGGATAGCACTTGCGCCAGCATGAAAATCATTAACAATTTTTATTCCTCGAGCCCGAATGGGCTCTGAGTCAATAGTCAATGAGGGCGAAGGCCGAATGGGCTATTGACTCAGAGGCCATGAGGGCGAGAGGAATAATTGTTTTAGTAAAATCCAACTAGTTGGTCAAAAATATCGAGAATAAAAAACTTTTAGCTAGTTAAAGCTAGACTTTAATCCTTTTTTGCCGCCAAAAAGCACGCACTTTTTGCTACTAGTGGGCTATGACATATACCCTAGTAGCAGCTCAACCAATCAGAATGCAGCATTGATAACAGACCACTAGTTGGATTTTACTAATACTGGATAGGAATTCTGTTCACACATAAGAATGGCGGTTTTGGCAAGATTTTTGTAACAGAGCCAAGCTATGCTATGCCGATCTTGCAGGAGGATCATCGTCACATATCAGATAGATTCTGTGCTACATTTTGTTGCAGTACGAACAGGTATTTGGACTGTAGCGGAGGTGAATAATAATTAAGAGTGACGCCTGGAATCCGCAGAGACTGAAGTAAAATATTCAGGAGTGAGAGCTGGGATTTAGCTGATCAAACCCTCCCAGCCAACTGCTCTGATACTGCTCCTTGCAAGGATAAGGTAAGGTACTCTTTATTTATGCACAGTATCAAATTCATCAGGCATGAAATATTCTAAAAAACCATAAGTACATTTACTGGGTTCCACTATTATTACAATATTAAAGTTATTCAATAGAGTACATACGAAAAAAGAAAAAATACCATGCCTTACTTGATATTATAATAACCGTGTAAAAGTGACTTAAAATTACAGGGGGATTCTGCTTGCCTTACAATTTCAGGGAGACTATTCCACAGAACAGCACCACTGTAGCAAAAACTATTATGGAGATAATTTTTGCGTGGCTGTGCAAGAGGAATTGTGTGTGAGCGACTTGTCCCAGTTCTGAGCCATTGCTGTTCATGTAATATCAGATAGCTTTTCATGTCAGCATGAAAAGCTACCAGTACAGTGTGAACAAATCCCATGTATCTGTACAGATGTCACTGACCTTGTTCTTGAACTGGGTGTAGTCATTCCTAAGTTTAGTTGTCTTCATCACCCAATCATCTTTTTGCTCTGGTAGACACTCCAAGAAAACCTGTTTGATATAAATTAATACGAAAGATTAACAGACTACCCGCAAGTAAAGCACAGTGTAGATAGATATTAAAGAAGGAATGATGTTGGATAGCCTGTGTCACAGACATAATCTTAGCCCAATAATAATAATTATTATAATTATTATAATTATTATAATAATAAGCAGAGCCAATATCCTTGATCTGGTCCTCCAACGGACTGAGATAAATTACCAGGAAGTCATTTGAAATTTCCCTTCAACCTGATGGGCAAATCAACTTTGGATTCTTAACCAGGCCATAACCATGGCGCATACTCAAATCGAGGTACACAGGTGGCGACCCAGAACAAGGATTTTGATGCTGTTTTCCAGAAGTTTTAAGTTCCGTCAGTATGGCACAGACTAGGTGCTAGATTAAGCAGTTGCCTCTTCAGGGTTCATACAAAAAATTGCAACCATTTTTCAAGGACTTTTCAAGGACCACATTAGATTTTCAAGGACAACCTACTAGGAATATAATTTCACAGATTGTACAAAAATGCATATTCCCAGTATATTCTAATAAGACTTTAAGGCTTTAACTGTTTGCTTCACCAAATTCTCTACATTTTTCAGTTCACTTGTCTTAAACTGATAGTTAATTATTGCATAAAACATGGAGCACTTTATGTAAATGACCTTTACATTCACTGAGCTACGATTTATATTCTGTCTTGGACAACCAAAAAGCATCAAAAAATTCTTTCCAGGCTACTGCATTCAAAGTTGAAGAAAATTCAAGCTCTTTTCAAGGACTTGCACAGAAATTTAAGGACTTTTCAAGGAAAAATGGAATTCAAGGACTTTTCAAGGACTTCCCCTAAAATTCAAGGACTTTTCAAGACTGTGCGAACCCTGCTCTTGAAAAAGTTTTTGACATGTTTTGTATAAAATTTAAAATTGGTGAACTTTCATTGGAGTCATAATTATAATGCATAACCAACCAAACTCCAAGCGGTTTTAAACGTAGAGTTGTGCAACTTTTATAATTAACACATCACCTTCCAGCAGATGCTCCTAAAGTTGGAAAATCGAAGCTTGCCGTCTAAAGCATGCTGCCTGATCTGCAAAGTTAAAAACCAAAGATTTGCATGAAGAGGGGAACTCCTGGAAACAAAAGAGAGCTGGCACATTTAAAACATTCTTCCTCCATGAGACATCATCCAAGGGCAGAGATTTAAACGGACCTGTCCACCGGCTAGCCACTGCAGCATGGCATAAATGCCAGCATGTCTTGACCTGTCATTGCCCGCTGGACCACATTTTTGCCCTACCCAGTGAGCAACCATAGTCAATTGCAAAAGCTAGTTTTGCTAAAATCCTTTTGTCTGCAGTTCTATGGTATAAATGGCACAGAAACATGGTATTGTGTAGTGTATAATTAACCACAAAAAACGTCTCTGGTCCTTACTATGGCATAGTATGTACTGGAGCCAAAGAGCTCTCGCCACTCTAACCTGAGAAAACAAAAAAAACAAACAAACACTTCAAATAATTCATTGATAGCTGGATTATTTTTTTTTACCTCGATGAGCTATTTCTCAAAAACTGATTGGTCAAGAGAGCTATGGTCCATGAGAGTATAGACCATAGAAATGACGTGAAGGAGAGGCGCATTCATTTTTCTCTTTCTCCAATTCGTGATTTTCTGAGAAACTTCAATGGAAATGGATGTTAAAAACTGTCAAAAGTCATTGTAAAAACAAACAGACAATAATTTTCTAAGCTTAATTGATGATCGGTTTAACATTCCTTTCTCAATACTGATCAAATCCATAGTTTGAATGAAAGGATGTCTTGCGCTGAATTCTATGCTAAAGCACAGAAGAGGTCAGAAGTTTATTTTATCAGGGAGATTTGGTAACCTCTACAGAAGACTGGGAGATAGGTGCCATATCGGGGTAGTTGGCATAATTTATACCACAATCATTAACTGATATTGAACTTACTCTAGATTCTTCTGTTCCTCAGATGATGCAGGAACCACTGAACTGGCGGAGCTATAGTCTGAGTCAATTTCGCTTCCATCAACGGAAACAAAACTGAGTCTCTGATTACTAAGTGGATCATCAACTAAAGATAATCTCTGAGAAGATCTTCCTGAGCTAACAAACTGATCATCTGTGAAAAAGAGAATAATAATACCGAAACTATATGTTATCCCATTCCATAAGTCATGTAGTCTTACATGAAGTACAGACCACCCAGTGATCAAAAAAATGTAAAGTTCTGCCAGAAACCATTTCTTGGAATGCTGGAGAAATTTGGGCTTCCAAACTAAAGCACAGAAAAGATCAATTTTATCTCAGTCCTGAGAGTTTTGGTGACCTATACAAGAGACAGGAAGATTTGCACTGTACATGACAGAAACTCTGCTAAGAGCTGACGAAAAACTCAGCTTGTGAATTTACATTTTATGGTAGCCAAAAAATATACATATTTTCTTAATACTAACAATTCTTCAAAAAATATGTGCAAAACTACTTAAGCTAAGGTCTGCAACTAATTATTATTGTCAGACTAAAAACAATGGCTAGTTTAGACAACAAAAATAAATAAAACTGCAGCGCAAAAATACAGTTGTGTATAATATTAAAAGCATTTTTATTGGTTTGGTCTTCTCACAAACAAGAGATTATGAATTATCTAGTTATCTTTAGTTGAACACGTACAGAATTTGCATTGTACTATGTACAAATCAAGATACCTTTATCGTTACTTGAATTAACTATGCAATATAGGGAAGAGTTTCTTTCCAAAATTTTAATAAAATACATCAGCCATGAAAAGTGCTACAACCAAACCTGCTTTTAAAAAAACACGTATGTGATATTCGTTTTAAATTAACTGTAGCGCTACCAAGGATAATCAAAGGGGACATTTCTCAAAAACTACATTGTATTTGCCAAAACCCTGATGCCTTCAATAATTCAAAAGCGTTTTATAGTTAAGGTTTGTTTGTATCAGAAATATATCAGCTTAACTACAAAACCACTTACATCATTTTTTCACATAAATGTGAAGATTGAAAATGGGAAGAATAATAATTATTTTGAAAACAACAAATTTCAGATGCTAGTATATGTCACCTGTTAACCAAAACCAAATGAAAAAGACCTTTCAAGGAAGACATATTTTTGAGTAAATTATGAAAGGCTTTGAATTAATAGTATTTTAATGCCAAACTTCTTTTGAGTTGAAGGTTTTCAATACTTTTTCGAGAAAACACACAATATCGAGTTGTGATTTTTTACATACCACAGAATATTAAATATTACCTCAAGAAAAGTTAAACAGATTTTGAATTTTAGTAAAGTAACACATAAGATAATGTGAAGTCCATAAAAAGCTATATCCTGGAACTAATCTAATCTGTCAGTCACATACAGTCATAGAAAATTTTCTTTTAAAAAAGATTAACATAAAATCAGGAGTTGACAAAGTCTTAATTTTTAATGTGTCAGCTTAGAAATGAAAATCATTGTTTTCAACAAAGAAATTAATAATAGAACCTTTTCTTGGAAAGAACTGGAGAAAATTAATTTTTTAAAATGAACTCGCCAAGAAACATGACCTTGAAGGAGAAAAAGTTCAAAAAGTATTAAAAGCATTATACTCGCTTTAAATCTTAACAAAGTAAGCTGAACGGAAATCCATTTTCAATGAGTAAATATAACTTGAGCTATTCGAACAAAATTAAATATGAACCAAATAGTTAACTCCAAACGCCAAAGTCTAGTGATAGCCAGATGACATTTTATTTTGCAACATGACACCTTCGCAAAATGCAAGGCGTCGAAAATCCCCCCAAAACAAAGTGAAACGCGAATACTGTATAGTAGGAACTGGCGGGATCTAAAGACAATGATATGATGATAGAAATAAATCTATTACTATACAACACACAGTCTTACATTTCGAATGAAATACAGCTTGTAAAAGCTCGTTTATGAGGCGAACAACAACTGTATTTTAGATATGACTAATTTAACACTTTTTTATAATCATGTGACGTACGTGAGGCTGGCTAAAATAAGAGATCGGTTTATTTAGAAGAGGATTTTTTATTAAGCCAACAGACATTTTTGAGACTGTTCTTATTCGCAAGCGATTTTTTCCGGCCGTAGAGACGTATAAGCTAACATAAAAAACTTTCCCGTTTCGGGCGACGGACTCCATTGCGATCAACCTACCTACATCTTCCACCGGGCTTGGAGTTTTTGAGCCGAAACGATCCAACGTTTTGAGAATATCCTCTGTAGATATGTTTCTCTCCTCTTCAGAGTGATTATCCATTTCCTCAGGATTTCAAGCGTGTTTTACAGTCTTTCATAGCTCCATAAATCCGCAATGTAGGTGTGCTGGCCCATCCATTAATTTTTGCTGGAAAACGGAAGATACTGCGGGCTCACAATCACTGACAAAACTCTCTGTTTTGGCGCGTTTGAGAATTTTTTCCAAGGAAATCAAGTTCTCGTGCTGCATCCACAAGATGATAAATTACAACCTGGTAAATCAGCCGAATCAAAATCTGCACTTTTGTACTTCTGAAGCCGGATGTTGTACAGCATAATTTTTTTAGACTTTTTAGACTTTTTAATTTAGGGGATCGGCAGCTCTGTTTGGACGCAAATAATAATCGCGGAGGTAATCTTCTCAATTTAACACTGGAGAAAAATTAAACAAAGACAAAATAATCATTCATTACGATGCAACTTTCCTGAATATGTCAAAGGTTTAACAGTTTAGGGTGACACTTAGAAGGGAGGAGTGGGATAGGTACCGTTTACAGACAAATCCAGCCCTCCCCGGTCAGAAGGGGTTTCACGGTGGCCAATATGGCTTTCGATCGATGCTCTGCCGGGGGATCTGATCGGCGAGCTTCGATTTGTTACACTTCAGTTGATTTCTGATTAATAATTTTGTGGCCATGAAGCGGTTTTTCTGAAGATGCTAAGAATACTTCAGGTTGTTAATCTCAAATATTTTTTATAGTGCTTAAAAGCAAGCTTAAAAGCACTGCATGTGCATTGGCAACGTCACTTTGTCATGTTGATTGCAATTAATGAAAGTCATTAAGAAATCGTTATCATCGTCTAACTTTGCTTTTAGGATGGGTACAGGAGCAAGCAAAAAAAATGCGAGGGCAACAGTAAATGCAGGGATTGTAGCATCCAAATGGATGACCAATACTCGCTCATCTACGCGAGAATCCATCGCAATAAACATTGGAGTAGGTGACAAAGCGGAAGATCCAGGAAATGTGAAAGACATCAAGGCCAAGTCTGTTGGAAGGTAGCTGATGTCTTACGTATTTTTAACTCTTGAAAAGCTTCGAGCACCTTGAAGTATATCTTTTTTAAATTACAAATTAGTTATGTAGGATGGGTTATTTGATTGAGCATGATTTTTCATCGTGTCGATCGCTAGAAGTTATATAACGGGCAATATCAGCTTAAGTCATTTGCTTTAAATAACACTGAATTTAACGGAACTGAACAGCCATTCACATATGGCCGTCTTACCAGTGCCAATGTAACTTGTCGATGGTCTGTCCAAAAAAAGTGTAGGATCCAGGACTTGAGCTGAGGGGACCCCACTCTTCAGAAAAACATTCTCTAAAAATAAGGGGGAGGCCTCCCCGGTCCTAAAGAGTGCATGGGGTCAGGTAATAAGGAAAAGAAGGAAATATTGGGATCAAACAGAAAGTTATCTTTCTTTCAAGCAAAAGTATTGCTGGTCCTGAATCTTCCCTATCCCGTGAAAAGTTCCAGTTTAGTTTTCCTACTTTTCTTGAAAATTTTTCATTTTTCAGTCTCTCCTTCCTCCCAGAATTTCCTCTGAACCTCACCTAAATTTTCATTAAATTTCAATGAACATTTTAGGTGAATTCCATTTGTTCAAACTCATGTTAATGATACCAGTTTCAAGCTTTCGCAGCCATTTTTCAGTAAATGGAACTGATCTGTGCCAAGGGTAAATGTGATCCCAGGATAAAATTAACCAGTCCTGAATTTTGCTTACAAGTTAAATTATTTGAACTAACTGCTTTACCCATGAAAAAGGTTAAAACTTCATGTCTAACAAGAGTGCATCTCACACCATCCATTTTAATTTTTTCTTAATTTGGGCATGATTCCAAAAATACCCATATGAACCCTAAGAAGGGTCTGATCAAACCCACATTAGGGAAAGTTCATTTAATATGACAAGGGGGGGGGATGAAGATATTGAGGGGGGGCTCTGAAAATTTTTAGACACCTGAAGGGGGGGCTCTGAAAAAATTGTTGCGCTAGGAGGGGGCTCCGAAAATTTGTATACTTCAAAACCAACACATGACATCATCATACAGGTCGGATGGTTTTCAACTCAACAATTTAATGACCTGTGCAACTCAGCTATATCACGTGGTTTACAGATATAACAAATGTAGTCTCAGTAATTACTACACTCTTGTTCATCCTAAAAATGCTTTAGAAAATTGTATCACAACTGTATCTCAAGTTTGTCATAGTATAAACCATTGAAGACAATAACGGTAAATATATTTAATACAGTCTAGCGATCTTTTTTCAGGGGAGCAAAGGAATTGAAGGAGGAGGGGGGGGGCTCTGAAATTTTTTCGACTACCAAGGAGGGGGCTCCTAAAAAATTGAACCGCTAGCAAGGGGGGCTGCTAAAATTTCAAGCTTCGAGTTTCAATATCTTCATCCCCCCCCTTGTCATATTAAATGAACTTTCCCTTAAGATTTTGGAACATTCCATGCAGTAAAACAGGACTACCTTTGCAGATGTTCTGTTCTTCTGGGAAGTTGTCTAATGAAGTGACCCAAACACTCATGCTTCTATTTACACCCCAACTGGAAATTCTAAAACCTGAAAGCGCCCAATGCAAAGTCTTTCAACTTAATCCTATCTGACTCCAGTACTGGCTGTTAATCTCAGGGAGCTTACAACTAACAAGACCAAAGCCACCGCAAGTCCTGTTGCTTCCAAAAAAGTCAAGGCCAAAGACAAACCATCTGAAGTTAAAAATCATTCCACAACTAATGTGAAACCAAGTAAATCTGGTGATAAAGGCAAAACAGCTGCAAAGAAAGCTGAAAAGACTACAGAAAAAAAGAACCTCGCAACAAATTCTCCTTCAAAAGAAAAGAGCAAAGATCAAGGAAGGAAAGGTCGAGCCGGCAGTCTGCTAGTATCACCAACGTGAGCATTGTTATTGTCCTTTTAGACCATGAATAGTCGCCCATTGATCATGCCACTGTAAGGTCAATTTTATTGTGGGTACTCAATCTACTCATGTGTTCTTTTCATTGTTTTTGATTTGTTTTATTCACTTTTATAATGATTAACTTTAATAATTGTGGGATGCATTTTCAAAAATAATTATATTACATTGTATTCTTTTTAAAAGGTTTATCTAAAGTGTTGCACAGTAACCCCAACAAATTTTTTTCAAGGGTAGAGAGCCTGTGCCACAGACAAAACTAAAGCCCCATTTACATGGCAGAAAATTTTTGGCGCGGCTTGGATGAAAGTGGTACGCGTACCAAAAAAATAGTACTGATTACTCATTTAATCTTTCTTTTTTCTACCGTGCTAAACGATGGTTCTGGGCCCCTCAGTCTATGTGGGCCCAGGATTTGACCAGGATTTGAGTATGTGACATGATTGGCCTGTTAAAAAAGCCTGTTGTCAAATTCTTTATCAGGATGAAAGGAAATTCACTGAAACATACTTCCAGTTATGATTATTTATTTCTTGCACTGGGGGAACAGAACAAAGATATCAGTGCTACTTTGCAAGGTTAAATTACATCTGCGATACCAATGCAGGCGAAAGGGTGGAGGGCTTGGTTAATGGTAGAATGGTATAAATTGACATATACATTTTATTGTTTTATAGGTCAGATCTATCCCAGAAAGGGGAGAGGGTTTTACAAGGCATAATAGATGAAAATTGCCCTGTCAACTCAAGGGTCATTCGCATCTTTCTTAGTTCTACTTTTACTGGTAATGACATGTTCACATTAACAAAGCCTTTTTTAAACCTACTTCAAGGCAGGGAGTTCTACACTGCTAGAACTAAACTTGGTTTCGTAGCATGAAACACCCACTTCATTGTAGGAGTTTGGTACCCCCCCTGAATAGAAAGTTAATCCATTGTCGGGGCAACCCTCCCCCCCCAAAAAAAAAAAGAAGTGTATCTGTTAGTTGTTGGGCCTTTTCACAAACCAAAATGACAGATTTCCCTACCCTGCCATATACTTCAACAAGTAAAATCCCTACCCTTTTATACACCTGAGGCCTAAAAAAGGTACCCCTTTCGGGTGGAGCCTCCCCATACAGGCCATTATAGGGAGTACCCCTGGGCTTTTTTATTAAACCTAGATCTACAGATTTGAAGTTCAAGATGCTGGGCGCGATCCATTCAACCAAAATTTCCGAAAATTTCGGTCCAAAACTCAATGGATCGGTTCGGTCCAACCGGAAAAGTTTCGACAAAACTGGTCCATCTCAAAAGATGGACCATTTTTCCCGGTCAGACCAATCGGGATTTTGGTCGAATGGATCACGCCCATTAACTGCTTGGCTACCACACCAGCAGAATTAAAGCACTAACCGGTTGATAACAAACCAATTCAACAACCTGCTCCCAGTTGGCTTGTTAGCTAAATTGGTAGAGCGCTGCTCCAGTATCGTAGAGGTCATGGGTTTGAATCTCGTACAAGCCTGAATTTTTCATGCTTTCTTTTTTCAACTGCAAAAGTTGCTTCTATAACCGTGATGATCTTCTTTCATATAATTAAAATACTCATGGTAATACCGTAAAATTCCAAAAATAAGCCCCTCCGTGTGTAAGCCCCTGAAACTCGTAACGCAAAAAAACCTCCGTTAAATCGCCCCTCCAAATATAAGCCCCCCCCCTTTGCCCTCAAATACAAAGTAAAACAAAGCAAAAACGGTAAATTTACTTCCAACTATAAGGCTAGCCCGATCGATTTTGAAACGCAAATTTCCCTCCATAGATAAGCCCCTCCGAATATAAGCCCCTCCAAAAATAAGCCCCTCAAAAAGGGCCTTTGAAAAATATAAGCCCCAGGGCTTATTTTCGGAATTTTGTGGTACAATATTCCACCCACGCCAGAAAAAAGGGGAAGAAAAAGAAAATTACTCAACCTCCTGAACAATGAGATATTTTGACTATGTGTGGCAGTAAATAAAAATTGGATTAGGCAGGTTGTTTTGATATGAGTAACCACCTTTCCTAATGAAACGAGTTTCGAAAGAGGCTTTTAACTTATTTCAGTTCAGCTTGGAAAAAACTAGTAACCCAAGGTAATAAGGTAGCCAACATTTTTCATCAGCTCTCGTTATTATATTGAAACACTGTAAATAAATGGGCATTTTTTTCTTGCATTTTTAGACACTGAACATGAACGTAACGCTCTCATGGAGCATGTTTATCCAAAGCTAAGGGACTTTTGTGAGAAGACAGGTTATGAGTTTCAGGTAAACAGTATGTAATAAATGATGTCACGCGTGTGTCTTTAATTTTACGTCTACTGGAGTGTCATGCTTGATAGATAAAGTATCTGTCAAATCCATGGAATAGAATGTGACTTTTTCAGAGGAAGTTGATAAAGATTTCAGGATCTACTAGGTGTCCAGTTCAGCATATCTTCGAGTTTCTTGGATTAGGCAGTAAGAATATAATCATTTTCGAATGACTAGCATAAAATCATTTGTCAGTTTAAACAGACCGTGGGCATACATTTTCTGGTCTGATCATGAGTTCGTCATAGCTTTGAATTTTCATGTACTTTATTGGTGAAGCCTTCATTGTACCACTGCTTACAATGCTGCATTTCTTTTGATCTTAACATTTCTGAAGTTGATCCGTTTGATTGCACCTTCGTTTGTTTGATTCATTCATTCATGTCATTCATTCACGCGTTTGTTCGTTCGTTTTGTTCAAGCGGGTGGCGGATCCAGTGGGGGGCCCGGGGCCCGGACCCCCCCGCCTCCCCCATCAGACCTAACGCTGTTTGAGACTGAAATTCCTACATCCACAGGATCGTATATCACTTTGTAACCGGCTGATTTTTTTGTAATGAAACGCCCGTTGCATTTTGCCACTAAACTTTAGTCCAGGGATATTCAAAAATTTGATTGTCTTTGGATACCCTCTTATGATCTGTTCGCCTCTGCTTGCAAAGAAGGTATTTCCCGCGCCAACAGCGACCGGCATTTACAGATTGAGAAACACGTAGGGCCAGTTATTTAAACGAAGTTTAGCCAGCGTTTAACAAAACCGCGTTCTAAGCCATTTTCACGTTGCCGAACGCTTTAATGTAAGCACCATCTATCGTGAACAATTTCATGAAAGCATATGGCGTAGACTAGAAAAGCATTTGTCTTCTTAAATAACCCAGCAAGGAAGAGTTCTGGAGGTCCAAAGATTTTCTAAGACCGCCGTCTAAGTTAGACTTCGTTTAAATAACCGATCGGTAGTCGTCTCTGCCATCCCAGCGACTGGTGGTGTGTGTGTTGTGAAATTGGGTATCGGGGAGAAGTACTTTGCCAAAACGTTTCTGAACCAATGTTTGGGCCCGTTCAATACAATGTTCCTGGATCCGCCCCTGTCAAGCCAGATGTTTTTAAAGGTCTCTAGTATAGCCGTAAGTACATTAATACTTTAAGCAATTTAAAGAAGACCCAAAGACGTAATTTCTAGGTTAAGTTTCATGGATATTTCAATTTTTTATGCGAACCATTACAGAAACATTTTGTGTTAAGAAGCTGTAAACTCTTAAGCAAGGCTTGCTGGCCTTGTCACCACATTATTTTGAAAGAGAAGCAGAAACTGAATTGATGAAAAATTTAGTTGAGAATT